ATAGTATTACTTCTTATATTATGTTTTGTAAACAGATTTAGACTATATAGAAATATATATAGGTCATTAATAAGGGTATATCTGACCTTGTACTCTATAGACCTTTAGTAACGATCTAGAAGGGCAAATATCTTTCTACTTACTCTTAGACCTTATAGTAGTTAATTTAGAGATGTTATATCTGGCATTAGTAGTCTTCTAAAGCTTAATAAAGGCCTTAAAATAAATGTTAATAGTAAAAAAAAAATAGTCTATATATATATCCTTAGGCTACGCAGAAACCTATAGGTCCCTACTAAATAGGTTAGGTACCTACCTTATAGGGTAGGTTATAGTAAATAAGACCTAACCTATAGGTCCCTAAATAAATCTACGACTTAACCTATAGGGTAGACCTAACCTATAGGTATAGTATATCTTAAGGTACTAAGGTACCTTTATACTTACGTAATACCTAAGGTTATAATCATTAATTAGTATAAGGATTAGTATAAAGATTAGTATAAAGATTAGTATAAAGATTAGTATAAAGATTAGTATAAAGATTAGTATAAAGATTACTTAGATTAGTATAAAGATTAGTATAAAGATTAGTATAAAGATTAGTATAAAGATTAGTATAAAGATTAGTATAGTTATCCTAAGTTTAAACGATTATAAAATAAATAAATTAAAATAGTTTTATATATATTTATTTTAGTACTTAGGCTTTACTATCCTTAAGTCCTTACTTACTTTATTACACGATCTAAAATAGATCTTTTATCTTATAATTCCTATACTTGTTTCCTTAGTATATTAATACCCTTAAGAGTTTCTAGCTTAGATCCTAGAGGTAGAGTTAGTAAAACTAACTTTACGCTATTACGATCTTTATTAACTACTAGCTTAAGAATGTCCTTATCCTTAAGGTCTTTTAGTAGATCGTAGATTAACAGATCTTATATAGTATTCCTCTTCTTATACTTTACTATTTATATACTACGTATTTTATATATAGATATAAAGAGTACTTAAGTATTATCTTAAGCTATAGAACAAGCCTATAAGAGCCTTTTATATATAATAGTATTAAGGCGTCTCTATATCTATAGTGTTTACGCTTAATAGCCTAGCTAGTTTAGTTCTTTTTTCTTATTACTAATATAGTAATCTACTACTTACGTATTAACTTCCTTTAGACGTAAGTTAATAGATGTTTCTTACTCCTTTAGCTTAGCTTTTATCTTTTCTTTAGTTATACTATTAACATTAATAGTATTAGAAAGTATTCTTTTAAGCTTGTTACCTTACTTCTTTTAAAGTTAAGAGAAAAAAACTAATATAAGAGTATAGATAGCTAAAGGTTTAAGTTAGCTATAATAATAGCTATATATATTATATAAAAAATTAAAGAAGTACTTAATACTAACGCTTATAAGAGGAATATAAAGTAAGTCTCTAGCTATTACTATAAGGCTAGAAAGACAAGTCTTAAGCTACTACTAAACTAAGAGAGGTATATAGTTATTAGGTTCTAGTTTTAAGTTAGCGATTAGTATAAAGATTAGTATAAAATAACTTACTTATTCTAAGTTATATATTTACCTTATTATTTACTATATCTATACTTAACGATTAATCTTAATCTAATACTAATACTATAGTATCTATATTTACTTCTTAGAGTATTTAAAGACGATTAGAATTTCTTATATAATTATAATAGTTCTTTTAGTATAGTTTATAAAACTACTCTTTAAACTCTAATTACTAATCCTTTACTTTAAAATTAAGCTAATAATAGTTAGGATTAAAAGTCTCTAATTTTAACCTTAGGTTTAAGATTATACTTATCGTATAAATACTACTAAGATCTATATATATCTTATTATAGTATTAGTTAAGTTTAGCCTTAGTAGCGTTAATACCTTAAATAAGAATATAAACTTATAGTTTTTAATTAACTTTTGCCTTTAGTTAATAGTAGGATTTAGTTAGGCGTTTAAACAACTTATTATAAATCTATAGAGTATATAGTAAAGTAATACTCTTTATCTTACTAATAGTAGTCGTAAAAAAATTAAATAAGTAAAGAAGATTAATTAAATATCTAATTTAATCTTACTTAACGCTTAAGATCTAAAACAAGTATACTACTATATAATCTTTATAAAATTTATTAATAGTGTTCTAAAGTCTTATTACCTAAATTAATATTAAAATAGTAGAGTCTTATTAAGTAGCTACGTCTATAATTAATTAAAGAAGACGTATTAGATTATTATAAGCTAGCCTGTTTTAAATCTGTTTAAAATATTCTTGTCTTTACTTACTTAAGTTAACTAGTACTATAAGCTTTTAAATCTATATCTAATTAGTATAAAAATTAGTATAAAAATTATAACTAATCTATACCTTTACTAGTATATATAGTATGCCTTAGTTACTTACTTATTATATCCTTTTAAGCTTATCTATCTCTTACTTATTCTTCTAATCTTAAATAAATGTTTTATTTGTTAGTTATAGTTAAATTATGTCTAAGAGCGCTTTTATAATAAGCTAAAGAATATATAATAGATAAGGAATATATTAGATTTACTTATTAAGAAAACGACTATTCTTTAGTACGTCTTTAAGATATAAATTAATTTTATCTACTATTGTATAGTTATTACTAGTATTATTAGTTGTAATTAATATTACTTAACTAGTTAGGTTAAGATTTGTTAGTAAATTATTAATAACTATTACTAAGGCCTGTCTTAAATAAACATTACGTAGGTTTTTAAACCTAATTAACTCTTTCTAAAGTACCTAGTCTTTATTAATATAATATACTATAACGCCTATAAACAAAAGGCGTATAGGACTTAACTAATAATTAAGAGACAAGGCTACCTTACTATCTAGTACTAGGTTTATAAGTATATTCTCTTTAACTTAGGTAACGCGCTATATTAAGTAGGTCTATATAGTTATTACTAATAGTAATTAAAAACAAGGATTTAATAGCTTTAATAGCCGTTAGAGATTAGTATTTTTTTATAGCCTAAAAAGGAAGTTATAAAAAAACGATCGTTTTAAGGACCTAGTCCTAAAAAGCCTTAGTTATAAGAGTAGTAGACTATATATACTAGTTAGTTTATACTAATCTTTATACTAACTAGTTGTACTTATAGTTATAGATAATAAAACAGCCTTATAAAAAGAGAGTTGTCTTTATAAGCCTTAACTTTAACTTATAGATACGTTAATATATTGTTTAGACGTTAGGTATTTTATAAGAGTAGTAGTACTAGTTATAAGTACTCTTAAATTAGGATAAGTAAGTATTATAGAACACTTCTAGTATATAACTACTAGTTTACTAGTATACTAATTTGTAGCTTAGTAGAATTATTACTAGTATACTAATCTTTTAGTTATGTCTTAACCTAGCTGTTTTACTACATTAGTATTATTTAAACCTACTATTATAGCTACCTAATCTGTTTGTAGCTACTAAGTAAGGAATTAGTAATGTTAGTCTTTAGTCTACTAGAAACATTAATTTCTTTAGCTAATAGTATTTAGTAAAGGTCTGTTAGTAATAGTATTATTACTAAATAGGTTTATAGCTAAAGAGGAATTAGGAATAAATATAGTAGTAGATAATAAAGACATTATATAATGTTATAATCGTAAAGAGTAGTTTTTAATAATACAAATGTTTAGAAGAGTAAGTTATGTTTAAAAAAAAAGGTAAGTTATGTTTAAAAAAAGAGGAATTAAGAGGATTAGTATAAAGATTAGTATAAATATATAATATAATATATTAAGTTATACTAAGTACGTCTTTATAGTAATAACAAATTCTTAAAGATCTTTTAAAGGCTTTAATTCTACTACTATATACTATTAGTAACTTAGCTATCCCTTTATTTATTTATTTTAGGAATCGTAATCTCTACTATATGTAGTACGCCTTTAATAATCCTTGATTTTAGATATCTTAATTTCTACTACATAAATTATAAGCTATACTATTATAAATAAGAGTATTATAACTAAATATAAGTTATATATAAAAGAAAGAATAATTATTTTGTATTTTTTTTTTATAGAAAATTAAACGTAAAAAAACGCCTTTAGTATCTCTTTAGTCTTAATTAAATCCTTTATTATAAAGAGGTCTGTACTAGACAAGAAGACGTAATCGTACGTCTTATTAAAGGGCTCTTTATTAGTATAGATTAGTCTATACGCCTAGTAATACCTAGAGTACTAGTTAAAAAACGTAAACCTTATATTATTAATCTCTAGATCTTTTAGCTACTAATCTATAGGCCCTAGTAAATCTACTTATCTATTATCCTCTTTATACTACGTAGCTATGTTCCTTTATATAGCTTTCTTCTTTAATATAAAAAATTACTTAAGTAGTAAGAAGTCTTATAAGTCTTTATTATTTATAGTAGATTAGTATAAAGATTAGTATAACAATTACTAAGACACATACCTGTCTACTATTAGATAATATAGCCTATCCTTCTTTAGCTGTTCTATTCTTTCTCTCTTAAGCTTTATTACCTTATAATAAAAGCTTCTCTTACTCTAGCGCTATTTTTATTACTAAAGGTAGAACTCTTAGGCTATATTACCTTAGGCGTAGTTAGCGTTATACTAATCTTTATACTAATCTAATATAGAACTAGTATACCTAGACGTAGCTCTACTATACCTTAACTCTTCTTTTATTAATATTATTACTAATTTTGTTAACGCTTTTATTATTTAATTTTTTATTCTCTTACTATATCTCTTTATATTACGTAATATTTTCTTCTTTAAAGTTAATATCTTTTTAAGTAAGATTTCTATTATCTTTAATAGTAAATTGTCTACTAATCTTACTATAGCCTAGCTCTTAAGCTAAGGTCTTCTAGTCCTTTCTTGTTTATAATCTAATATCGATTAGTATAAAGATTAGTATAAAATACCTTAGTATATAAAAGTTAAACATACCTTTATAGTAGAACTTAGTCTCTTATATCGTTAAGTATCTATTGTTTTTATATATTAGATATACTAATAAATTTAGATGTCTCTTTTACTTTCTTCTTAGCGTATATTATAGCCTCTTAGTTAGTAGCTTTTACTTTATTAATCTTTTTAACGACTTTATCGTCTATATCTTAGCGCTTTTATACCTTAATTATGTTTAGGTTTATTAAGAGCTCTTTTACAGCCTTATACTTTAAGTTTCTACTATTACTGTTATCTATTATTACTATTATAGTTATTAAGTAGCTTTATTAAAAAAGAGTAAGGAACAGTTGTCTACGCCCTCTACTACCTTAAAAACTTAAAAATAAACAATAGAATCAAAATTAGTACCTTTAAATACTCTCTAGAGTACTAGTAGACTATAGGCGAGCCTATAGTAACAGATAGTAGGTGTACTAGACTTAAACAGAGCTAACACTACCTACTTACAGGTAGGAGCTAGTACTTCTATACCCTAACTAAGAGCTATAGTAAGGAGCTAGAGAGTAGTAAAGGTAATAAGGACAATAAGACAAAGAAAATTATATAAAGGATTAAAGCTTACGTAATACTAGACAAGGAGAAAGAGGCGTCGCGTCTCTTACGCGACCTTATTACTATAACGACAACAGTAGTAGAGACAAGAGCTATAAATATAACGACCTTCTCGCGTACCCCTAAGTCCCTCTCTAATAATAACCTAGTAACGATTAGACAACTAAGAACGATGTTAGAAGAGGCCTTCTAGAGGCTAGTAATAACAGTAGCCCTCTAGGCTACCTACGCGTTAGTAGCGAGCTAGCGCCTAACAAGAGTCTAGGTTATACTAGAAAAGCGGATTAAGGAGCTAAGGATTAAGGCAGACAGACAGACAAAAGACCTAGTACGTTATAGTACTATTAAAGTAGTAATAGTAGCTAATATAGTAATAAAGGGCGCTAAGGTAGTAGTAACCTACTAGCTACCTAGTAGCGACACTATCCTTACGTTTAAGGAGGCTATACTAAAGAACGTAATCTAAGATTAGGGCTAAGTATAAAGGGCGTTTAGGCCTATAGCCTAGCTTTATAAGAGTAAGTTTACTATAATCGTAAAGGGCCTACTAGTAGAATAGATTATATAGGTAGAGCTAAGAGCGTTACTAGTAAAGATCTAAGCCTATGTACTATATATTACAAAGGTTAAAGTTAAACTTATTAAGGCCCTTATAACAAAGTTTATAATAGTAGTACTATACCTTTAGAGCGCTAACGCGGTAACGCGCCTATATAAACAAGGGTTAATCTAGTAAGCCTAGATCTTTAACTATAAGCTGTATTTAGCTAACCTACGAATCTAAAGATACTTCTAGTACTACTAGTTTAGCTACATTAGGCGGTTCTATAAGAACTAGGCCTAGTATAGCTACTATACAAGAGCGGCGTACCCTTAAGGTAAAGAAGAGTACTCTTAACTTAATAGTAGAAAGAGATACATTAACTATAGCAGACTATACGTAACGTAAGACTATTAGTATCTTAAGGCCCTTAAGGTAAAGGAGCAAGTATATACTATATATTAATAAAGGCCTAGATAGTTTAAGGTATCTAAGAGTAGCTTTACTAGCTAGGTACCTAGTATTACGCTAGCGTCCTTATAAGATAGTGACAATAGCTACTAGATTATAGTACATAAGAGACTATAGACAGGTAATAGTAAGAAGCCTATAGTAAAGACTCTAGTAAGGCGAGGGCGCCCTCTTATTAGGGCACTAGACACTATAACGGTCTAGAGCTACGACATTATAGAGATATTAAGCTAAAGGGCTAACTAGGGGTCTAGCGACCCTTTTGTAACGTAAGAATCGTAGATCCTAGACTCTTAGTAATAAAATTAATAATAGTATACTAGAACACTATAAGAAGGAACGGCCTTACCTTAATAATACTTTATAATAGCCGTAAAGTTAACGTTATAGTAATTTAGGAGCTATAGTATAATACTTAGATAAAGACAGTCTACTACTTAGTACAAGTAAAGTACTAGTAGGTCTATAAGGGCAAAGGTAGAGTAGCTATTTACGTCTATAAGTAGTACTTACCTCTTACCTAAGTAGTAAAGACAGGCGTCGACTAGTGTTACGTTACTCTATAAAGAGTTACTGTCTAGTTAATATACTTACTAATTCCTAACTCTCTAGGCTAGGCTAGTCTTCTCTAGCGGCTTACTAAGAAAGACCTAAAGAGGCTATAGATCGTTATAAGTAACATAAACCTTTATTACTTACTCTAGGATAGAGCTAGTAAGACTACCCCTAAATTAGAGACCCTTCTTTATCTAGCCTATAAGTAGTAGCTCTTACTACATATACCCTAGAGAGAGCTAATATAGTAGTAACATAACAAACAAGACTTAATAATTAACTACGTATAGGTTATAGCGACGTTCTAGTATACTTATTAAGGTAACCTAGGGTATAAGGGATCTAACTACTATACCTAGCTAATTAAGGTTATTACCTAAGTAAGGGATCACTAAGAGAGAGCCGTAAAGGTACTAGGATAAAGCTAGACCCTAATAGACAGAGAACTAGTAACGATTAAGGCTAGGAGGCTCTACTTCTCTTTAGAGCCGCTAGACATACCTTATAAGGTTAATAAGGTAGTTAACTTACTTACCTCTTAGCTTATACGTATTATAGACATATCTACCTTAAGGAAGAAGGTTAACTAAGGACGTACTAAGCCTTAGTAGAACGGCAAGGTCCTTAAGGCCGTCTAGTAAGTACAAGTAGTACGCTATTAATACGCTACTACCCTAACTAAGCTCTACTAGCACGACCTCTAGCAGGCTAGTACCTATTAACTCTATATAATATAAGACGTAAAAACTAAGAGCTAGCGTAGCGCCCTTACTACTACCTTAAAGGACTAATAGAAACTATAAAGTCTTAAGAGGTAGGCTAGGCTCTATAGCTATATACCCTTAGAACCGGCCTTACTCTCGCCTCTTTAAGGTACTAATAAGGGGGTACTGGCTACAAGCTACTATAATAAAGTAATAGTGTTAGGCTAATAGTTCTTTCTAGAATTAATAGCTAATCTTAGCGACGTTATTCTAGATCTCTAAGACAAGTAGTACTAACGGTTTACTATTAACGACGCTATAATAAAGGCAGATATTACTAACGTTCTCTAAAAGACAGGTACCTAAAAGGCGCTAGGCCCTAACCTACTACTTACTAGCTTTCTTAAGGTATATAAGCGCCCTTTAGCTAAGCTCCTTATAGTAATAGTAACTATAAGCCTTTAGCTAGAGCACTTTTCTACGTAGTTTAAAGTAGCGAAGGTAGTAGTACTACATAAGCCCGGAAAGACCCTTAAGTAGTAATAAACCGCTAGGGCCTATAGGCTAATATTACTCTTAAACGCGATAGGTAAAGTAATTAAGTTAGTAATTAGCCGGCGCTTTACTAAAGCTATAAAGTCGTAAGAGCTCTTTCTAGAAATATAGATAAGAAACTAGCTATAGCGCTTAATAGACCTTATAGTTAAAATAGTAGTTAACGCTATGTATATAGTATAGAGCTATAAGGCCGTAACGTCCTTTCTTTAACTTAACATTAAAGGCGCCTTTAATATAGTAAACTATATACGCCTTCTTTATACTCTCTAGTACCTAAGGTTTCTTATATAGGCCGTATAGTAAGTACATAGCTTTCTTACTAATTAGACAGCTAGTCTCTTCTTTAATAAAGAGGCGGTACTACCCTAGAAAGTTACTATAAGGGTACTATAAGGTTTACCCTTCTCTCTTATCTTCTTTCTCTTTTATACTACTAGCTTGTATACACTACTATAAGGTTATATAGGCCTTATTATAGTAGGGTTTACTAACAACCTTAACCTCTTAGCTTTTAGTAGAGACACGATAAAGACACGCTAGTACCTTAAAAGGGCGTAGTAGATATATAGCTAGTAGTTATGTATAAGAGAGATAGAGTTTACCTTAGAAAAGAGTAAGCTCCTTTACCTTACCTACGCCTATACTATACTAATAACGCCTGTCTACCTTAATAGCCGGGTTATACCCCTAGTCTAAGAGGCGTGCTTTCTAAGAGTTTAGTTAGACTAGAAGCTTAGATAAAAGGGCTACCTTAACGCTATTAAACAAAAGTTTGTTACCTAGTAGTTCGCGCTTATAAGACTTGTTACGTCTACATAAGGATATAGCCTACTACACGTAAGAGAGATCTATATAAAGGTAATCTAGAGTACTATAGTATATAGCGCGAGGGTCTAGTACCGCCCCTTTAGGTAGCGAGCTAAGGGGATTATAAAGGACCTTACTACAAAGTAGTTATAGTACCTCTATGTCGTCGCAAGGGCGTACTAGGCGACGCTTGTCTAGCTCTTTAAGTCTAAAATAGCTACGCCCTTACTTAACCTCTACCTTAACAAGTAAGTAGTAGACTTTAAATAACGTCTTAAATGTATAAGTAAGAGAGAACTTATATAGTCTATTTATAATAAGGTAGCGGCCTGTCTTTAATAACACTAGAGACACTACTATAGTACTACTATAGCGCTACCTTATACGTTACTTAAGTATAGGACAGGCCGAGCTATATAAGTAAAGGACTAGTATAAGGACTCCTTCTTAGAGGAGACCTTATAAGGGAACTAGAAGGTACGATAGTCTTAATACAATAGCTTACTAGTATACTACTAAGGCGCCGCCCTAGCCACACTACCTGTCCCTTTAGTAGATACCTTTAAGAAGTACTTACTCTTCTATAAGTACAAGAGCTCTCTTTTAATATAGATCTATACTAGTAAAGTTAGACTCTAGGCTTTCCTTTTTAAGCGTAGAGTACTAGAGGTAGTAACCCTCTAGTACCCTTATATTAAGGCTCTAGAGATAGCAGCTTACCTAGTCTTTAACTACTAGTAGCTAGATTAATAGCGGCAGGCCTTATAGTAAGCGCTTTACCTAAGAGCGCTATAGACGTTCTATAACTTTATAGTAGTAATAGAGAAAGGTAAGAGTACTTGTATACTAATCTGTTAGCTACTGTCTACTAGCTAATTCTTATAGTTCTATCTAGCTAAGCGCTACCTAGTAAAGGAGTTATAAAAGAAGGAGTAGCCCTAGCTAGTAGCTAGCGCCTTACTAGCGCCTTACTAGCGTCCTGTTAGTATGTTTAGTATTACTAGGCTAGAAGGTTAAGTTCTAGTAGGGTAGTAATAAGGACCTGGCGCCTTAGCGGCGCTATAATAGTATAAACACAAGTAGTAGTACGTAGGTTTTTACCTGGCTTTAGTACGGTTTTACTACGTGATTTATATAGTATAAAGGTTCTACATGTAGTAGGCATAGGCAGTAAGAACAATAATAATAATAATAATATTATAGTTATTAAAATTTAACTGTATTATTAATTAGTATAATAATTAGTATAGATTAATATGTAAACTTATACTTACTATATACCTTCTTATATCTATATTAAAGGAAATCTTTAAAAAGAGAAAAGCTATAGATTAATTAAAGGAATTCTTTAAAAGAAAGAAAGCTATAGATTAATTAAAGGAATTCTTAAAAAAAAGGAAAGCTACAGATTAATTAAAAGAATTCTTTAAAAGGTAAGCTATAGATTAATTAAAAGAATTCTTTAAAAGGTAAGCCGCGGATTAGGTCGTTATTATTATTAATTAACTATGTTAATAATTAGTATAATAATTAGTATAGATTAACATATAAACTATACCTGTTGTTGTTATTGTTATTGTTATTATTATAGAGGTAAGGTAGTAGTAAAAGAAGTAAGGTAGTAAAAGTAAAAAATGTTTAGTAAAATTAATTTACTTTTAAACTCTTTATTTAATATTTAGGCTATAACTTTACTTTTAGACTCTTTGTTTAATATTTAGGCTAATTTAATAGACTCTTAGTTCTTTAGACTCTTTGTTTTATATTTAGACTATTAAATAGTATAGGTATAAAATAAAGATAAAAAAAGAAAGAAAGAGAGAGAAAGGGTTTAAAAGTAAATTAGTAATAAGTTTAAATAATACTTTAAAATTTTCTATATAATGTTTTATAATACTCTTTTACGCGATTAGTAGAAATATTAGTATAATAATTAAAATAAACAATAGATAGACACGTTTAACACGTCTTACTATCCTTATTCTTATTATATTATATAGTGCTATTATTATAGCGCTATAAGTAGAGTAGTTAGTTATAAAGTAAATTAATTTTACTAAAAATTTACTAAGCCTTTATTTTTATAATATATAAATAGACAACTCTTTACTACTTACCTACCTTTCTTTTATTAAGCTAACCTTAATTCGGTATATAGGCCCTCTCCTACCCTTCTACCCTCTATACCTCTTACTATACTAACTTTATTAGTCTTCTTATCTACTATTTGTTAATCGCGATTATAAAATAGCGTAAAGCCTAAAGCTAAAAGCTACTACCTATATAACTAAGTTGTCTAACTATACTACTAAAAAGAGCTATAGTACGCCGCCTCTAATCTAGTAAAAGGCTCTCTAGACAGCCTAACTAACCTAACTAGCCTAACTAGCTTAACTAGCTAAATAGTCTAAACCCTTAGGCTAAAAGATAAAGATTTAAACTAGGTAATAAGTTAATTAGTATAAAGATTAGTATAAAAACTTTACTAACAAATTTAATAGCTATAGCGCTAAGAGAAATAAGAAAGTACTAAAAGACTACTAAACTATTAATACTATAAGTACCCTTTATAAGGCTAGTAAAGAAGATTATACTTTAGCTACGCCCTAAATTCCGAGTCTAGAGAAGCGTAATAAAAGCCTTACAAGAATCTATAAAGGCTATATTAACTACTAAGTTTTCTTATAAGTATTTAATCTATTATACTAATCTTTATACTAATTAAACAACATATAGTAACAAATCTTACTACTATCTATACTAAACAAGTTATAATTTAGTAAAAGGATATAAAGCTCGTATAGTCTATACGTAATAGAATTCTTAGGTATACTATACTAAGAGGTAAAAGGCTATAAGGCTAAATTTAAGATAGAGTAGTAATAAGATTATAAGTTATAAGGTACGATTTTATTATATATTTTTTATAAATTCCTAAATGTAATCTATTAAATAACGCTCTATAAAGTAATTAGTATAAAGATTAGTATAAACTATAATCATTATACTACTACGTAATATTATTAAGGCTTAAATCACGTGTTAGGGTCTTAGTAACCTATAGGTTAGGTTATAGGTTAGGGCCTACCTACTAGTCTAAACCTACCTTATAGGTTAGATCCCTATAGGTTAGGTCCTACCTATAGAAACCTAACCTATAGGGACCTATTGCGTAGCCTAGTTATATATAAGAGATCATGAGAAGCATCACTAGATGGACCCTAAAACCGACCTTCTGAAAATCAACACCATACTAAGACAGCAGCGTTTATTTTTTGTGACCAGAAAGCAAGCAGAGTTATTAATTTTGGAATTTGTTCATTTACATCAGATATGTTTCATCAGACATTAACATTCTGATATTCTTATATTCTCTGCCGCTTGACAGTAATTCTCCCCGGACTTAACTGCTAAGTAAGCATCGACGTACTTTTTGTTCATTCAAAGAACGTTCGAAAAACAAAAGGTGATATCGAAGACCCCCCTCGAGGTATCCATCCATACCTACCTTATATGATCGTTTGGCCCACCAACCAACCTCTGAATTCAGTGTACCGAAAATCTTCTCTCGATCTTGCATCCACCAAAGCCCCATAGAAAAGATTGTAAACTCCGCTTGGAGATCTTGGAGAATGGGAGGCCAGATCATGAGAGATATCGAGGTTGGTTTTTTCTTTCTCAAGCAGGTGATGTATGGATGGATGGATTAAGCAGTTAATTGTAGTGGGAGGGGTTCTAGATAATAATTGAGAGCTTTCAGCTTGCTATGTTGGGTGCATTTAGTGAATTACGGTCCATGACTGAGAAGTTCAAGGTCGGTGATCGTGTCGGGAGCAGGTGCTTATGCCAGCCAGCTCTGCTCGTGTCCATGGCCCAACTAAGTGCGCTAGTAAAAGAGATGGGGGGATTTCCATCTAATATATATATATATATATATATATAGATTATGAGAACTCCTTAGACACGGTTCCCTACTTAGGATGCAACTGCTAATAATCCAGGTAGTCCCAAGCCGTTAATCGACAAGTTAACATCTCATCCACAAAAGCATCGGAAATCTGCAGACTGCAGTCTCTGAGCCCGACTTGGGTACTTAGATAGATCAACAATGCTGCGGAGAAGGACGGGACTACCGCCAGCTCCCCTTCATTTTCGCCCTGAGTAATGATCCTTTGGATTGTCTGTTTCCGTGCAGAAGACAGACAATTAATATAGACTCTGTGAAGTGGCTTCGAAGAGTGGCATGGCGGGATGTCAGTCATGCAGTTATTCACATGCACCAATAATGTTCTATAGGGTACGAGGTGCAGAGGATATCTTGTCTCGTCCATCACTAGTCCAATGGCTTTCAAATATTCTGAACTATGTGAATATAGAACAGATTGAACAGTATCAATGAAAGTTACATACTGTCATATATTCTGGCACCTAAGTAGGTAGCTTCTCTTAAAAATGTTTCGTATGACCCCTCACGCTGCACTGGCATAAGAAAAGGGATCTGACGGAGGATCTCAGATAAGGACTGTGCATGAAATATATGTAGCAAAGCAATAATCTAAAGAAAGAGTCCCAAAAACTAGCGAAGCCGTGATTGCGGAGTCGAGATATCAAAAGGAGAAAATGTCATCTGCAGCCCAGAGGAACTACCTTAGGCGCCCCACAACACTAACCCCAGATATATTTCCAGACTATTATCATGAACCTATCGGGAGACGACCCAGAAATGAAATACATAACATTTCATTTTCCAAAAGGCGTACCGAGAAATGACTGAGCAGGGGAAGAAAGAGGACAGAGAGGCATTCTTAAACGCTGTGACCGTTGACTCTATGAGGTAGATATCTGTCTGTCTTTATTTGAACCATCAGCACTTGCTATAGTATTCGACTCACTCTACTTCATGTACAGAGTCTAAAGTCAGAATATCAAAAGTATATCCAACACTCAGCAAGTACCTAGGTGCATATACTCTGTCTTATAGACAATATGACTGTTGACAAACCCTCGCTGAAGTCCGTACCAGCCTACCTTAGAAAATGACAGCTCAAAAGCACGGATCAATGACCTCGATCCCGAGCCCTATATGCGAAACATTTGACCCCTGACCACCCCGCATTCCCCCCTGAACATGTCTTTTTCATATCACTACCCTATATACCTCACCTATCCTTGAAATATATAAGGTCACTTATAGTAATAATACGGTAAAAGATGGGCAAACTTATATCGCCGCACAGGCCAAGGTTGTCAAACAGCATCCAGCAGCCTTTTAGCCGATGATATCCTATTTTAGATAGCCTCGGGTCGCTTACGGGGGGATCCGTTCCCGACAAAAGCACCCCGCAGAATATCAAGTCTTGGCATGTATGTGGATGTGGTCGTTATGTAGTGATTCTAGTGAACTTGTATCAATACATTCCTTACCGTCTTTTACGCTCTACACATACCCTACACATATCCAAATCTCTACTATATCTACTATACCTAGAGAGAGCTAGTAGTCCCGATGACAGCTGGGACCGCGTTGAGGCATATAATTAGAACATTCTTATAATAGGAGAAAGTATGAAAGTACGGAAAGGAACACGCTTCCTAGATCCTTCTTTTCCATTTTACTTTTTCCAAATCTATAAATCTCCCCTCCTTCTCATGCAGATTCCAACACATATACATCGATACAGTACAGAAGTAAGTCTGACGTGGCATTATTCCACAGCTTCGTTCTCATCCTTCGACCAGGGGGTTGAAAGAAACTTCATACCTAATGCGAACTCCAAGCGAAAACCGACGATCTTCTACAGGGCCGCAGTTCTAGCCAACGTCCGAGGACATTTTACGTACGTGACTAAAGTAAGGTATAGGTAAGGTAAGGTATAGGTAGGCTACCTTAGGTCAAGAACAAGAACAACCCCCGACATCCTTACCTTACAATTGGCTATCCATACATGTACGTACTATGAACCGTTCCCATTCATTCAGCAAACCCCAGGCCTCGCTCGCTACGCGAGTAGAATCCCTGGAGGTGCAGGTACGAGTTGGGAATCCTGCTAGGGTTCATGGACGGTGAGTGTTTTTGCGGGCTCTGCATCGCTTCGGATCTTGGGTGAGGACACGCGTTGGTTTCATGTAAGATGTACTGTAGGGAAGAGATAGATAGGGGAATAAGGAGGCCCGGATATAACCTACCTTACCTACGGTACCTTATATTATATTATGATAAGGTGGGTTTAAGGGATGTTGGTGGCTGAGACATTTCTTTTTTCCTTTTTCTTTTTCCTTTTTTTCTGGGAGTTCTATGGACAGGGCTTCGATTCTTGGATCTCTTATTACTACGCTGGAACAGGGGGCTTGGAGGGAGGGAGGGTTTGAGTACTGGGAACATGGCAGAGCAAAATATACGGAGTACTGTAGACTGTAGCTTATCTTTTTCCGTGAGAAGTCACGATAAACGCTGCACCAAAAATACATTAAGTGCCATTTATGTCAAGTGGAGTTCGAAAAGAAGGCGGCCATTTAAAAAGCACAGGGATGAAAACCAATGCAGAAAACAATCTAGAGAGTGTGGGAAAGCGCACCTCAGCATTTGTTCATCCAAGCGTTGCTATGCTGCTCGCTGCAAGTATATTATTTGCTCAGGTCAGAGCTGCGACTTCTCAGAAACAGGGAAATAGAAATATATATGTTAGACCTGTAGTAGGATATACTGTATACCTTACATATGAAATTTGCAGAAGTGCAGTATGTATGTCTACCTCATCATCTCAGTCTTTAGCTTACAACGACACGTCACCTCAAGAATATTCCAACGCAGCAACGCTCAAAAAATTCATTTCATAGTATGCCATGGAAGTTGGCGATCAAGCCGATTCACATGGCTGCCGGGGCCCTTCGTCGTATCTTAACATCAATACCTGACTGTCGCACGAACCAGGAGTTCTGGACATGCCAGACTTTGTGGGGGTCCACAAAGCTCATCTAAGCACATGTCGTTAGAATATGTTTGTTGATCAGGAGCAGGCAGTACACTTACATCGTACTTCAAAAACAAGGTGGAAATAATCTTATACGTCTCCAACATGCTCACGTTTCTGCCCAAGCAAATGCGGTTTCCAGCACCGAACGTGAGATCTGCCTGCTTCATCGCGGTCAGACGTGCTTGGAAGGCCTCTTCAGTCTCCCCATCATCAATGTTCCTGAGCCAACGGTCCGGGTTGAAGGACTCTGAATCCTGGCCGAAAATAGTCTTGTTCTGGTGGACGACCCATGGGTTCATGCCTACAGTTGTTCCGGGTGGGATCACGGTTCCGTCAGGGAGGGTAAGGCCACCTTCTGGGACAACACGTTCGAGAAGGAGGCCGACTCCGGGGTGCATACGGGAAGCCTCTTTGACTACGGCATCAAGGTAGGCAACGCTGCTGGCATCTTCATATGAAATTGGTTGGGCCAAGTTTGCAGCGTCGAGTTCTCGTTGTAGCCGTCTGTAAACCTTGGGGTTCTTCAGGGTGTAATACACAACTGATCGTAACAAGATTGCGGTGGTGTCTGCTCCGGCAAATATGTTCACCATGAGGGCACTGACAATACCGTTGTCATCTATCAGCTCGGGGTTCGCATTCTTAATCTCGATGAAAGAGTCGAGCATGTCCTTCTGCCGAGAGTCTTTGTCTTTACCATCAGAGCCTTGCTGCCGGGCAATAGATTGTTGAGCACAAAGGATGGCCTGGGCTTCAAAACTGGGAGGTCCGATTGGCATGATTGGGTTCTTTGCAAGCCATTGGTCAAGTTCCGGAATCTGGCCGACGGTGGCGAAGTAATCGAGGGCCTTGTCTGCGCTTTCCAGTATGCCCGTATCATCACCTGCCTTTTCCAAAAAGCCCATCGGTTTGCTGAATGTCAATTGGCCAATAACGTCCCAAGCAAAGAATAGCATCCATTCATCCATCTTACAGGTCTTCCCTGCATTGGGTCCGTCAATGTATTCCTCTTCGATGCGTCTGCAAAACGTTTCGATTGTACCGCTCACAAGGTTCTGGATCGGTAACAAGCTGGACATCTTGTAGAACTTCCCAATAGGGCGCAAGAGCTGTGAGTGATATTCATTGCTCTGGGTGCTGAAGACGTTCTGAATGACCGTGTTTCCCACTTTGGTAGCGTTGACGTCGTAGAACTTAGTCTATGGGCGGTTAGATTGAGCCAACCACAACAACAACAGGGAGATCTTACCTTCACGAAATCGGCTTTGGTATTATATATAGTACGCACGAGAGAGGGATCATTCAAGCTGACCACATTTGGACCGAGCCGTACGGCAGGGCCATATCTCTCATGCAGGATTCGTTGTGTAAGCTCTGGCCGGCCAGCGTAGGTGTCGAAAAAGCGCCATAGATTTGTAAATTTGGCAAAAAAGGGCCCCGGAATTGACTTGAGGGGGGATTTAATATATTCCCAGGTAAGGGTAAAGAGAGTAATAAGCAACAAGGAAGAGAGACTTTGCAGGAAGAGACTCAAGAGCGCCATCTTGCCAGACTCGAAACTTGTGACTTGAGAGAAACAGGATGGAGGTTCTGAAAAAATGAGAGTGATATAGAGACGGGAAAGCCAGACACAATTTGACCCAGACCATGGGTCGATCTTTGCCCTCTCTGATCAGTCAGATTGTTATCTAGGAGCAGAGAGAATAATGCCATGTGCAATGCCAGGACCCCAGATCCGATGCAAGCCCGCAAAACAGCTACTGCATCTCGATGTTACCCTAAAGCGCGCTCTCATGTTAAGGACGTACGTGAGGTTTGACTACTATGCATGAGAGTAGCCAAGATGTGCAGGCTTGCAAGGGAGGTAGTTGGCCACGATCTCTTCCCACCGTTCCCAGCGATGGAAGAGACCTGTCTCGCCCCTGTGATCAAGGTCCTGATTGACAATGCTGGCAACTTGAGTGGATTTGACCCAAGACACTCGGCTCACAGCGCAGATTCCATGACACCTCATTGGGTCCTCTTTTTCTGGCCCCAAATCTCTCCTTTCCTGCGCATAATCCGTATTTGAAGTTTGATTGGCTTTCTTGATGGCACTGCGAGCGTACCTGGGTATACGCTGTCGGATCTGTCTCGTCCCTTGAGAGGACTGCCTGGCGCTTGCTCTTCGGCAGTTCGACCCTGAATCCTTTGTCTCGCCTCTCGCCTCTCCCCTCCTCTCTCTCGGTCCAGCGGATAACCCCCAGAGAGCAAAGCTGGACAAATGACAATACTGCCGAGCAGCAATTCTGCAGTTGGAATTAGGTGTACACGCAGTGGCGGGACAATCCTTCCTTCCCGCCCTAACCCTGCCCCCATTCCTGGGCGTTACCTGTCACTCAGGTTGGGGGGTCTGGACTCGGCTTGACACGACGAGGGGTTCCGGGTCGACCCCCCCGGACAGGCTACAGCACAGTTACCAGAGAGTACCGTATGGTAGCGGGAACCCTAGCTGGAACGGGTGCGGAAGACTTGCCGATGGCATCTGCGCGGTAACCAGTAGTTATTGCGAATCCACAGTTCGCCTCAGGGGGGATGTTGGTTTGTTGAGTGGTCTTCGACAGAGGAAGTTCTCCTCTGGCGGCGCCTTGGGAGCAGTCGAGGACCAAGCACCCTGGGGCAGCCGCCGCTAAATGTATCCGCGGAGCGCTGCGAGTTGTAAGCGAGGATCGTCGCTTCAGGATACCGTATTCGGGTGCTGGCCCGCGCATTACAATCCCTGCAGCTTCAACGGATGCTTCGCGGAACGGGGAATAATCTCCCCGTCGTGACGGATCGCCGAGAAGGCGGCTTCTCCAGGCCAAGCGGGCATATACATGTGACTTACCGCTTTGGGATGGGACCCGACTCGACTCGACTCGGCTCGACGTTGAAGTTCTGACAAGTGCCAGGAATACACTGCTTTTTCTCAGGTAATGCAGACAGGTAGAAAAAGATCTTCCATGCACGCTCTCTTGGAGCAGAGGAATCAAGTGTACCTGCTTTTATACGATCAGAAATTCAGGAGTCCGTCCTGTATCCTGATGTATACGATCATGAGAGCCAGCGTTTTTTTCCTTTTTCTTTGTCAGTTGGGCAGTATTGTAGTAGTCTTTATATAATAGAATACAATGGATATAGCTTGAGAGTATTCATCAATCTCGTCACGATTCAGGAGATTCGAGAACTCGCAGCTGTACCCAGCTAGTTAACTTTTCTGAAATCAACTTGTTCCCAGGAGAACGGTATCCAACACAAGAGATGCTTCAAGACCCAGACCCTTGCCTTGTCGTCGGGACGTATTGGCGTTTTTTCCAAAAGCCATGGGTCATGTACCTAGTCAGTCCTCTGCTTCCTGGGTTTCCAATGAACCCTCTTTCCAGCCTTTATACGTAAAGAAAGCCCCTATGTCGGCTTTCCCTACCGAACTTTTCTGCGCAAAGACGCAAACTTCAGGAACAACATGAAAATGACTATTCATCTCTTGCAGCCCAAATGAGAGTATTCTGCATCCGATCTTAGCAGTCTGTCTTCATATATATGCCTCCTTACTCCCCACTTCGGCGTAAACTCTAACTCATTCCCTTCTTTCTTTTCTGGTAACCAAGTATCCGATTCATTTCGGAGACTTCTTCTTCATCATGAGTCTTCTTGGGGGGTTTGGACCTACTATCATTGCGGTCATGTGGACCGAAACTATCCTCGCACTTATCTTTGTGGCTATGCGTTTATACACAAGAATAACCATCAACCATAATGCGGGATGGGATGACGCCTTGATTACAGTGACTTGGGCAAGCCACAATCCGGAACTAGCCTTCTGGCGTATACTAACAAAATCTTCAGTTCTTCCTGATGCCATACAGTGTGGCATGTACCTTTGCAGCACTCAAAGGATTTGGTCGACACTCTGCAGAACTCACCCTTGAGGAATTCGCTGCTGCCACAAAAGCAGAGATCATTGGCCAAACGTTAGTTTTCATCATACTATTCCAACACTTTTTTCCAAGCCTGCTTACACAGATACAATGAATGCAGTTTCTGTATTATAGGGATTGCGTTCAGTAAAGCTTCCGTGGCTCTTTTCCTTCTAAGAATTACCACTGTTCGATGGCATCGATGGGCGCTTCACTTCTTGGTCCTGTCGGTCACCGTCATTTGCGTCTGTTGCGCCTTATTCGATTTCATACGATGTGATCCTGTGGCGCATGTCTGGGATCCTGACGTGCCGGCCAACTGCTGGATCTCAACGGGAGGCTTCACTGCCCTTTCTATTACTACTGGTGGTAAGGCAATCGCAACCAGTTTCTAGACAAATGTCTAACTCGCTCTAGCTGCCTCATCTGTCGCGGATTTCGTCCTGGCGGTCTTGCCTTGGTTCATTCTATGGGACTTACAGATCAAGCCAAAGGAAAAGGCTCTCATTGCGGCAGCAATGAGTTTGGGTCTTATGTACGCAGTTCCAACCTTCATAATTAACGACGCAGCTAACGTGTATCAGCGCTATGGTTTGCGGGATAGTGAGAACTGTTACCCTGAAACAGTTAACTGCAAGATCAGACTACTCCTGTAAGTGAACATTGCCATGAAAACTCTCCCGGGACCAATTGAAAACTAATCTCAACCACACAGTCCAAACTGTCGGCCTGATCTTATGGTCATCGACCGAGTTGATGGTATCGATCCTCACTGCTACGATTCCAACCCTCCGACCCCTCTACAAACAAATCCGCGGCATGTACAGCGACAGTAACAACAAATATCCTCGCCAAACCAATGGATACCGTCTTGACAACATGCCAGATGGTAAGAGCGATCCTGGCTTTGGTCCTTCCAACATGTACACCCGAACCGAAGTCGTGGGCGGCCAGCAGAAGAACGACGATAATAGCGATAAGAGCATACTTGGCCGTTCAGATGGACCCATCATACGCACCGATGCCGTCACTGTCGAATACGAGGATGCGTGGAGTAATAAGTCCAAAACCAATGTACCCGAATGGCAGCGAAACAAAGCTTCAGAGCAGGAAACAGTGTAGAGGCATTCTTTTTATCTTTTTTTTATTTTTTTGGAATCCAGAGATGTATTCTATATTCTACGATACCGGTGTTATGTCAAGTATTATTAACGGGAGAAATGATTTCTGGAATGGAGTCTACCTCGCCATTGTTTCTTGTTTATGGAAAAGTTTAAGCGGTCTGGATGGATAGATAGGTAGACATTGTACTTTACGAGCGAGCATATCCAATGAAGATTGCTCATTTCTGAAGCTTTCCTAACCAACTAGACAGCAGTTGAAGTCGGAATCAACATAGTTGTAAGACCTTATACCTTACTTCAGAGTGCTTTCAGGGGTATTACTGGTTAAGGAAAGAGACAGCCGAAGACTTGATGGATAGGGGTTGATGTTAAGCGAAGCGATTTTACACCCCGGTTGGCTACTCCGCATTTCTTGGGCCTCAATCCAGGTGCTACAGTAGAAGCATTGGAGCAGCGGACGCCAACAAGAGGTACAGCTTCAATCTGAATATCTATTAATGAGACCAACCATGTGCACTATTGTGAGAATCAACTGAGAATCAAATAGCCGAGAGATGATGATACTTTTATATTACAGTAGACAGAATAATGTCAGTCGACCTTAAAAGTTAGGTAGGAGTGGAGGTCGTTTTAGCTGCTCGTTTTAGGAGCATTTACGTCGCGAGAGGTATTTGACCTCTTCTCAATCGTTCTTGCAATGTTGTCCCAGATTCCAGTTCCCTCCTTGATCCGGGTTCCACCATGTACACCAAACTGCCTGACAGCCCTCGTCATCCACCACGGTCTCTTTGAATTCATCTCCTTCGTATCCCGGGCATAGTTCACCAGGCCAAATCTCTCTTTAACTGGACGCAACTCTGCTACCTTCACAAGACTGACTCTGGGTTTGCCAATGAAGTTCATAGTTGTGATTTCCAGCTGGGCGTCTTTAGGAAGAGTTTGCGAATATCGAGTCAACAAATCCCGGGAATGTCGTGCGAAGGCGGGTAAGCGTAGGTGAATGTTCGCCACGAATGGAGAAGATATATAAGCTACGAATAACATTGGAACCGTTCCAGATATCATGACTTTAACCTATTAGCCCCAGGTCTCAATTAGGAACAGGGGTAAGTATTGAGCCTTCACGCATCACTTGACGATGATCACGTGATGGAGGGAACAAAGCCAACGGCGATGAAGAACAGGAAATCATCAAGAATTAGAATAACTCACCAGCGCCAGCAACCCATAGCGGCTCATGTTCGGCGAAGAAATGGGTTGGAACTACGACCAAGGTGAAGAATGTGAATATGAAGATGGTGGTAACCTTCAAACATCCCAGAAACACCGAGCGCCCTGTTCCGGCATGGTATACTAGTAAACGTTCCGGAAATACTTTGAAAATGTTAGACACACACAGGCACTCAGAGTTGAAAGCATTCAACTTACTGGGTCTTTTTGTGCCATATTTGGGAGCAGCTGATGACGTGCTATTGCCTCGAAAAGATTGCAAAGGAACCTTGGAGCGAGAAATCTGACGTAGGCATGAGGTTCGAAGCAAAGGCGCTGTCCTGTGTAGTGAAATCCGAGGTAGCAACATCTTTTGAATTGTAGAACATGCAGGACCCTCACTCGGGTCCAACAGGGGTGAAACGGCACGTGTCTGGAAACGGCGCGATACCTGTAGCTACGAGCTTTCAACGGCTAGGTAGCTGAGCTCATCACGACTGGCAAAAACTTTAATCAATCTGTCTTTCAAGTGGATGTGCTCGGTTTGAGGTTATGCCGTTCAGTATACTACAGGTCTGTGAAAGGTTAGAGTCTTTGAAGTCCAAATAACTATAATTATTTTAGCGCGATACGTGATACATTAGCCGCCAGGAGCCGCGCCGTATCAAAGACGACACCTGGGCAACTGGAGTTACGTGCTCCTCCGACTGTACTCCCACGACTGTCCTCCAATTGCTCGAATCGGTTACCATGATCCTGCGGAAATCGATGTAACAGGATACTAGGCACTTTGCCTTCTACAATGGCACTACGTATCTTGCGAGCGGCGCTCCTGCTCCTTCATGTCCTCAATGTCACGGCTTACACCCCTCTGTCGGACGATACGCTCAAAAGTCTCCCAGCGGCCGGTGACGACTTCGATATTAAGAGCGGGTCAATACTTGCACCAATTCTCGTCCCAAGAGTCCCTGGAACGCCGGGTTCTTTAGCTGTCCAACGGCATTTCGTAGACTGGTTCTCAACTCACCTCCCCGAGTGGACAATAGAATTCCAGAACTCGACCTCGACGACCCCTGCGACGGGGGATAAACATGTGCCATTTTCGAACATTATAATCACACGCGACCCGCCGTGGACGAGACCGGGAGATGTGGGACGATTGGCCTTGGTCGCGCATTATGACAGCAAGCTCACCCCGCCTGGGTTCATTGGCGCAACGGATAGCGCAGCACCATGTGCGATGATAATGCATGCGGCGCGGAGTATAGATGAGGCATTGACACAGAAGTGGGCTGCTATGGAAGCTACCGGGACTGCTGGTGGTGGCCTGGAAGAGGAGAAGGGAGTTCAGATTCTACTCCTTGACGGAGAAGAAGCATTCGTTCAATGGACAAGTACCGACTCACTCTATGGAGCTAGGTATGGCCTTATCCCCGATTCCTTCGAATCAATGGCTTACTTGTGAAAGATCACTAGCAGAAGAATGGGAAACAACCATGCACCCTGCCCTCTCCACCTACAAGACCTTGCTCAACTCTATTTCCCTCTTCCTCCTCCTTGATCTCCTGGGCTCTGCGAACCCCAAGATCCCCTCCTACTTTGAAACTACCCACTGGGCATATCGAGGACTAGCGGACATTGAATCGCGCCTCCGATCGCTCAACCTCCTACAAACCCAACCCCGCACGCCTTTTCTCCCGGAAAAAGAAAAACTAGCCAACACTTTCAACAAATTCGGTAGTATCCAAGATGATCATATACCATTTATGGCGCGTGGAGTGGAGGTCTTACATATTATACCTACGCCTTTCCCGAAAGTTTGGCATACGATGGACGATGACGGGGAACATTTGGATCCCCCGACGGTTGAGGATTGGGCGAAGATAATCACAGCTTTTGTTGGAGAATGGATGGATTTGGAAGGTTACTTCCCGCCGAAGGCACAGGCTGAAGCGAATGTTAAGCACAAGAGGACTATCTCCAGTAAGACTGAGCTGTGAGTTGAAATGTCTCCCTTTCTGGGCTTGGCTTACTTTATGTCTTGGTTTAGATCTAAATTATGATCACACTTTAATATAATAATATTTTGACCACTACCATGCTCAGCTACTGATCAAGTCTGAGGGATCAAACCCCCATCATACCTTCAAGATCAAGGTCTTAGCCATCCAGTGGTGGAATTTGTGACGCAACCCATCCTTCCTCCACATTTGGAAAAGAGCTGAAGGTTGACATTTCTAGTTTACCTCTCCTTTCAGAAGATTAAGTGGACCTTTTCTAAGATCTACAATCATTGCTTGTTTCCCAAATGTGGCTTACCTTTCCACCATCCCTATTCACATTGCTTTCTTGCACCACTTTCAACATGCAGTTACAGATTCTTCAGGTGTCAGAGGACGAGTGAAATGTGGCACGTGGCTCGCGAACTTGTCTCGCATTCCTTGAGACTCAGTCGGATCAACTTCGCAGTACCTTGTCAGCCAGCCTCACAGCCCTATATCACACCCTCTTCAGATGAAAATCAACAACAGAAGGATCACATTCTCACCGGCTAGGTTCAATTTCAGTTATTACATATCCTGGGCTGATCGAGAGAAATAAAATTCCTTCCTCCCTAAGCGCAGAGCTATACTTCGCCATGACGACGTTTGCAGATGCCTTACTGGCTGAATATGGACCGGCCATTGGGATCTCTGCTTGATTAATAAATTCCAGATCCGACATAGCGGACGAATGATTGATGGCCTTCTTGATCGAGCCTTGTCTGATCAGAGGCAGGAAACCCTGAACACCGTGGACAAGCCCGAGGACAATTATCCTGAAGCATTCGAGGAAATCATCCTCTAGAACTTGTGGTGTGGCATCGCTGGTAAGGAAGGTTTAGCTGCATGAAACCAAACTTTTTCTCAGATGGAACACAGAAATCCAATGGAGATTTCGATCTGCTAGCCACTGATCAGGCCCACATTGTTGATCAGCATGTCAAGACCGCCACCGGTAATCTTTGAAACTGCCCTCAGCAGCAGTCTTCACGCATCATAAGTCTATGTCAAACTAATGGAACCAGACCACAACCATTATGGAGGAGGCTAGCTGATACACCTTCAAGGAGGCTGAATCTCCAAGGTCGGCGTCCAGAAGACGAACGTTGGCAATGCGAGCGTTGTTTTGGTCTCTTTAGGGGCTGCTTGTTAATCTATCTATATGGCACGACGACATCGTAATCGTTGGTGAGCTCTTGTACCAGTGCCTTGGCTAATTGTATACGAGATCGTTACAGAACTATTGTTCTAAAGGCGAAAGCTCTCAAATTCTCATACTGATTAGAGTCTCAACACTCCTACAAGCCTTTCTCCTCCGCCCCTTACATCGTCATAGATGTACGTATGTATAGTCTACCAACAAGACTGTGAAACCGTAACCTGATCGCAAAGGAGCCAAAACAGGATCCCCACTATACTGCTCAGAATGCTCACTCTCAGCTCGGGTTGAAGTGGCAGCTGCTCACGCCCAGAGGCTAAAACGGAACCAGCGAAGGAGGAATTGGAGTTCAACTTATTTGGTGTTGAATCGGATATCTTAATTACTAGTAGATATGTTAGTCTCTGATATCACTCTCTAGGTAACGTACATACCGGTATATAAAACCCACCGTGCCCTACAGAGAGATAGTGGGACTTAATTATCAAGCCCGGGACATTCCTCACTTTGAGTACTGGTAATGTTATCATACGGCTGGGGATCCGTCCAAATAAGATTAAAACTAAATAATGAATTGGACATCAGCACTCGTGTATCTTTCCCATTAGACACACCTGCTAGTTTATGACGCAAACGAAGAGAGAAACTTACGAATCATCTGGATACGTAGGGGCATTTTTATCACCCAACGCCTCCACGATCTTAGTCAACTGGCCATGTTCCCAACAGATGAGGACATTCTGCGTAGGGTTGCCTTTATCGTACGTCTTCACCAACTTCGCGACGCAGTCCTGGTCGTCACGATCGCAGGACGTGTCGACCGTAAGGCCCAAGTCCGTAGCCAGTGGCTGGACCGTCAACAGCGGGCGGTCACGATGTCCATCTTAAAAAAAGAATCAATCCGTTAGCCCTTTTCCTGGAATGATTTGTTTTCTAGATAGGAAAAGGGGAGCCAAACCAGATTTCGGCTTCTCGGCGATAATGTAGCCGATGTTGTATTGGGATGAGTTCCCGAACACATTGCGGAGACACTGTGCGCGTTCTACGCCCTGCGCGGAGAGACCAGTTGATCCATTGGCAGGCTTTTCTCCGTGGCGGATCAGATATACGGTCTGGGCTGATGCGGTGGCGAGTAAGACCGGAAGAAGAAAATAGTGTGTGAGTTGCATTTTCCTTGTTGTTGCTATAGCCTATATACCGAGTAGACCTAGCAATGAAGATAGCATGAGAAAGTGTTCCGTCTCTTCATGGTAAAAGAGAAATTGTGTCTTCTTAAGTTCTTGTACACTCGTTGATAGCGGCCCATGGTCGAAACCATAGAGGATCTGCCTGCAGGAGATCTGCCCTTTAGCCTAGATTGATCGCCGTCCCGCAAATGCAAGCCATACTCCGCAGAGGATCCTGGAGTATTACTGGTCCCTAGCCGTGAGATCAAAGCAAATCATAGGCCTTAAAGGAAGCTGGGTGTCTGTTACCTTCCCGTGCCGTCTTTGCTCCGTACTCCGTAGACGAGGATTCCGGGGATTTCTGGTCAGGGGTTGGTATCTTGTCATTTATGGAACACCCGTAGAACCATCTGAGTTGATAGTCATCTGCCTATCACGTATCCGTATAGCATCATACCAAAAACTCATACCAAAAAATTCATAATCTGGTATAGAGTAGTTGAACAGAGAGTTTGCAAGTTCAGTAATAGACTGAAAGCATTCCCGATTCAGGGGTATGTATTTTGTTTAAGCGAACACCAGACTACTGATGGATGATGAGTAAGTAATCCACGTGAAGTCAACAGTTACTACTATTCGTCTGAAATACCTTTGTCATACTCCGTATTCTGATAATTCTGACTCCATATGCGTAGTGGCCGGCCTAGAAGCACATCTGATGATCTGATACGCAACCCCGCGAGCGCTTGTATAATCATCGCCAATTTAACCTTATCAGGAAGGTTATAAGCTTCGTATTCCGTAGGATTCTTCTCGTCCTACTCCGTGTATACCTTAGGTAGGTAATCATCTTTTTGGCTCAGAGGAAAGCGAATAAAAGCTTGACAAACTGGCACATGGTGTTGTCTTTGGCAAGTGCCACGATCCTGAAGTTTTGGACCAACTGATACGCTTCTATTCAAGATCAGTTTCTAAAATCCGCATTTCTGTCTTGCATCTTTCCCCTCTTTTCTTTTCTTTCTGTCTTCTCCCTGTTCTTCGCAATGATTCCCGATTCGATGACTAGTTGCGAGTTTTCTTGAAGTGCGAGCAGATGGAAGAGACTGCTAACGTGACAAATATTATATATAGAGTATTCGGGTTTGCCTTAACATGAATTCGGCTGCTTCGATGTCGATTAGATGTTGTCTTAAGAAAGCCGGCCAAAGACATTGTTATGACATCTATCAGCATTGACCTCCCACATTTCTACATGCTGATGTTGACGTAAATAGTAACAGTTCGCAATACATAGCTTGTATCCGAGTCTCTCTAACCCGACACTACACTGCGGTGATCATCCGGATTGACCATACGGATCGTCTAGTAAACTTCCGGGCCGGAGTTTTTGGGGTCTTTTGGGTTGGGTTCGGGTATATTTCGTCTGTTCTCGTAGTCACTGAGAAAAAGAAAGGCAAAGAGGTAGAGAGTTGTTTGAAAAGTGGATATCCATATTGATATTGAAAAACTCCTCAGGTGTCGCTAACATAACAGCGCACCTTTCCCAAACACCCTATCTCAATCATAAACGCCGTCCCAAACCCACATGTATATAACTTTCCGAAGGGCCAAAAAGGTATCATAACCAGAAACGTAAAAGTCGTAACATGTCCAGGCATTACTTTCTCCCTCTCGCCAACAATCTCTCCCCCAGCTCAGCGACAGCTGCACCCCAGGTTGCTTTGGTCGATTGACCTTTCTCTTCTACGTAGTCACCGCACCTGTTGAGAAGGAACTCTCTCATCTTGGGCTCGTTAAAGCGCTCTCCGTATATCACAGTTGCACTTGGCGAAATTTCCACTTTGATGCCATCATCACTGCTATGACAAGTCAAGTGAAAGGAGATCTCAACTTTTGTGGCCAAGGGACCTATCAGAAGCATCGACTTTACGAGCATCGAGTTGTCTGAAGTTTTCGTGGTCTCGGTAGGGCAGCTAACGTTCAGAAGTCGGATACTGTCGGCGACGGCATTGGCTTTGTTCCAAGCTGCACTGACCGCTTGGAGAAGGTCTCTGATCCGCGTCTTCTCTTGAGGTAACCCGCGAATGTGATCTCGGATATTTTGCAGGAAGAAATCCATTTGCGGTGTTAATGGTATGGGACACGATGCTCTGTTCGCTGCGATGTACCAAAGATCAATCCGTGAATTTGCTGGCTGTGCTGTATTGGAAGCGTTCGGCAAAAATGATGATGCATCAAAGACAAGCTCGATCTCTTTGCGATATGTCATGGAGGTTATAGTACCAGAGACTCCGGTAATAGTCCAGCCGTGCTCCCTCTCTATCGCATCTACTTTTCCTGCTTCGGGGTTAGATTGTGATCCATTCGGGGGAGAAGTTGATCATACCTTTAAGCAGACTGATTTCACTTGAACTCCAGCCTCGGCACTCTTCCCTAGTCTTCTCCGCCTGCCGGATGTCTTCTAAGAAAGCCTGCTTTCGTTCTGTGCCTGCCACAATCTCCGCCTCCTTGTCCTGAAGTTGCTTCTGCAATTCGGTAATCAATTGTCTTTTGGCCTCAATATCGGCGTCAACCGTAATCAGCTGCTGACGAGCCTGGCTAAGTTCTTCCTGATCGCAGTTGGCCAGCTCTTCGGCAGCAGATTGCAAGTCAGCCTCTTCACGTTCCAGTTGCTCGGCTTGACGAATAATGTGAGGAACGACAGAATCGAGAAGAGCTAATTGTTGATCTAGCGTCTCTTCATCCTTGAGCATGCCATCTGCAGTTTTCAACAGGCCATCTTTCAAGGTCGCAAGAAGAGTCATCCGCCATTCATACCACATGCCTTTGCTGAGCAGTCTTGCATGCGTCTTGACATTTTTCAATTGATTGTCCATGACGACCTTGACATCAGGCGAGGCAGAAATATATTCGCGGAATAACGGAGGATTTTCTTCGAAAGTCTCCGTCTCGATTTCGCGGACAGTCTTTCGACCTTCAGATATATAGTTCTTGAGCTCATGGCATGCCTAGATCACTTTAATATTTCTTCTGACGATAGAAAATATGCCTGGACTTACGTGTTGGAATAATTCAAGCATTGGGATGGTGGCAGCTCCAGCAGCGACACAATCCTCTAGAGATACGTCGGACTCTTCCTGCTTGCTATGTCTTGAACTAGGCGCCTTCGGTGCTATGGTATGCCTTCGTTTCGTTGTAGTCAGTTCCATGAAGCGGATGCTCGTCATGTTTAAAAAGTCCTGCAACTGAATGCGGTCGTCCTCAATACTTTCCTCGCTAACTGCTGGGTCTTCAATGGGCCCCTTCTCTACGAAAGGAACTGGCTCTAGGTCGACGGCGTTGGCATCTGCATCTTTGAATTGGCTGCTGCGAGGCGTCGTAGACTTCGCCTTGGCAGGCGAAGATGTTGTGGTTGGCGTTACAGATGCGTTGTTGGAGGTCTCGAGACTTTTGCGAGTAGCCCGTGTTAGTCGTCCAGTGGTATCGTCTTTCGATGGCGGCCCTTGCAGTTTGACATTTTTGACAGGACTTGCCTGGTGTCCCTTGAGACGTTTCATTCCACCATTATCCTCATCCTCGTCTTCCTCATCAAGCTCAACGGGCCGCTTACCCAGTATTCCTTTGGCAGTACCGATATGCAAGCTCTTGCGACCCTTGAGTGACTTCTTAGGCGTCATGCTTTGGATCATCTCTTTCAGATTGATAGTTGCATCCTTCTCTGCTTCCCTTGGATCTGCTTCGCGCTCCATGATAGTTCGTCCATTCTCCTTATCTTCTTCGATCTTTCTCTCCATGTCAATTTCCTCTTCCATTGCACGAGGATCATCAAAGCGTACGCCGCGGCCATTGTTGTCAAATTGGCTTGGAACAAAGGCGACTGCCTGTTCTCCTATTGATCCACGTCTGTCCAGAAGCGCAGCAACTCGAGGAGACCCAAGTCCGGCACGATCAATACCTATGCCGGAAGAAAGCCTTCGTTGAGGAGTCAAGACAAAGCTAGGAGTCGGTACGCCGCTATTCTTATCCACCTGGAATAATTTGTTACGAATCGCCGTATTAGGGGTCGCCTTATTAGGGGTCGTCTTGTTAGGGGTCGCCTTGTTAGGGGTCGCCTTGTTAGGAGTCGCCTTGTTAGGTGCCTTGTTGGGAGATGCCTTGTTGGGAGTCACTTTATTAGGGGTCGCCTTCGTAGGCGATTGTTTGCTCTTAATCGCAGATGACTGAGGAGTTGAAGAGGCAGCCATGATCTCGTCCTTGAAAAGTCGCTTTGGAGAGGATGTACGCATAACAACATTGCTAGACGGTGGCGTTTTGCCCGGTATTGTTGGTTGCGTAGGCTGGGGAGTGAGTTGTTTGGATGGAGTTGCAGGCTTCTTAACAGGAGTTCCACTGCTGGGCCTTGATTTGGGCGTTGTCGAATTTCGCGCTTCGACGCTTCTTCGTAGGCCTTTGCCCCGGAAAGCCGCGAGACTTGGACTGCCGGTCTCAGATGCGATAGTGTGCACAGGAGCTGACACCTTTGGGGGGGAGTTGGCAGCAACTTCTGCTTGGAACGGAGAGCTCCCAAGATCTGTCTCTAATTCCATGACCTTCTTCGCTCGTGCCCGGTTTCCGGTACTTGGCTGGGGATTAAGAATGCCACCAACGGCTGTCGTCATTTCCATTCCAACAGTGGCATCGATATCACCAATGGTGGTATCAGTCATTGAGGGCATGATTCCTCCAATGGCAGCCGTCATATCCATGGTAACATCTCCAGCAGTGGATTCCAAGCTCTCTCGATTCCTCTTGCTTTGTCTCTGGTTTGGGGCCATAGAAGATCTCCGACTTCTGGTCGAAGGGTTTCCCTGCGGAAGGACTCCACCAACGACCGAAGTGAATTCCATAGTCATTTCTTCGTCATCGTTTGAGATACTCTCGTCCGGGGTTGGCTGGATACCACCAACAGCCATTGTGAAATCCATGGTCTCATCTTCCAGAGACGACGCCTCGCCTGATGATCTCCTCCGTGTACTCTGACGACGAGTGGAAGACATTGACTTTCTCCTTGAATCCGCAGCCTTAGGGACCTCATTAGAAATTATACCTCCGAAAGCTCGAGTGACGTCCATGGACATTTCATCCTCATCAGCCTGTTGGCCAGGAAGTATACCACCAACTGCACGGGTCATCTCCATAGTCATTTCCATTGTCGCTTCCTCCGCTTCAGATGGTTCCTTGTCTCGCGATGGAGCAGCAGAATTGAAAGCTGGCAAAAAGGGGTTGACATTCTCTTGGTCTTGTTGGGATTCCAAATTTTGCACGGGAGTCTTTTTTGTAAACGGTGCAAATGAGGCTAGAACCTCATCATCTGGCTCAGAGTCTCCATGCTCATCGAATGCAGTTCCTTGGGTGCCCGCTTGTCGTGCTGCCAATCTCAAGGCCGCCTCCAGTCGACCACTTGAGTCAGTCGAAGCGGACTTCACTGATGCCATCGACATATCAGTAGTTTCGCCTCCGTCAATGCTCATCATTGTGCCATCGTCATCTTCCGAGCCGCTGATGGAGCCATCGTCATCTTCTTCGTCCACGACCTCATCAGCATCACCAGCAGAGCTGCCACTCAGGGGACTAGACGAGAACACTTCATCGTCAGGGTTATTGAAGTTCATGGGCGGAATGCCGGAACTTCTGCGCCGCTTCTTCTGGTGTTGGTCGCGCTGATGTGCAGGGCCGACAGCGGTTGTGTCCTCCTCGGTTTGCTCAGGCGGGGTAGAAGGTGGCTCTGAAGGATCAGAACTTGCGAGGCCCGGGGTTTGGTGGTGCGGCGACGCGACAGTATCGCCTGATATGGATGAAGCTCGACGGGTTGAATTGGTAGCATTTGATGAGGTGGTAGAATCTTGGTATTCAACGACAACATCCCAAGTATGCAGAGTGGCTTCAGGTGCAAATGAAACGCGTCGATTTGCTAAAGATTTACGCCTAGCATCTCTTCGTGAATTGATTTCTTTCTCCAATTCTTGCCTCTCCCTTTCTTCGCGTTCGCGCGCCGCAGCTTGCTGTTCCTCCTCCGTTCGTAGAGTAATCCGTGTCTCATTAGCAGCCGCACGATCTTCAATTTGAAATGGGTTTGGAAGACTGTCAGCGCCTGTGACAGTAGGCCCATCAATGTTGAAATCTATCAACAACTCTTCCTGCGGGGTGGGCGGGGTCGATTTCTTTGGGCTTCCGTTCCTTTTTGAGATATGCGCCGGGATCTCTCGCAGTGGTGGGATTGTAGGTTTGAGGATCGATTTCGGAGGAGGGTGGGGGACTGTAGCCAACGACTGAAAGCACATTAGTGGTATTCCTCTGATCGTCATTGAGAGCATACTTTGCGCCGGTTCCCAGTTGTATCCTTGAGCGCATCTAACCCACCAGGGCCGATACTTTTACTTCGCGACTTCTTTGCGGGTTTTTCAATCGGTGCAGCCTTTTTTCCTGCCGCCAAAGCTCCAAAATCTGTAGTCATATTCTCCTGATCCATGGCCGACGAAGGTATGTGAGCCAGTGATTTCCGAGATTTCGTTCGCGACGCAGGCAGCGTTACTTCTTCTCGTGCAGACATAATGGATCGAGACAGAGCGGGAAGCTCAAGATCTCTGGTTGGCGATTTGACACTCAATTGACCATGAGTTGTCGCAGACTGTGGACATGGAAAGCTTCACTCGTTGCTATGCACAAGTCACGTAAACAAACATCGCGTCTCGATGATTAATGCATTAGGTAATTATGTATGACGCTAGCCGCAGTCACTCTAGCCTCTCAGCCCCACCAAGCCCAATGCTCGCTCCAGCCTCCAAGTCACGGGACGCACACAAAGTCTAAGCGAGCCCTCTGAAAAATTGAGCCCTCGCTTTTCTTCTAAACCATCAGCTCAGCACCGCCGACGACTTGCGACTTCGACAAACACAACCGCAACCATGGCCACCGAACTTACCGTCCAATCTGAGCGCGCTTTCCAAAAGCAGCCTCACATCTTCCTCAACTCCAAGGTCAAGACCAAGACTGCCAGACCTGGCAAGGGAGGACGAAGATGGTACAAGGACGTCGGATTGGGATTCAGAACACCAAAGACCGCGATTGAGGGAACCTACATTGGTATGTGGATCTGCCGCATTGAGAATTGGGACTGCAGCCGGCATATGGCTTTTCGTGCTCGGTGGAAGATGGGATGAAGGCACCGCCATCTCAGTTGGAGGGCGTTGAGGCAATGTGGGCGCAAGGCATAGAGAAATTGTTTACTAACTTCGCCATCCTCACAGACAAGAAGTGCCCCTTCACTGGTCTCGTTTCCATCCGTGGCCGTATCTTGACCGGAACTGTTGTTTCCACCAAGATGCACCGAACCCTCATCATCCGCCGAGAATACCTCCACTTCATCCCAAAATACTCCAGATATGAGAAGAGACACAAGAACCTTGCTGCGCACGTCTCGCCAGCTTTCCGTGTGGAGGAGGGTGACCAAGTTACCGTTGGACAATGCAGACCCCTGAGCAAGACCGTACGTCCTCCAGTCGCGCCTCGAATACCCGAAGGAGACCCAATATCTGCTAGTGATAATATAAAGGCAACTGCTAACAATCCACCCAGGTCCGATTCAATGTTCTCCGCGTCCTCCCCCGAACTGGCAAGGCTGTTAAGCAGTTCAACAAGTTCTGATCGGTTTTTTCTGGGATTCATTGACATGGCTGCATGGGGTTTTGTCGGTTGCAGATCAGAATGGAGGGTTTGTGATCATATGGAATTCGACGAAAGCTGGCATGGGAAAAGTGCATTAGCTACAGAGACTATTTGAATGCATGAACCATCCTATGACTCCGGGATCTCGATTGGTGATTGGTGATCTGGAATATCAGATTTGAAGGCTGGCCTAACAGGTCTAGGTCACTACTAATTCTTGAGTGTCCAGAGATTTCAGTGATTTCTTTCCGGGTACCTGGTTCAGCTAGCAATCTGGAGCAAGGTGTTCTCCCATTACAACAAAGCCATCGAAACCCCCCTAAGCAAGGTCCGATGGAGGCTCGAGTAATACCAGGAAGCTCAAGAACTCCAGTCTTCCAATAACAGCTTCTTGCCCTTCTGGTCCAGCACAGTAACTTCTCGAATCAGCCATTACCAGACCCTAACGAGGTTCTCTGAAATGCTTTATTTATCCTTTGTTGTCTGCAGAAAGAAATTTCTCTAGAGGGCTAGTCAAAGTTCGACATTACAGGAGAGCCCTGAAATCTTCTCCATAATGGCCAGCTAGAATTCGTGGTGATCGGGGGTAGGATATGTATGAAATCTCTTCATGATCCACAACTCATACTGTAGTATCTGTCGATTTAATGCAAAGTTTCTCTAGTTCAATGACATATCTTCTACAAGTAGCGAGAAGACGACTTACGACAAACTGTCACGCACCTATACAGGGCAGAATGGACGCTACCGAAAGAATATATTTTGCACACACAAGTTCCCTACTTCTCTTCTAGTCAGAATTTATACCTTCATTCCGAACAAACCACCTGTGTAGTCATTTTCCATCGCCACCGTCCAATTGCGTGGTTGGATCAGAGGAGGACAAGCTTCCTTGGCAATATCACTTCAACGCATCACTAGGCTCGAACTGTACCGCAAAGATTCTAATGTTGGGTCATTGAGAAGGCCTCACCAGTTTGCTATGAGCAAATTACTCTAGATGGGAGACAGGCTCCTGGTCATCTAAAAACACGACTGCCATTCTCATTGCATGGAAATGACCAGCATATCCACTGTTATCAAATATTCAGTCACTGATAACAGGTCAACAGGTAAATTAATCGAAATATAACACAAGGGATTGTGTTCTGACAAAGGAAGTTGGAGCGTTTCTGGTGAGCTAGTGGAGTCCGATTAAACTGTTGATTTTGAGTTGCAAATGGAATTAGTCTTCGAGTATCTCCTTGCCAGGCATGACTGGCTTACATGGCAACAGATGTGCGGACTTACTTCCACATACATCGCTAGCATATAGTTTGACAAGTAATGATTTTGAGAAGTTCTCTCTTGGTTCTGTGTGCGAGCCGCCGATGTGCAAATAATTGTATTTAAAAATACTTCATCCGCACCATTGTGCTCCTCCTAACTACTCCTTCTACTATGATACATAGGTATCTTCTCACATTACCTATGACTTCGTCACAGCCGGTAGTACAGCACAGATTATTCCCAGACATTACTCTCGTTGCAAATAACTCACCTATTGTCCATCACTACTAGTTCTCCCCATGTTACTCCTGTGGATCATCTAATATTGAGTTCTATTTTTTTAGCATTTCTCTGCGCAATATCTAAAATCAGTAGTAAGGTAAATGGAAGAGCCAAAAGGAAAAAGAGCAAAGAGAAGAGCAGCCAGGGGTAAGGAGAGAGAAAAAAAGAAGGGGGGGGGGGTCCCAATTGACCAGAAACGAAAGCTGGTAGGGACATCTTGATACTTGACAGTACTACCCATAAATTCCAAGAATATATCTTACGCTTGCATAAAGCAAGACAACCCACTTTGCAGAAGTCCTGTATTCCAATGGAGTGACAAGGTAGACTTGTGAGATTTTGCTTGGAGGCTGGAGCAAGTCATACCTGCAAAACATGAAACGAGTATTTATTTCGTACTTCATATAAAAGCCATTCAATATCCAATATGAATAAATTCTCCCAAAGCCGCTGTGAAATAAGAAGATAATGTATGCTCTGAAAGTCATATGATGATTTAACCCCTTTTCACTTCTCGGTCACATGACATACGCGAGCTGGGAACGCGTTGAAACCCAACCGCGTCAAACCACTCTCAATTTCTCTTTACAACTCGCTACTTCAACATTCAGCATCGACCCTTAAGAGTACTGCAAATCTCGAATTGCAGGGCCCTGCAACTTCGAATGCTAGCTGTCCCATTCGAGTACCTCTTGTTATTTCCAATCATCCATCCATTCCCCGAGTAACTGGGCATAGACACTAGCAACCGCAATGGGCATCTCCCCAGAGCTTGGTTCGTGTTTCTCCTTCCTTTCAATATTATACAGATAAGGATCTCCAACATTCAAAAGCATCATCTCAGCCCCTGAATTTCACAACTTACCTAATACCCAGGACTGCTTTCCCTCCTGCCGCGCGAACTGCGGGATCGAGTCTACACCTTCGTGTTAGACTTTAAAATACCCGTTGTCGATGGAAGACCCGTAATCGATCGTTCCGAGAAAGCAATAAAAGAGGCATCTCTCCCAAGAGCCTCTCTCCTGCGTGCCTCTCGCCGTATCCATGACGAGGCCAGAATCATCCTATACCGGGTCAACGAATTCTTGCTCTTCCTCGGCTTCGACTACAACAACCCTGCCAACCACAGCATCATGTCGCGGCCCGGCTTTAGGGTCATGTTTGCGCGCCACGATCCCACGAAAATGGGCACAAACCAAAGTTACTATGAAGTGTGCAAAGTACAACGTTGCTATGAGCTACCAAGGAATATGGTCAAGTATATGCAGAGAGTTACTCTCAACATGGGTTGTTCTCTTGGGGGGATTGCAGAAGACGACATTGTGCCTTTTAAAAAGCAGACTCTTTTGGGACCCCAGCGGCCTACATTTCGAACGTTGCTGATGGCGCTGGAGGATGTATGCACGTTGTTAAGAGGATGCACCAATCTCCGTTTCTTAAAGATTTGTATCAGGAGTGTTGAGTCGACGCCTGGGTCGATGCAACAACTTATCGAACCGCTTAAAGCGATGAGGGGCATTCAGGAGTCATCCCTGTCAGCTTGCGGATTTCTAGACGACAGGTGGGTAGATTGGAGTATGAAGCCTAGTTATTGCCGCTACCTGCAGCGGGTTATGGCCTTGCCCGAAGGCACGGAAGCGCCGAAATACGTGGGCGACGAAGAAGAACCGGTTCGGCATGAGAACGACATCTTCGACATGAATGCTATGCCGCCGGATCTGTACGATTACGATTGGGATCCGCCGGATCTGTACGATCTGGACACGTTTGATTCACGTGATGATGCGGCTGCCGAGCGACAGATTATGCGGGATGAATATGGGGTTGATGAATGGTCTTGATACAATCATCTGTGACGTGGATTCAGGTTTTGTGATACCTTTCTTGCTTCGGCTTAACTGAGCATCAAAGATACCCTATCTACCTACCTGTCTTGTAGCCTAACCGCCTAGTTATCATGTATTATATTCCTGTGGGGGATAGAGGGAGAGCTTGAGTCCATAGCTAGATACCTTACTCATCAAAAAGAGCAGAGTCGCGAGAGCTGCGCGCTTCTATGCTCATTCCCCACCGTGCGTTTGATTTGGCTTCTTAGTGATTGATTAATTCCCTGTACGCAATTACCCGTTCACCTACTCTGACTAACCTAGGTAGTATCCCCGTTCCCAACATTGCATAAGGTATCAGGGGAAGACGTATATATGTATACAGACATAAACTCATTATAATCTATTTACCCAACTGCGTAGACACCACGCCCCTATATGACGGGGATTCCCACAGCCAGAAAAAGCACCTATCCATACCTACTCCATCTCTACCTGAAGCTCCCTATTAGAATCAAACAGCAGCCACCCTTTTCCTCTTCGCCCTTCCTTTCCCCCTCCCTTTCCTCCGAGAATCCACGTCTCTGTATTCTTCCTCGCTACTCTCGTCCTGCGCATCTGCATCCCCACCATCTACATCTACATCTTCCGTCTCCGTAGTAGGGTTCTCAACATCCGCAACCGTGCGTTTCTTCCCCTTCCCGCCGCGCTTCCGGCTCGCTTTATCCTTCTCGCGAGCCGTGAGGCTGAGATCGTTCTTCTCCGCCCACTCGCGGGCCTGGTCCGCGAACGTTTCGCCCAGCGCTACGCTATTCTGCTTCTTGGCTTTTAGCTTGTTCACCGCGTCTTTCATGCGCTTGCTCCCCGGGGCTCTCTCGTTGCGGCCCGTAGTGTTAGCGCCCGTGCCGACCGCGCCGTCGAAGAATCGCGTGATGTTGCTCTGTGTGCCTTCTGCTGCGCGTCGGTTCATGTCCCTGATGACCGGGACTAGGACCTCGTCGGTGCGTTCCTGACTCCAGCCTATGGTAGCCATTAGGAAGTCGCGGAGGCGATCGAGGTCTGGGACGCCCCATTGGAAAGGCTCGGGGGTGGAATCCACCTCGGGGTGTAGGTATGCGTCGGTGACTGCTGGGGAGGGGAAGCCTGGCGGGAGGAAGAGTTTGGTGGCTTGGGCGCGGCGGAACTTTTTACGGAAGGTGGAGGTTTCGGATGATAGGGGTGTAGAGGATAGTTGGACGGAGGTCCACCAGTCTTTGAACTCTTGAAGCCCATTCTTACTGGGGAACTCGGACAGTATCTCCAAGGCGGTGACAGGACCAACGCCTGGCAGCCCTTCAGTGTAATCAGAGCCCAAGAGGTGAGCGATAGAGATGAGTTGGTCGCGGGAGAGGGAGAGCTCCTTCTCGAGGTCAGAGGCTAGGTAGCACTCGACGAATTTATTGCTGTTGAACATGTTTTTGTAGACACGGGTACCCCCGAAGAGGAAGATATCGGAGTCATCTGTTACGATACCGTCGACGAGACCCAGACGCACGAGTTCGGCGCATTGAGCCTCTGCTTCCATGGGGGCGGTAATATAGGGGAGGCCGAAGAGACGGAGGAGAGCTTGGCATTCGGTAATCATGATATGCGAGACTTCATCAGCGTCTCGCCGGTCTTTCTTCTGTTGTGACCGGAGAGCTTTGAGCTCCCTTTCATAAGCTTCCTTATTTTCCTGCTCGGATTTATGATTCAGAGTGCTGGCAAAACGTGCATGTTCTTCGGCTTCAACAGCTAGTTGAGCGAGAAGTTCGTCATCATCTGGATCACTCATGTCGAATTCATCATCTTCTTGCTGACGATTAAAAGAATCGTCATCTGCTGGTGGTCTCTCCGGTACATCTTCCGGGGGCGAGGGCACAGCTGCTGCAGTGTCGGGTATGTTGATATTCTCGAATTCTGCTGACGGACTCTCGTTTTCACCGTTTTGCTGTGGGACTTCAACATCTTCAAACTCAGGAGACGTCGATTTAGAGCCCGGAACGGTATCGAGTTTACCGTCAATGTTTCGCTCAGCGTCAACCCCGACAGGTTTTGCTACCACATCCCCATACTCGCTTTCCGACCACTCTACATTTTCATCTTCAGATCCTCCATGATCTTCCTTACTTGAGATAGGCTGTCTATCCTGAGGTACTTCCGAGACAGGAGGTTCGGCCCTAACAGCCTCTGCAATATCATCCATCTTCTCCGTGCTTCTTTTCGGAGGCGGCGGTGCATCCAGAACTTCAACATCACTGTCATTATCCGAAGAGTCAACCTCGATAGGTCCATGATCGCGACGGAAGATCATCTCTTCTTCAATCGCTATTTCTCTATCTTCAGCGTTCAGCTCGTAATCCCTTCTCTGCTGCTCTTGGATCTGTGATCGGATATCGCCGCTTTTGGCCAACCACGGTGGTAAAGGTTTAGAGGGTTGCTCTTCAGCCTGATTATCAAACCCGCCAGCCAATTCTTCCTCTCCCTCTCCATCTCCCACTTTGCCATCATCAGGCTGTTCAGATTCTGTCGCCTTCTTCGAGAAAATCGAGGTCCCGAAATCAAGCTTCTCAAATGGCAACGGTCCATCAAAAGGGCTCTTTAAATTCTGCACAACAGGCACAGGCTGTCGTGTCTTTTCCGGTGCCTTTGCTCTCCTAGCCTTAGCCAGCGCAGATTGCAGGTCCATATCACTATCACTGCCACTGCTGATACTTGCTGCTCTCCGTTTGGGAACCGCAGCATTGGCTCTGTTGTTGACGATATGTGCGATCATACCCCCGCTTGAACTTGTTATAGGCTTAGGAGCCTCAGCTGGGCGTTGTTCGTATTCCGGCATTGGGACGTCTTCGAAATCGGCTTCATTTTCAGATGGCGATTCATGGCGGTGTTGGGATTGAAGAGAGAGCGCAATAGCCCGGTTGAGGTGCTCTTCTTCGTCCATCTCCTCATTGGGCTCCTGATCTGGTTGTAAAGACATGGCTATGGCTCGATCCAAATCTTCATCTTCGTCGTGTCCATTGGTAGGATATCGTGCGTCCATTGAGTCGTCCACGAATAGGGAAGTGGGTTCTTCGGAAGGGACTCTAACCGCTCTCGAGCTCTCCTGATTTCTCGAAGCATAGAACTGCCGTCTCTGGTCAGCGATTTCTTGCGCCTGGAAATCAGTATATGTTTGATTATGATCCGGACGCAGTTTCGGCAGCCTATTCAGGCCTTCCACGGGGACATCTTCGAACTCTTCGTCCGACTCCTCACTCTCTTGGTTATCCTTGGCCTTCTGATGCAGAGCATCAACATCGATCGGCTTATTTCTCTCCCCTACACTCTTATCCGTACTCACAACCCCCAATGCCCAACCCCCTTCCACACCCTCGTTTTTCACCAGCACATATTCCCTCCCCCTCTCCCCAGCTATCCTCCCACCCTCAACCCCTAATAGATCACCATTCATACCATTCAGATGCATGAGCCGCTGGGTCAACTCATTCCTCTCCCTCACCCTCTCGATCTGGAATCGCGAAAAGGCCATGCGGTCCGGAAACATCTCCTCGAGCTGCTCCTTACTCAGGCCCATCCTCAGCCTACTCCTCAACCTCGCCGCATTCAGGATATTATACCGATCGACCGGCGGCAGACTCAGGAAGAACTCGCCATTAAAATCAATCTTCGAGAAATCGTACAGGTTGACATCCTCTCCGTTATGGAACTGCCGCGCGTACTCCTCCAGCTCCTCGGCCGACATGATCCGCGGGTCGTTGGGCGCGCCCATCTCGGCCAGATTCGGTATATCAGGGAGATGGTAGGCGTCCGTCTTGTGGAACTTGCGCGTGGACTGGCGTTCCGCGGCGCTCATGCCCTGCTCACCCACATAAACCATCTCGGCCTCCGCAGGCAACGCCTCCTCGTCCACGACCCCGGTATCCCCTCTCAACCCGGCCTTCTCCCGTTCCCTCTCCCTTCTCCTCTGCTCCTGCTCCTCCTCCCCCCTCCTCTTCATCTGCACCGCCAACAGCTTCCCCGCCGTCCTCACCGCATCCTCCCTCCGACCCTCCCGGCGCTTCTTCCTCCCCAACACCGTCTGCCGCTTCAGCGCCGGCGCCCCGCCATCAAACACAAACACCGGCTGGATGCCGAAGTACAGCAGCTTGCAGATCCGCCGGAAGAACCCCACGACGTGCGAGTTGCGCAAGGCGTTCCCTTCTTTGTCCCGCACCGCTTTCAGGAACTGGTAGATCCAGATCGACGCGTCGACCGCGAGACGCTTACGGTTCAGCGTGGGGAGCGGCGTGGGTCGCGCCGAGGGAGCGAGGATGGGCCAGAGCCCCGTCACTCCCATCTTGAATCCTTAGAGATGTCGAGGTCGATCCGTGTGCCCGCGGTCAGGAAGAGCTGTAATATCCGCACATCATGAGCGCGCGATTCCCCTTTCTTTCTTTATCCTTCCGTAAATATATTCGTCGTTCGCGTGATTCTTCTTCTTCTTCTTCTTCTCCTTCTTCTTCTGCTGCGGCGTCGTCCCCGCTCGTAGTTAAAGAGAAATGATCCATCAACCGCTTCATGACACGATGACGCCACCCCCAACTCGAAACCATCACCTAATCACGTGTTTTATTTCCCCTCTATCTAATCGCCGAAAAAGCACCACGATCCATCCACAACATCCATCCCCTCCCAGAAATCCTCCCCGCCCTCTTCCCTCCCAGACACACCTCAAAGTTAAAAAAAAAGAAGATCATGGATAAATCCGAAGCAACCGCGTACCTAACCTCCCTCCTCCACAAAACCCTCCGCGTCACTACATCCGATGCTCGTATGTTCCTCGGCCAATTTCGCTGTACTGATTCTGTACTCTCTCCCCTCCCCCCATTCCCTCAACCCCCCTCCCCCCTCCAAACCCAGCTAACCCCCCCCATCCCAAAAACAGGATCTCAACATAATCCTAACCTCCACCTTCGAATACCGCAACGCCAGCAGCCCGAACCCGACAAGTCGCTATCTGGGACAAGTGGTTGTCCCCGGATCGCATGTGGTGAAGATTGAAGTTGAGGAGTTTGTTAGTCAGATGAAAGGAGCAGCTGGGAAGGGTGCGGGCGCGGGTATGGTTGGCGTGGGGAGGGAGATTGGGGTGTGAAAGTGGGATGGGATGGGTTGAATTGGATTGGATTGGATTGCATCTACTTTGACGGAAAGGAAAGGAAAGGAAATGAAAAAAAGGGGAAAGGAAAGGAAAAGGAAAAGGGTGGGTAAGAAGCAGGAGAAGGGTGGGTGGGGAGGAGAGGAGAGGCGGCAGGCTACTCTACATATGTTGGACGGGCAGCATAAGAAAGATTCACGCTACGATGGGCGTGGTGTGGTGACTAGAATCAAGCCGTGTATGTCAAACCCTGGGATACTCAAATCTCCCGGAAACATCGAACAAAAAATGACGTTAGCTTTTCATTTCAAGAACTACATCCGACCCTATAGATACAAAAGCCAATACCTGTATACACTTCCCCTGTCATCCCCTCCCCACACTCGTCATGTTAAGCCTTGTTGCGGGACGTGAAATTACTGATTACCACCACATATGACCTCCGGGCGCGAGAAGGATAACGCAGCAACGAGTACATTCAATAGCAGCAAAGCAAGAGATCCTGGGAATATCCGCCACCGGTCCAAAATATAGTGACTCTCCATCCGTGCAACACCAGCTCGCCCAAGCTCGCCCAACCGTCTTTCCATACTTCATTAATCCTGGCGGGGTGACTTAAGCAGCGGCCACAGCCTCCTGTCGGCCTCGCGACTCGCCCTCCACAGTGTGCTCTTGGATGGATGGGGCGGCGGCCTCTTCCTCTTCTTCCTCTTCTTCTTCATAGCCATCGGCCTTGTGAGCGCTAGCCGGGATCCAGAGACCTGACTCGCGGTCATTCAGTGGGGCATCTTGGGCGGTCAAGTCATGTCCGTCAATGGTACGGGGGATGTTTGCACGACGGCGTTGAGAGAGGGTGCGAGAGCGGGTAGAGAGCTTAGAGGACACGGCAGCGTTGGCAGTGACCCAGTTGGTGAGAGCGTCCTCGCAGTCTTGAATGATGGCCTTGGAAGCCTCGTATCCGTCGTATGCAGCGCGGGTCTCGCCGGGGGTGACAGGGGTGTCATCGATAAGATCCAAGAGGTGCTTACCGTAGCCAGCAATGATAGCGAGCTTCTCGCAGTGTTCGCGGAGAGCATCGAATTGGTAGGTGTAGGCGGCCTTGAGCTTCTCGCGGGTAATGTTGGAGAGTTGGGCCTCGGCGACAAGAGATTCGGCCTCAGCACGGACAAGCTCCTGTTCGAGAACGACGATCTTGGGAGAGTTGGGCTCCTTGTACTTGAGCTGAGCAATCTGGTCGGTAATCTTTTGCTTTCCTGTTCATGTAATCAGCCACCACTTCCCGCACCATGGACCCATTGAACTTACGGTCTCTGCTGGGCTGGACCGAAGCCTCGATGTTTCGGATGCTCTTGATTGTGACACGGTATTGGTCGTAACGGTCGACGTACTGATCCTCGAGCTCACCGACCTCGTAGAGTAGGACACCAAGCTTGTCCGTAACATCCGAGACGTCATCATCACATGCTTCTCCCCAGAGGGAGAGTTGTTGCTAGGGAAACTGTCAGGGTCCAGAAGACTTTTGCGCGGGGAGATGTAACTCACAGCAACTTCCATGCGCTCACGGCCAACCAGCTCCATGCTTCGCATAACGTTCTTCTCCATCTTCACGAGCTGGGAGAGCTTCTTTGCGAGATCTGGGCCGAACTGGCCGGCGGTTCGGTGACGGAGAGCATGGCCTATTGGTGGGTGTTAGCAAACACAAACTACATCACCGTGAAGTATATCAATGCGGATCTGATGCCACGATGTTCGGATTGTGACGGAAGAGGCATGCAGCGCGATAGCTGGCCTTGCAAGCAAAGCATAAGCAAGCGCCGGAACAGAACATGCGACCAGAGACCACACGACTGATCAATCGCTGCCGCATTTTCTGCTCTTCATGTATGACAGTTCCGAACCATCTTCACAATCCGACCATCGGGCATGTGTATCCCTTCCGAGCAATGGTATATAGATGTCCACGTCATAGACAGGGTTGCTCACCGAAACCACCCTTCCCAAAGAGTCTCCCCGTCTTGGTGCTCGAAGGTGGTGGAGGAGGATTCTGAAGCTGCGAGGCCTGCGGAAACAGTCAGAACATGTCGAGAACGCACCGAGGTGTATGCGCCGTTGGGCGCAGAAGAGGCACTTACAGTAGGAGCCCGCGATTGTCTCATAGAATACGTGCGATGCATGGTGGCGACGTTGAAGAGCTGCAAATGCGAAGGGGAATCTGTGGTGGTTGTAGAGAGCAAGAGGCGGCCGTAATCACTTGTATCGTTCGTGAGAGTGCAGGTAGAAAGCGGACGTTGGTTGTTGTAGTTCTTGGACGGGAGGAGGGAGTTTGAAGTTGGAGATGGAGGGAGTTCTGGGTGTTTACCTCTCAGCTATTTAGTGGTGACGACCGCCACAGCCCCTCTACGTCATCCGTGAGCGATGCACCATCCACATCGGGCCTAGCACCAGATCGAAGCGCTGCTCGTCTCTTGGTCGTTGCTCGTCGTCTCTGGTCGTCTCCTCATAGAATCAACCGCTGCTCGTTCTATTGCAAGCTTGTTCAGCTGGACCCTTAACCCAGGCACAGTGCTCCCTTCTCCGTCCCCGCGAACCCGGTTCTGATATCATCGAGGCCAATCCCGGCATCCCGTTCTCCAAGCACTCGGCAGGGTCCTCCCATCCTGCGGACCGGCTCTTGCAGTCGGCCAGCCTTGCCTTTCTGCCTCTCTCCCCGCGTCAAGAGTCGGGAGTCGGGAGTCGGGACACGCCTCGCCTCGTCTCGGAAGTCCCGGTATCTTGAGTGCTGAGTCTAGACACTCGATCAAAGACTCAGAGCCGCAGAGGGCCCCTCATGGTCCATCTTCCATCAAGCCTCAAGCCCGGGTCTCTACGTCACTACTCTCACACGCCTACTGTTACGCTTGTTGCAATGATCAAGTCATGCTCGCTATTTACGATTGCGGGACTATTGCTGAATTGGCATGCTATACTCGATGTGGGAGGGCTAGGGCGGATGGAGACGGACTTGGTCTCCATCGCAACCGGCAGTTGGTGACGATTGGACTCCGGAGGCGAGATGTAATCATCGCCCTCGACCCGTCTCCTCCATACGCGCATGTGCTCGACCTCTTCCACATAACAATAACAGGTTCTTGGTCGGCCATGCTCAAATATGGATTATAACACCAAGAAAATCATGCCACTCCAACCCCCCCCGCTTGTTTTTGCCGGCCTGTCAATCCAGTACTGTACAGTATAATGCAGCTGCCTCTCCCGCGTATGCCCCCCATCCCCCCTCCCATCCAGAGTGATGCAAGAAAACCACCGCCAACACAAAAGTTTTGCGGACCGAGCCCAAAAACCCAACCCTCCCTTTCTATATGGTGGAGACACAGCGGCCTCCGTAAATGCTTAATCCTGCGCCGGGAAAGATCGCGAAAAATGACACGCGGCATGAAAGAGACAAATGGAATATCGCTAAAATGACAGTACTTTGCGTACGGAACATGGGTATCAAGCGTAAATCGTGACGAGTATGTATGTAGATGACTGGGCCGCTCTGCAATAAAAGGTTATAAAAGGGTATATGGAAGGGAGATCAACAGAGCCAATGCCCCAGATGATACACGGAATGAAATGAAATGCAAGGCGAGATTCTTGACGCCGAGCGTGGAGGATCGTGGACGTTGCGGGCTGTCGTGGGTGACGCAAAAGATCATGCGATCCGCCATCGTGTCGTTATGCTTGGGTGGAGTTGAGCACCCGCATTCTGCAAGATAGTCTTGCATTTGTACAGACGCTTCCCCTTCTCCCTCATGACCGCTCTCAGACCATTGTTGTGGGTAACCTCCGCAATGTGTATCTGTTTCGCAGCCTCGTCCAGTTTCGTCTTGACAGCCATCAAGACGCTCCACTCATTGCCGTCCGGGCCTTTCGAACAGCAATTGACCATCGCAGATTTCCTGGACGGATCGACCAACTGTAGAACATACTCTAAGATCTCGTTCAGGCCTCTCGTTGCAATGTTGAATACCAGAGTATTGCCTTGAGGGTCCAGAGCATGTAGCGCTTCGGGGCGCCTGGGATCGTCTGGGGGAATCAGGAATCTGAACAGCTCTGCGGTCTGTGCGGGAGTCTCGGGCGTCCGTTCCTCGTCGTCATTGCAGCGGGCCAATGTTACCAGCGCATGAGCCGGTGTCATGCCCGTCTCGTCAGGCCCATTCCGATCTCTGCCATTTTTGAAAGCACAATATAGTTGGGCCAAGTAGGAGTTTGAGTGTGCGTTGTATTGGTTGCAGATGCTGCACTGATAATACCCAAAAAGCGAATTCGTAATGCCTCTGGCACCTCGGGCAATATCATGGAATCCGTATGCCCGACTGTTGTTACTATGCGTTCTTTCAGCATCGGAAAGGAATAATTTGACCTCTGTGATGCCATCCTGGATCTTTGCGTAATCGGATGGAGACTCCATCTGTATCTTCATAGCGGCCTTGTTCATCATCTTCACTGTGTTTCGACCGGTCGTATCAAGAGCATTCAGGTAGAGCTCGGCGTAGGGGAAGACACGGAGAACCTTCTGGTACATTTCTCGCTCGAGCGGATATTGTAGAAGGGTGTGGAGTGGGGTCCGGCAATATATGTCGCGCTGCATCAGAAGTAGTCCAGGTGGATTCTCTCGACTGTTGAACCACTCCAAAAGGGTAATAAGCTGCTCTCCCAGGCCTAGCGGGTTTAGGACATGAAGGGGGTTCTGACCGAAAACATTCTGCGGGAAGCCATCCCACTGAAAGGGACTCGAAAAGAATTCAAAGCCCACGCCCGTGCACATGAGATAATGGATTGGATGGTTTCCTGCGAAGTCGACTCTGGGAACGTCTGCAAGAAGCATCATGGCAGACATAAGGTTATTAATGCCCATAGCCCCCGCGTGAAGCATCAAGCTATGCCATCTCGTGAAGCCACACACAGAACAACTGCTGAAGGGCTCTTCCCATGACCAGTTACAATGGTCCTTGCCGCATGGGATCACACGTAGGACGCCATTCCATAAACCGGCAACGGGGTCATGTTTCGGTGGCTTTGGTAGCCTTGGTTGTGAGAAATAGTAACTTGCATTACTGAGGGAAGAGTTTGTCGTCGCAATCGATGCCCGGTGGCTTGAAAAGGTGTCGTCGTAACCCGTGTACGACGAATGCGTACTTGCAGAGGCGAAGGTAGCGGTTGTTGAGATAGACGACGTTCGATTCAGTGAATGGGTCGGATAGCTAGGGACTCGCATGTGCGGCGGGAGGAAGAAGTCCTGCGGTATGACTTGCGGTCGGGCATGTTGGGGGGAAGGCTGCGGTTGTATGGGTCGGACTAGCTGTCGAGTCTGAAAAGGGGTCGCGGCACTGGGGGGGATGTAGTCGTCCTGACTCGATATCCAGGCAAAGATTTCACGCACGACCTGCTCCCGCTCCAGCCTATCGAGGGGAAACAACCAATCCCTATATCGGTTTTGGTACGTCTTGTACCTGTTCATCATTAGCTAGCCCACGCGCAATGCGCCGGTGGTGAGACCTACGACCACTCCAGCCTCGACTTCATGGCATCCTCGACCTGTTTAAAGCTCAGCATGGCCATGTAGTGTCGCACCAGCTCTGGCTGGTACGGGCGTTCCCAATCCGCGTTCGCCCTCCTGCCTTCGGGGTCTCGGTGCTCTTGAATCTTGCGGCATTGTTCGTCTGTGAGGGCGTAGCACTGGTCTCTTGTCGGGAGTGGCAGGCCGGATGAAGCCATGCTGCATCTGCGTAGGGGGTTGCGAGATTCCAGATTGCGCGGGTGCCCCTTATCGCTTCCATCTGCCAGAGAGAATCATCCACCCAAGGGCATAACCAAGACCGAGGGGACGGAGCGCGCGGGGTGCGAAACCGTTGCGATTGAAAAGGGCGTGCTTGGTGCTTGGTTGCTTGGTGCCTGGTGCTTGCTTTCGAGTTCAAAGGGGGGGTGCGGAAGATTCTGATTATGACAGTGTTGGATTACTGGGTATCACCGGTGGAGTGGGTTCCTGTACAGTATTCCGTAAGTACGGAGTAATCGTATAGCAGGTATGGATGCTCGCTTCCGCGGGGGCTATATAGCGAGAATTCAGCTCGAAAAGGAGTGATCGACCTCTGGCGGATGGCACTCCGGAACAGGCAATGCTGAAGAAAGGGTGAAAGGCTTGGGGAGGGGCAGACTCCGTGGGACCATGGACCATGGACGATGTTGATGGATGGTAAGGTGGTGGTGATAGCGAGGCAGGTGAAGAAGAAGACAAGGAGGAGGAGGAGGGGAAATGCAAGAGGAAAAGGAAAGGGAACAATTCAAACACAAGAATAGCAGTAGCAAGAGTAAGTAAGGATAGGCCATAAGGACAATAGGAGCTATCTAGGACTAAAAGAAGTTATAAAAGCAATAATAGTATAATAGTACCATCGCGCTGGAGAAGGTATCCTTAGCCGCACCCCGTAGGCACGCCGGGTGGTGGAGACGCGGATTATTGCGACAAGAGGTTCAGCGAGATGAGATCGATCATCGACCGGAGTTACTTCTACGTAGGTAGTAGTGACCTAAAAGCCTGCGTGGCCACCGCAGTATATCTTCGAACTCGGTACTTGGTCAAGTGTATTCGCTACCAACAGACTCCCATTATTGCCATGATCAATCAGCCATCACTCATCCGCCATCGTCGCCGCTCTTTGCTCTTTGCTCTCTGCTCTCCTCCCCTTCCTTCGCCTCCGCCTTCCCCCTCTCTTCACCCCTTCACCCGTGGTCATTAATGGCCCCTGAGCCCTCCCTTTGTACCTGCATGAGACGAGCAGCGCCAACAGGCTCTCCTCAGTGCTGGAGTCTGCAGGCCAGAACGGCCAAGCAGAACACTCCAATAACATCCTCATCCCTTCGTCCCGCTGCTCATGACTGTGTGCCCCGTACGGAGGATTCCGTATGATTGCATGGCAGTGGCACTGATAAACAGAGTGTCCCCGGGCCCGACTGCCCTGGCCCCTTGAAAAGAGTGTGAACTTTGAAGTGCGAACCCGCATGATGCATCATCCCACGAACCGTGACGGCCCGTGCGAATTCTGTATGCCGTCCCTTGGGGTTGACCGCAACTTCTGCGAGCGACTCCTGTTTGTTACCAACTTGCCACTTACCACCTACCACTGTACCTGCTACGTACTACTCCTGTGCTGCTGTATACTCTGCAAACTCCGTCAAGCCCTGTCTGCTAGTTGGCGAGGATGTGCACCTCAATCTCGCATCATGGCGAATAGCAATGAGCATCTTGTTGGCGACATCGACGCCTCCCGAGTCCCCGCTCTCTTATCTGGTGGAGTCCTGGCTCAAGGCTCGACCCGATAATCACTCAGTGTCCACACTCCTTATTCGTCTACCGTCCCCGAGGTATGTCACTTCGTCTTGCAGAGGAGACTATTGGCTACTCCGTACTCTGTACGTATTCTCGGAGTACCCAGCCCCTAATCGTGGGTCTTCGAGTCTTCAGTATTGATAATTGATTACCTACCGTCGGGACACCAGGCGTTGGAGATCCCGGTCTTCTGGAAAAACCCGGCGGCGATCCTGGAAAATAATCTACAGACTCACAAAGTATAGCATAGGACGCGCCTCCTGCGGCTACCTTTCTAACTTTGAATCAGCTTCCTGGTTGTATTTCTGGATTCCATATGGGGGAAGACCCTGAAAAACTCTGAGAGACGATCACATCGAGACGGCTGCGCAAAGGTACGCGAGGTTGCTCATAAATTGAACTGCGAGTCCATCTGATAGGCTGGCGCCGAATTTTTGGCCGTTAAGTTCTAATCCCTACCCTGATTCGGCTCTTGTCCCCCTGGCAAGTAACTCGTCCTGGCGTCCTCTGTACGATAGCGGCACTGGTTATTAGCTTATCAAGCGATCCGCAATTCAGCAGTCTTCAAGGGGACGGATTTCTGGGGTACTACTGAATCTGGCCGGCAGCGCGCACTGATGAAGAGGTAGGGACTCGGGAGTCATGGTGCTGAAGCTTGAAGCTCATGCCGCGTGCTTGGTGTGAGCGGCGGGACCAGTCATCCGTCTTTTTCAATCATGGCAATGTTGAAAGTTGACCCATTCCCATTCTTTTCCTTGTCTTCGTCAGCCATGTATAGAGACCTGCAATCCAAGTAGTATGCATGTAAGTCCGGTTCTGGGGAGGGGTCGTGGGTCTACCGAGCCCCTTCATAATCATCATGAGCTACGATCTACTTATGATAAGTGACCAAATCTTCAGATTTTAATATGATGAGCCGCGATCCAAACGCAACGGCTTGAGACTGCGAACGTTTGATAGGCCAGGTCGAGGTCTCGCCCGCATTGTGATGTCCTTATCCGCAAACTGAAACTGATAAGATACTTCTTAAAGAGACAAGAAATTTAAGGACGTCGACACAACGAGAGAGAAAGATTTTGAAGTATCATCACAAGTATCATGACAGGTAGTCGGCCATGTCGCACTGCCGTAAAGGAGAAACTTCAGTATGGAGGAACACCGATGGTCACTCGACCATTAGAATATGAACGGAAGGCAGCGTTTGCCACGTACTGGGAGGCTCAATAACCTCTAGTCTGGACAAATTATTTTATGATGATTCGGCGGTTGAGATTTGATGTTGGGACTTGGAAGTCTGAAGGAGATGTATCGTCAAATCTAGACAAACGGTTGTGCATTAGTTGTGAAAGTGAAAGTTGTGCAGCGAATCATGTGTGAGGTCGTTGCCGTCGCTTGATTCGTTTCGCTTCATCTTTTCCTCACTCCTCCCCTCTCCCACACGTGATTCCAACAGGTTCACCTCAGCGTCGCAGACTCCTTTGTCAATGTGGATTAGGCGAAGTGTAAGGGGCGGCATTCATTCATTCATCAATTCATTCATTTCTTCGTGGTGAGGGTGAATGTCTTTCAAGCCATCAACAATCCAAGAAACACGTCTGCGTAAGAATCGCGTCAAAACAACCCCATCTACCGACCTACCTACCTACCTACCTACTGACTTCTTCTCAGTATCAAATTGCACCAATACGTTCAACAAATCAAATTACAAGTCGATCCATCAGCCCCAGACCATGTATCTTGATATTACCACGCTCTCGCTTTGAAGCAATTCAAAGCGGCTGATAATTGAAAGCTCTGTCGCACCCTACATATATTATCACGTGCCCAAAGAGCCACTTCAATTCAGCCCGTTTTTGCAACGTTGGGATAGCTGGGAGAATATAGTGCTGAGACGAGTCGACGCTACCACCAGCCGGGACCTCCAGATGATTCTTCAGCTTTTCAAACCTCCTTCGGAAACCGTTGCCCTCCAAAAATGTCGGGCACCGCCAGCAATCCTTGGGTCCTGGATGATTCAGATCCAGAAGAAGCTCCTCGTCCCAGCAACGGTCCCAACGATATTGCGATTTCAGGCGCAACTCGCTCTACCATTGTACTACCGCTGCATGGAGACTCTCGTCCAGGTCCTACTTACTTCAATACAGCGCCACAAAAGTCTTTACGCAATGGAACACCTCATCGCTCGTCAGCCTCCAAGATGATGCCCTCTAATCCACCGCCGCCAGGGGCATCACATGGCTTTACGACGATAAATGATTCTGGACCTAAAATCAAAATCTCTCCTGAATCCTCCGACAAAGTTCTTGATGTCACCCTTCAAACGGATTTTAGAGCACCGGCCAAGCACGTTGAGAAGTCCGGTTCTAGCGAAAACAACGAGGAGGATGCAGATGAAGAAATGGACAGAACTCGAAATTTTCAACTCTCAACAGGGACCCCTTCAATGCGATCTTCACGAGGCCGTGCAAGTCCCCAGAAATCTTCTGAACGATCCCTTGGTTCTGAGTCACCCTTAGTTAGACGACTGAAGGAGCAAAAAGCTAGACTTAATACCACTTCAAGTTCCAGCGCTAGCAATGTCTCGCCGCGGGACGATATGTTACGGCGAGGCGTGTCCAATGAAAGCGAACAGGGCCAAAATGTCACGGTCGCGAGGATAGAGCAATCTTTGCAGGATCTTGAACAGATGACCGAGGATGATCATGCGGTTACCGTGAGATGGCTGTTACACGATGCCAAGAAAGCTGCTAAGAATACGGATTCGGCGTTTGTCGATAAAGTTTCTCCTTTTGATTCAATGAAACCTATCCACCTTTCAGCCGGTGGTACTGTTCCTGATGGGTCTGCTACTGTTAAACTAGAGTCTCACGTATGGTTAAAGAACCCGATAATCTATGCTTTTGCTAACGAACACAGGTCAACAAAAAGAGCAAAGCGGGCAAAATCAGATCTCAGCTCATTACAAAAATCATAAAAAGCGATACTGCCCGCGTACCAAAGTATAGTTTCCATACGACAGTCAGACGGAATATTCTTACCATGGATGACGAAAGACTCAGGTTCATCCCTTACATGGGAGATGCTGAGGGATCAAAAAAGAAAAATGCCAGACTGATACATGAGCTAGAGCAAGCGTACAGTCCGAAACCGTCCACCTCAAGCCGGGAGTCTGAGTGGTCATCGCAAGTTCGCGCGTGTCTTGAAGCTTCTTTAGAAAAGTTAGGTCTCGAAATAGGCCAGGATAAGCTTATACAGTATCTCCTCGACCAGGGCAGGAATCGCTCGAGGGATAGTGAGATAGAGAAACGAACCATCCACGAATCTTTTGAGTTGCCATTAGAACCTCGTGAAAGGGAATTGGCCAAAATGGTTTCCCAAGCGTTTCGGAAAGTCTATGATCGCCCCCTGGAGGATATCCTGCTTTCCGAGGAACATCTCAAAGAACTAGCTGAGCGAAGAAACTCGAACCAGGACAAGCCGGGGAGAACACCAACAAAATCCCAACTAAGCCAGACTGACATCAACAAAATGGAATCGTCAGCCGAGCCATGTCCAGATCGACTGGGGACTTATACTACCCTTATATGCTTGATCTGCGGGGCAGCAAGCTGTCAGACCCATGGCGATTCTGCTAGGGACGAGAACGCTCCAGGGTATCAATATGTGCATCAACCACTAGTGACGACTTACCAAGATATTCTACGAAAACAGGATGCACGAATTGCCGCAAAAGCAGGACAGCCCGACTTTAGCACCCAAGTTGACACCCCCTGTTCGTCGGAGTGCTATCTAGTATCCCGTTATGATGATTCCGCGTACAAGCTCCCAGCAGAAGATATTTCCACGATTGAGAGTATGGTCATCAGTCTGAGAGATAAGAAAAGACGAGCATGTACGATTGCTTTCTTCATGGATCTTCCTTGCTGGAAGGTCCATAGCGAAATCAAACATATGGAGCCTCGAAGTGTCGAATTGCCTTCGAAGAATCGGGCAAGACAACCGGATTGGTATAACAACCAGAAGAAAACTCTCAAATGGGACTGGCAGGATATGACGACTGCACATCTTCATCAAGAGAGGTGTCAAGCAAACCCAGTAAGCTACCTCTATTATAATTCTAGCTTGGCTATGCCTTTCTAACCATTTCAGTGTGCCCACGAGGGCCCATGCCAAAAAGGCTGCCCCTGTTTTGATTCGCAACTTCTTTGCGAAAGTATCTGTGGCTGTTCCGACGACTGCCCACGAAAGTTCACAGGGTGCCCATGTCACTCGAATGGTATCGTATGCGTTTCTGACAGCTGCATTTGCATACAGATGAATCGCGAATGTGGCCCTCAGTGCTCTTCTTGCGGCGCAATTCCCCGCATCAACCCTGATAACAGATACCAAGATGATCTATTTACGACCGGCTGCCAGAATATACATCTACAGCGAGGTGTGTCTCCAAAATTGATTCTTGGTGAAAGCCAGCTAGAGGGCGTCGGGTTTGGGTTGTACGTGGGTGAACCGGTCCGGAAAGGGGAATACCTGGGTGAATACGCGGGCGAGGTAAGCCACTTCCTATGATTTATGTTGTGCCTCAATAGGGCTCTACTGTTTGAAGCTGGTGGTGTGTCTAATGACATTCATAGGTGATCTCTTTTCTGGAAGCCGATCGCCGCGGCATCATATATGACCGGAAGTACCTCTCCTTTCTGTTTGATCTCAACAGCGAGTGGGCCATTGACGCTGCTCGTCTGGGAAACAAGACCCGCTTCATAAACCATGCCGATAACGACAAGGACGGCTTAAATTGCGAAGCCAAAATAGCCCTTGTGAACGGCGAACACAGAATAAAATTTTTGGCACTAAGGGACATAAAAGTAGGGGAAGAGCTGCTATTCAACTACGGAAAAAAATTCGCAGACAAACATGGGCTAAATAAAAAGCTTCCGAAGGCCAAGGAGGATGGCAAGAGGGGAGTAGTCGTTGGCGAAGAGGCTCTAGAGGCTCTTGATGGGTTAAATCCCGCGAATCGGGCCACGAGGGGCAAGATGACGGCTATTAGAGGCGGCCACGGGGGTGGCAGAAGCAGGAAGGCCAGAAAGACAGCCCCGGTCCAGGGGATTCCGGTGGAAGTCGAGCAAGGGGCTGACGAGGACAGCGATTTTGCCGTGCCACAAGATGAGGACGATGACGACGATGAAGATATCACGGACCGGCGAAGGAAGCGGAAGATTACCCGGCCGCTGAGATATACACGCTAGGCGCTCCGCGCCTGCGACGCAAAACTTATCGTGTTTTGCTTCGCACCTCCTTGTTCGTAATATGGGATCCGACCCTAGCTTCTACAGTAGCAAGCAGGATAGTCCGACTCAAATCTATATTCAATAGGAACGGGTCCGCGCGAGTCTTGTCGCATCGCCGGCCGAGAACCGAAGAGCTACTCATCTTTGGTCATGGCAATTCATGGCAGTTATCCGATAATTAGCAAACGCTAAATCAGCATTGGACCTCCCCCTGAATAGACACTCGAATCTCGAAGGGCCGATTCGTCGCCAAGGGTCTAGGCCTCTCCTAGACATGAAACTAGGTTCTGAAAGCGTGATAAATGGCTAAGACTGACCGAGTCAGGTATCAATCATGCCGGGTGACATCCTCAGACGACATTTCAGCAACGCCACATCAGGAGTACAAGATGTCCAGTGTACCAATAGACTAGGATCAACGCCTGCCCCTTAACTGGCGGGCTTCTCCAGCGATAGTCTGGCCGGAAAGGAGAGCCATGGAATAATTGACACGCTCCTGTGTTGCCGGAGAGCACAGTCAGCTGTCACCATCAGCCGTCCGCCACGCCATGCAGAAGTAAGCATCGTCCCCCTGGCGCTTGTCTCACCGACATGTGCATAGCGGCGTGGTTGTCGGCGTGGATGGAGCGGCATCAAGTACATGTGCCCTCCAGTTGGGTTGCTGTGGCCAACGAGCGCGTCTATTTATCTATTTACCCCGCGGCGCTTCTCTGATCAACCCGACTATTCCAAATGCGGTACGCGAGCCCCGGACCGTCCGTGCCAGCCCTACCCGAGAACCCCACCGGCAGATTCCCTTCCTCCGATGTGTTACTTTCCCATGTGCATACCGGAAACCTCGATATAAAGAACTCGTCTTGGTTCTCTTGATTCTCTTATATTCTATTTGGAAATCACTTCAGTGTCTATATCTGGGACTGCTTCTTTATTGCTTTACTAATCGGGTTCTCTGCTTATTTTCCCTTCTTTTGATACACACCCCGTCAACAAGAGACCTAATAATCCCGGAATCACATTGGTGGAAGTACCTGTACACCACCGATCTCTATCATGCACATGGTCGCCGCTGGCAGAATAAGGCATCTCATGATCTTTTCGTCCCATGTCTGGTGCATCCTGGTCCTTGTCCTTGCCCGGGCTCGTGGCTGTTCCTTTACCCTGGCCGTCGGGACCCCGCGAATATCTCGCGCGGGGAATTGACCGGGATTGTACCTGAGTCAAGGGGCATAGGCAATGTACCGGGACGATACAAAGTCATCTGATAAGTAAGGTGTGTCTCTTCTCAATAGCGCCCCATACTATCTGCGCACCCAATGGATAGACACACTGTGGATATACACTCAATGTCCTCGGTATATATACCGAGGTCGGCCCAAGATGTCCTGGACTACGAGCCCTGCGTCTCTCTCCTTACTGCCAGGTCCTATACGCCGCAGTTCTCTCATCTCAGGATGACCAGGCAGTTGTAACGCTATTCTATCCTGACTTCGTTGGTATGTTGCCCTCCTGAGACGGTGTGGCTCCAACACGTTCAAGAGGCAGAGGCCTCGTTACTTAGAATTACAAAATCAAATAAACCTCCTTTGTCCATGCTGACCACTACTGCGTAGTATCGACGATCATGTTTTTTGTTGCTTGTATAGCCGCCTGCGGTGCACTCTTGACACAGACTGTAGCCGCAACGTCCTGTTGGCGAGGAATAGCGTGTTCAGGGCCACAACAGGCCTCGTTTTCCGGCCCTTGGGACAAGTACATCTATTCTCCCAACTCGCGTACGGTCTCTCCCGTCAGTATCCTTGATCAGCAAACGAATGACCTCAATGATTACCGGGGATCAGCCAGTCTAAGAGGCAATGGGTCTATGCTTATCTTCGACTTTGGCCAGGAGGTGGGCGGTACCGTGACTCTCACGTATCGTGCTTTCGGGGAGGGAACGCTGGGCCTAGCCTTCAGCGAAGCCAGGAACTTCACCGGGCCGAACTCTGATTCTTCAAATGGGAACTTCCACACAGACGGTGCGGTGTATGCTAGCATCAACAGAACGCTGGAGGGAAACTATACGATGCCAATTGATCGTCTTCGCGGAGGTTTCAGGTACCTGACCTTGTTCATTGCCAGTGTGTCATCCCAAGGATCTACAAACAATGGCTTCCTCGACATTGACCTTCTGGACATCACCACGGAAATCTCCTACCAGCCCACATGGTCCAATCTGCAGGCATACCAGGGGTATTTCTACTCTAGTGACGACTTGCTGAATCAAATTTGGTATTCCGGGGCTTACACGCTGCAAACCAATGCTATTCCGCCCAGCACGGGCCGTGAACTCCTTGGCAGCGGGTGGGAGAATAACCAGAACCTTAATTTGGGAACCAATGGTGCCACTATTTACGTGGACGGCAGTAAGCGCGACAGGACAGTCTGGGCTGGTGATTTAGGGATTGCTGTTCCTAGTATTCTTGTGAGCACTGGTGATGCGGATGGGGTCAGGAATACAATCCAAGTGCTGTACAACGGCCAAGTAGGTGTTCCCATGACATTTTTAGCTACATGTTAACCTCCCAGTAGCTAAGCACGGGCGAGCTTCCTTTCGCCGGCCCAAGTCTCAATATTTACGGCTCGGATACCTATCATATGGCAACCATGATCGGGACCTATGACTATTTTCTCTACAGCGGGGACAAATCTTTCCTCTCAGCAAATTGGGCTAAGTATCAGTCTGCCATGGCATTCATCACTAACAAGATCGACCATACTGGTATGCTTGATGTGACTGGGACAAACGATTGGGGACGCATTGCTCAAGGCGGTCACAATACCGAAGCAAATATGCTGCTGTACAAAGTGCTCACGACTGGGAGCAGCCTGGCCACTTGGATGAATGATGCTAGCTACTCTGACAGCTTGCTAGCAAAGGCAGCAACGCTGAAGGCGGCTGTGAACAGTGCAAGTAACAACTGGGACCCCTCAGTCGGGTAATTATTCTAGAACCTTACCCCAGGCCTACACTAATAGGATCCAGAGCATATAAGGATAGCGACGTAGACGGTAGCATCCATCCCCAAGATGGCAACAGCATGGCACTCGCCTTTGGCGTCGCCGACCCCTCCTACATCTCATCCATCAGCAAACAGCTAACCACAAACTGGTGCCCCATCGGAGCCGTCGCCCCCGAACTCCCCAACAACATCATCGGCTTCACGCAATCCTTCGAGATCAAAGGACACCTCGCGGCGCGCCAACCCACGCGCGCTCTCGACCTGATCCGCACCTCCTGGGGCTGGTACCTGAACAACCCCTCCGGCACAGCCAGCACCTGTATCGAAGGCTACCTCTCCGACGGCACCTTCGGCTACCGCTCCACCGAAGGCTACGACAACGACCCGTCCTACACATCTCACGCGCACGGCTGGTCCACGGGCCCCGTCGACGCCCTCACCTCGCAGATCGTCGGTCTGCAACTCACCGCGCCCACCGGCACGTCCTGGGTCCTCGCGCCCCAATTCGCAGACCTGTCACACGCCGAAGCCGGCTTCACCACGCCCCTGGGTCTCTTCCAAGCCTCCTGGTCCCTCGACGCCTCCGGCTACCACGTCTCGTGGAATGTCCCGGATGGCACCGCTGGTACTTTGGTCTTGCCTACTAATAATACTGGCTCCGGCGCGCCATCACAGGTCCAGATCGATGGCCAGGATGCGGGGGTGCAGAATTCGAAGGAGGCGGAGCCGGGGACGCTCACGTTGAGTGCGAGTGGAGGGTCGCATACGGCCACGGTGGTGTATTGATTATGTCTACCTACGTGCCTATGAATGGATGTATGGATGGATTCAGGGTTCGGGGTTTGCATGCTCGGTTGAGAAAGGAATTAATTAATCCTTTCTGTCTTATATCTACTCACTTACTCTGTCTGCTCTTGTCGTTCGTTGGTCTTGATATGAGATATCCACTTTCGTTCGGGGAGATTCAAGAGACTTGATGTATCATACCTACTTCGTATTTAGTCTGAAGGAAGGATGGATAAATGCCGGGGCTTGTATATATTATTGATATTAATCCATATTAATATTAATTGAAAAAAAGCCGACGATGATAGCTTAAACCAATCAATCAATCCATGGTGACTTACACCGAACTCACCACCCTCCCGACGAACTAGGCGGTAAATCCCCATCCGTCGTTCCCCACAAACTCTCATTCTTTCCCAACACAAGCTCCAAAGTACCCCCCTCAAGCCAGAAGCTATGATCAAGCCAATTCTTAGTCCACGGTTTCCCATTCAACGTCGCGCTCTGAATATACAGATTCTCATACCCCGCATCAAAACCCACATTGCGAACCGTGGCCGTCTTGCCCGTCTGTCTATTGGTGAGGCTGATACTCGGGAAATACGGGGGGGTGATTAGATATACATCCTGTCCCGGGACAGGCCAGAGACCGAGCATAGACAGCGCGATGAAAGAGCCCATAGCGCCCGAATCGTCGTTTCCGGCGAGGCCGGAGACGGAAGTGTTGAATTGGGAGGGGATGTAGGAGTGTGAGGTGAGGGCGGAGAGGGCGGGGCGGCCGGCGTAGTGGAATTGGAAGACGGGGAGGAAGGCTTGCTCGTCGCCGATGTAGAGAAGGCCCGAGGTGTGCAGGTAGGTGAGGCGAGAGACGAAGGAGGTGGGGCCGCCGAGGGTGGTGATTAGGCTGGACATGTCTTGGGGGACGAAGAAGGTGTAGAGCCAGGAACTGCCTTCGTAGGTTTCGTGCCCGTCCGGGTTTAGGTAGCAGGAGGTGAAGGAAAGGAGGGGGGAGCAGCTGGGTGGGGAAGGTAAGTGGGTGCCCGTTTGGGGTGGGAGGTGGAGGGATAGGGGGGCTTACAAGCTGGGATCCTGATATCCGAAGGTGCCATTGAGGTAGCGGGGTTGGAGGAAACCAACAAAGCCGCTGTCGACGGTCGAGTCCGGGTAGGCGTTACTACCGTTTACGTAGGATTTCTGATCGGCCTTGTACATGTTCTTCCAGTTGTTGGAGCGGGCGAGATACTTCTCAGCATCAGCGGTCTTCCCTAGTCCCTTGGCCATCTCGGCGATGCAGAAATCGTTGTAGGCGTATTCAACAGTGCGAGAGATGGACCGGGTGAACAGACCACCTCCACCAGAAGGGTCAAAGTCATCGGTGGGGATGTAGCCAAGGCTCTTCCAACTTGCCAGCCCGCCACGGCCTTCAACTGCCCAGTCTACAGGCTCGTCTGAAAGACATGATCAGCAGGAGTATTGAGGTGAAATGTTCAGAGGCTTACCTTCAGCATCAGAGACGACGGCTTCGTACCCGGTCTCCCAGTCAACTCCCTCTGTAATGTTCTTGAGATACGCGTCCGCAAGTACTATATCTGCGTTCGATCCACCCTGGGTATATCCCTTACACAGAGACATGCGGCAATCTGGAAGTTTGCCTAAGGTTTATCAGCACTACTTCCCTCTGGCAAAACTGCGTCGGAGAAGACAAACCCTCATGTCGATAAATATCAATCAGACTTCGCACCATCAGCGTCTGACTATGCGGATCGAGCAAAGTCAAGAGCGGATGGATACTCCGGGCAGAGTCCCAGATGCAATAATAAGAATCATAATACGGCTCGTCACTTTCCCAAAGAGGGTTCTCGCCAGTGTAATCCTGGGGTGAGATCATAGCCCTGTAGACACCTGACCAAAAGATTGTCTGCAACTCTTCGCTAACCCCCGTGGCATCAATTTCAAGGACCGAAAGCTTATCTCTCCACGCATCTTCCGCCGATTGCAAGACTTTATCGAAGTCAAACTCTGGGATTTCCGTCTGTGCATTGTTGCAAGCCTTCTCAACACTGATAAACGAGACTCCAACACGTACCAAAAGTTGGTCGTTGGCGGGCTCCTTGAACTGGGTCCATGCCCCGGCCGGAGTCGGTGGGGAATTCCCATTCTGAACAGCTCTCAAGGATTTAGGTTGACTACCAGCGCGATTATTCATAAAGACACCAGTGTCCCTGATCGCTGCCCCAGAGAAGTCTGCACAGAAGTGAAGATCATAGGTGCCAAGACCGAAAGAGGGACTGAATGTCCCATTTCCTGTGATACGGCCGGTCTTTTCATCAACTGCAATACTCCCATTGATACGAGAGTCCGGAAGATCTGTCAGGTCGAACAGAATTAGAGGACTGCTAGGAAGGGGCGTGTTCTGCGCGGTGGTTGCATTTTTGGAGAACGTAAGTCGATATAGAGCAGTATGGTTCGATACCGTCATTTCTGTATGGATGGAAGTATTCAAGCTCACTGCAAAATAGCCGGGGTGAGCTTCAGCAGTGCCATTGATCCTTTTAGACGCTCGATCGGTTTTGGTAAAGAAGCAATTGTCCACTAAATCTTCAGGGCATCCGCTCTGAGGGAAGAAGGGGAAGTTTCCCAGTGATGGTGACTGGCAATAAAGTCAGGGATAGCACTTCATCTGGCTGAAATGGTACGTACACCTCCAGTTCCCGAGTCATGCATGTGCGAGAAGCCTGTAATATCACTGTCGCCGGATGCGAATCCTCCTTGCTTCTCGTTTGGATCATCAATGTCCGCGACCGCCTTGGCCATCCCTTGTTCAATGTCAGTATGAGAAGAGATTTAGGATATACCGCGGAAGTTGGATGTAATATATCAATTACTGGAACACCTTCGGTAAAAGGACGGTTCGAAGGGCCCTTAGGGAAACCCCAAGTCTCAGTCATTGACCTCCGCTCCAGCAATTGAAAGCGTAGCCCTGAGATATCCCACCCAAGGGATTACCGCAAGGGTCTCAGTAATTGAGATCTTATCTCCTGGCTTCCGCCGCGTCTGTGTACTCACCAAATGGCAGGGTTGCTCCGGGAAACACGTGACCTATGAACATATCTCGTTAGTCGGTCCTCCAAACTGTGAAGCCATGGATGTTTACCCCCATTGCTCGTCCCAATGAAGGGGTCGACATACTGGAAAACATCGAAACCCCTCTTCTCCACTCCCAGACCGGTCACCTGGGCTGCCAGAGCAAGCACACTCAGAGATTTAGAGCCAAACGACCTCATAGCTGTGAATTCAGGAACCCGAGATTGGACTCTCGCGGATCATCCCGAGATGGGGGGTCAGATGGTATTAAGAGGGCCAACATCTTAAGGTTCTCGACTATACATGTCGAGAGTCAGGTGCCAATACCACGTTGCACTTCCCCTCATATTCGATGTTTGCCGTGCATCTGAGAAGTCCGGGAATTGGATTACTCCATGAGTAAAACGCTTCGCATGGCGACGATCTTCACCAGCTGGTGTAGTAGTCCTGCATACTGCCAGACAATGCCGCCGCGGCGGGGTAAACGAGAGAGGGCCGCATGGATTTTCCTTGGAACCTGGTCTGACTGACGGTAGCTGTACTCTATGAGTGGTACATCCAATGGGCCTGATAAAAACGAGAACGGGGTAGACAGTAGAGCAATTATATCTTGATCTTGCGCAAAGTCCTGGGGCGCTTAAAGAGCAGAAAAGGAGTGGAAAGAGTTCAGATGTTGAAGGTTAAAGGTTAAAGGGGAGAGCATGGTTGTTCGGTTAAATAAAACCGAGCCAATCAGAGTCGAAAATACTGTCTGTGCTAGGTACACCTATATATACTACAGCATGTATATCCTCAATAACCAATTGTCTATCACATACGACCACAGACTGAGGAGAGTGGGCTATCTCTGTATTCTCGATATGCTTCAGCCTCAGGTCTCCAGGATAAACCTGAGACTTCAAAATTTGAATTCAGGATCCGAGAAACTTCCCACACTTTGATTATCGATCTGCTACTATTAGCATGTTAATCAACAAAGTAAGACTGCTATCAAAAGCTCTGAGCAACGCACTACTGCCTCCCAACTGTCTCTCCACTACAGGAAATTGCGCATCGACCTCGAGCGAGGTGGCTTTGACTCCTAAGTAGATAGCGCCTGGTCTTCAGAGTCGGATTCTCGAAACTGGAATGGCATTTAAAATGTTGTAGCTAGCTCCTTGACAAGCGTGCACGCAGTTAGTACTTCGTACGTCGAATGCTCGAGGGGACATCCATTTCTCAATCAATCATTATAAGATAGGATGAGAAGATTACTGTTACATACGACCACAGACTGAGGAGAATTGGGCATCCCGTCCGCTCTGCCATACACAAGCCTCAGATCGGTAGATTAGTAGTTGGGTGGGTGACCACCAGCGAATACCTACTGTTGTATGTTTATTATTTTTTGCTTTTTGTGAATCTTATTTGGGTCAGAACAAGAGTTGACATGTTGTGGTTTAGACGCCGTCTTCTAGCATTAACACTCTCTTACAGAGTTTATTGTCATTTTGCCTTTTGTTATGTGCCCGAATCCTCACCTCTGGTAGTTGTGCCCCAAGCCTCAACTCAACGCACATGAATCATTGCCGCTTTCTTCACTCACGCTGCTATCTTTCTAACTTTTATGCCGTTACTGTATACATCATTCTCGTATGAGCTTTGTCCACAGCATCCCGGTTTTGCTGAGTAAACTCATGGAGATCTAGGAGCATGTTAAGCTTCGCCGCCTTCTCATCCGCACTGTCGCTGTCCGATACCTTCTCCATTTCTTTCCAATCGATATCGTCTTCGACATATCACAAGCTCTCGAATAGCTTAGAACCCTCGTCCAATGGCGGTCGCCTAGTAACAGACCACCAAAAATTGGGATTTCCATGAATGCTGAGATCTAATGACTTGATCCGTCTCAGGAATAGCAACGATAGTAATACGAGCCTCGTTGAAGTAAGGTAAGTAGCCATGAGTCGTCGGAGGTTGATTTGCTCATTGAGGTTACAGTATATGGATAGAGGACATGGCATGGTAGTAAAGCCGACGAGATCAGAATATTGACACGATGCTTTACTTTCTTGTCTATCTCTACCTTAACCTAGATTAAAACCCGGAGACCCCCCCCTTTTTTTGTACACTTGCCGTACCTGCGGCTGCACAGGCTGTGATACCTGTTGCAGAATCCAAATCATGATGGATATAGAGTTCAGAATGAAGTGAGCGCGTAGTATCATGGCCACTATCGTCATGGACGGGTGTAGATGATGGGGACTTGGGACGGAATTCTTGACATTTTTCTGCGACTAGTATTTCCCCTCGCCCAATTTCGTATCTGGACGGGAGATACTAGATGAGAAAAGGTCAAATAGGCTCCAGTTTCCCCAATGGGACAAGTCTTTCATGTATTAATACTCGTCCCTTTCCCATTCTCTAGAATCATTCATCCCGCATCTCACGTCTCCCTCTATCTTCACCAGAACAAGAACCAACCAACTTCTCCGTCTGTCTTAGATAGTCTTCTCTCAATAACATTCCACATTAGATGTTCAACATCAAGACCATCAGCTGGCCTCTGCTTTTAGTGCCCCTCATGAGACACGGCACCCACGCTGTTGACACGATAGTCGACCCGCCCCTTGACGCCTCGCTCTTCGCTGCTCCTACGCAGCTCGATCATCTCAAGTTGCAGCAGACGACTCGGGTATGCACAATATCCTTAATGGTCTCGTCGCCCTCCCCGCCGATATCGTCCGCGCAGTCTTTAGCAACCCTGCCGGTGCGGCTTAAAGCGAGTTCCCGAAAAACATGACTGCTTTTGCCGCTCATATTCCCCCTGTTGGAACAGGGGAGCGTCATCGGCTCGGCGGAATTGTCTTGCTGCCTGCAAGAGTTCCTAAAAACGAAGACACGTATGTAGAGACCCTTCATCCTTCAGTATAATGTTCTTCATATCCGGCGCCTCGTGGTTGAAGAGCGGGAGCATTTCGAGCATATCTCTTGCAGCAGGAAGCAAAAAGTATGTATCTCGTACCGGGAGAATAGAATGCCAAATGCAAAAGAGAATGCCTCCAAACCAAGGTTCGTGTGTCATGATTTGACAGCTGGGTATCAGTTATCACCACTTCCAATTTGGATCTCCTCCGAACTTCCTCGCGACCCAGGCCGCCCCATACTCGTCATACTCTTGTTTCGTGACGCTCATTGAACTCAACAAATCCACATCCTTGGCTAACTCAGCGCCCCCGTTCCACGTGCTGACCACCGGATCTGCAGGCCTCACAACCCGTACGATACATTCCGTCGGCGCCAAGGCTTGGATTTCAACCTGCAATCGCCAGAGGAAGCCATCAATATTCGCATTTCCCCCAACCACAATGATATTCGCTAGAAAGCCCGGCCAGAGTCCGAACGGCAATGCGCTCAAACTGTCCATAACCAGCTCCGCGATACCTGATTGCCGCATCCCAATATCAGAAGGGTTGAAGAGCAATTCCGGAACCGTAAACCTTTCATTCCGCAATGTGAGGATGTCTTCTGCAGCCTCAGGTGCTTTTCCCGACTGGAGCTGCTTGAGCTTCCCGGCGAGACCAGGGTCATGATCTCGCATCTCTCCTTTCGTACGTTTGTGAAAATCCGGCAATATGTAGTCTTTCGCTATGCCTCCGGCCGTCTCATAGATCTCCCTCCTATCGCCCTTTGGTCCCTTCCACGTTGCCTCCATATCTGCCTTAAAATCCTTCGAGACATAACAACATGCTTCTTTGATTTCGTTCACGAGATAGGTGTCGTTGCGCATATCGTATTGCCTTAGAGAAAGAAGCCGCGTTAAATGATTCGTGAGAAGTTTGCCACCCACGTCGAGACGCCGGATTGCCGATTGGAGCGGCCGGCCTTGGATAAGAGGCGTGATGGTCGTGTGCGAGTAGCCCGAGTCGATTAAGAGAATGATTTCAGCAGGGAGGAGAGGTTTCGTTGGATCCCGTGGGGGCGCTTTGAACATGGCTTGGATATCGTTATATGCATTTAACACAGGAGCTGTACCCTTCACCGTCAGCATGGTTCCCCCATCTCTTCCAAATCAAGCCAGGAAGAGGAAGACACATACCTGGACACCGCAAATAACTAGCAAAGCCAAACTCCTCAAAGACCATCTGATCGCAATTGGTCTGCAACTGGGGAAGAGCATTCGGCGCCTCAGTGAGAATCAGCCCCGTCTCTCTGGGATCGCATCTCAGCGGCGCTTTGCCCTCGAAGAATTCGTGATCCCAGATCTCCTTCTCCGCCTCCCAGTTCACCAAGTATCCCTTCTCGACGGGGCGCCGGAACACAATCTCCCCGAAGTCCTTGCATTTGGAGAGCTGCGAGCCTATATAGACGTTGCGTTCGCGGTCGCGCGCCATGCAGTTCGGTATCACGCTGGGCGCGGATGTGGAGGCTGGCGATGAGAAACCGGCTTTCATTGTGTATGCGCCATTGTCGATGATCAGTGTTCGAGCAGGTGGGGCAGGGCCAGATGACTTTGTTCTTCGATGCCCGGGAGCCATGGTGAGGATATAGTTGCGCCCTGCGCTGGTGATCTATTCTGTGAGGTCGTTGTCGGGATGTTGTTTGACTTCCATTGTTGACTATAGATGTAGGCTGTCGTCGCCTCGCTCGTAAGGTGCGGGGCAGGCTCCGCACAAGGCTTCAAGAATTTTCCCCCACGACGAGGGTCGACGACTTCATAGAAAAACGCCAACCGCAACAAAATGGCGGACTCGACGAGCAAGGCAGAGAAAGATCTGGCTACTTTGAAGTCTACAGTCACGACTATATCTACGCTTATAACGCAGCTACAAACCACCGCATCTTCGACAGACGCGAAAGGCGTCGAGAAAGACAGCAATGTCAACGCCCTGGATCTCGCCCACGACACAGCAAGTCTGATCAAAGCGCACTCGACGAAGCTCTCGCTTCTCATAATCAACAAGCCCTTCACTGCAACGGCGATCACCACGGTTCTGCGCGAACTCATCTCCGGACCTCTGCCCGGCCTCGCGTCTTCGATCGAGATTTGCAATGCCGTGAAATACACCAAGGCTATGAGCGAGGAGCTACAGTGGCGCGCAAAGAAGCTATTTACGGAACTCGGGGCCTTGATAACGGCCATCCCGCTCGATGGGAAGGTCCTGAACGAGGAGCAGAAGAACGGGTCTCTTGCAGAAGGGAAAGGCAGTTTAGCGGCCACGGGCACAGTATGGGAAGCATGTGACAAAATCATGGAACTAAAAACGATGGGGGTGGGCGGATTATGCATCAAGAAAGCAGAGGAGTACCGCGATCTCGTCAAAGATGCTCTAGAGGAGTTACAAGAGTGGGGCGAAGAAGAAAGCAGCGATAATGAGGACGAGGATGATGAGGCGGCGGGGAGTGCAGATGAAGAAGGGGCTGGCATCTCGGCTCAGGATGCCGTGGATGAGATGTTTGCTTCTCAACACCATATCCCCTCGGCCGATCCTGAGAAGATCCGACCCCGTCTCGAATCCTCACTCAAGAGAATCCGCCTCGTTGCCCTGATGTACGCCGCGGTCATCAAGCGGCGCTTCAAAACCCTGCCCTACCTCCCCCACCCCTCCTTACCTCCAGAGCTCAAGGCCAAATCCGATGAAGACCCCGGAATCGTCTCATGTCTCGACGAGGTCCTGGATCTGTTGAAGAAGATCCCCGATATCACTGACGAGCTGGCGAATGCCTTTTATGAGCTGGACTCGCAGGAGATCGATAAGAGGATGAGCGAATGTTTCTTCACGGCCTTTTCTGCGGTTCAATTGCTGATTACGAATTGGGAGGGTCAGAAGGATGAGTTTAGTACATGGGTAAGTCGTCGTCTCCTTGGGACCTGAGTGTTTGGAAGCACGTGTCTAATTGCGTGATAGGCGTATAAATTCCAGATTGCTATGAATAAGGGCTGGTGATGTGATGATTGTGGTAGAGAGAGAGAGAGAGATTTCCGATTTCCAGAAACTATCTCTCCAATTTCAGGAGGGGAGAAGAGGACGTTCCTTCAGCGGCCCACCACAGATCTCGCTTAGCATGGCTAAACCCCCCCTTTTCTCTCGCGTACCCATTTACTCTGGGCTGGAGTTCTGATGGAAACGCCACATGTGAGCGGATCAATTTGCGTATACCAGAGATTAGACTGGAGTTGATTCTATGTCAGGACGAGAGGATTTCCTATACCCTAGTAGATCATTAGTCACGTTTACGCGTTTAACGACCTGAGCTCGCGGATGGCTCGCACAAAATGATCACACATTGCCAAATTCCTAGCCTATTTCAGATGTGAAGTATGAATGATTATACAAGATGCATTTCCTTCATTAACCATTTATATGCAGTTTCCGGCCAACTCCAGACATGAAGTGCGAATAATTATACATAAAACGCTTCATTTCATTTGCCACGTACATACATCCGGAGATCTCTTTTTATTCATCTCCTCTCGAGACCGCCAGCTGTCTAACAGAATATTTTATAGATCCGTTTCCAGCGCGACATTCTCATCTTCTCCAAGCGATCCTCCTCAATAATTGCCTGCGTGTCTGGGTCCCTGCGTCCCGTATCGAGATCCATATCCATCGAGCGCATGAAGGGTGTCTTGAAGTATAGCTTATATGGGACGTAGAATGCGATAACTACTGGTGCAGCCAAGTAATTTAAGAAGAAAGTCTGCGCTCGGTCGTCTGGGGTCTCGTCACCATAGCCGATGGGCCAGGCGGACGTCCAGAATTGCGCGGCGAGCACGAGAATGTTAAGGATAAGGCCTATCCAGGAACCGATGACGCCTGCTTGGGAGCGGAACGCGAGTTCGTCGAGGCTGTGGCCTTGCTTCTTCCAGGCCCTACGGTATCGGATGTGGGCTAGGCAGATGGAAGCCCATGTGAAGATAGAAGAGAGACCGGACAGCGAATAGAGCCAGTTCAGGGCTGTGTTGGCGGTGTCTTGGCCGCCAGCAACGACGTAGCAGAGGAGACCGAGCACTGACGCGACGATGATAGAGAAGAGAGGTCGGCCTTGGCGATCGATGTAGGCGAGGAATCTAGGGGCCTGGCCCTGCTCAGCCAAGGCAGCTAGGGTACGTGAAGAGCCATAAATCGAGGAGTTCCCAACGGACAAGACGGCAATCAGGATAACAACGTTGAAGATCGAGGGCAGGACGTGAATCCCGGCGTTGTTGATAGCAATAACGAAAGGAGATGCCTTGGCATCTTCAGAGCTTTGGCCGAGAAGTCTCGCATCGCCATAAGGGACCAACAGGCTGACAATCGTCAGGGCGACAATGTAGAAGAGGCATATACGCCAGAAGACCTGCTTAATGGCCGAAGGAAGAGTCTTGCGTGGGTTATCAGCTTCGGCAGCAGCGAGGCCGACCAGCTCTGTTCCAGCGAATGAAAACGCCGCTGTCACAAACACACTGCAAAGACCTTTAAATCCCGAGTGGAAGGCGCCAGAATGGATACTTCCAGGTGGTTGGTGATCTTCTGTGTAGCCGGCATAATCAGGGGCAACACGGTTGGGGTACCAGTAACGACCACCAATGTAACCGCCTCTTGGACCACCACCGCAATTAAGAATAATGCCCAGAATAATGAACCCAATGACGGCAATAACCTTGATGATAGCAAAGACAAATTCAGCTTCTCCGTATCCTCGAACACCGAAGAAATTGATACAGATAATGACGACCAAGAAGATGGTCACCCAAGCTGCGGCATTGGTATCTTGGGCTCCAGGCCAAAACTGCAAAGTGATGGATGCGGCAACGATTTCGAGTGGTAAGACAACTAGCCACTGCATGGCGTAACTGTTGAGAGCCAGTCAGTACTGTTTTTCCTTGCTTCTTTTCTCTTCAAGGTGGACTTACTTCCAACCCATAGCGAAACCCCATGCGGGATCGATGAAACGAGTGGAATAGGCCGAAAAAGAGCCAGCAACCGGGAAGAGGACAGCCAGCTCGCCCAGAGCCTGCACTGTACAGAACATGAGAATACCAATAATGCAGAAGGCGATGACCAGAGAGGCCGGACCACCAGTGGAGAGCGCGGCACCCGAAGTGACGAAGAGACCAGTACCTGGGAGAGCTGTTAGGATGCCAACTTTTGATATTTGGGACAATTCTGGGGATATGGGAGGAAACTCACCGATTGAGCCACCGATGGCAATCATCTGCAGATGTCGCCCCTTGAGCGTATGAGCAAGACCCGAGTTGGCTGTCGCCTCTGCCGCAGCCCTATGGTCAAACTCTCCTTTGGCGATCGATACCTGAGCGCCCTTGGAGACCATCGCGTTCGGGTCGCGTTTGAAGCTGTCAATGAAACGCCTCGTCCATGGCTCCTTGGGTGCAGCTCCCACGCCCCAATCTGCTTGCTCAGGACTGGAGCCCGTTTCAGGGCTGATTACCGCACCCTTCAGATTCTTCTCGGGGTCTCCCCCGTTCTCGTATGACATGATGTCCGGTTCTCACAAGTCAGAGAAGAACGCGTGGGGGCGGTCTGCGAACCCAATTTCCCGCCAACGAGGAAGACAGACAGACGTCCGCACAGCGTACTGTATATCGCAAAAGTCCCAAGGTGAGGAGGGGAAAGGAATGATATTGGGAGGGCAGATCGCGACGGGGACGAGCAGGTAATAATAGCAATTGGGAGCGTGATGGCCAAGGCTCAAAGGGATTTGCTTGGCACGCACCTGAGCTGTCTGGACTCTGCAGGGAAGGCTCCTCGGTCCTTCCGCACACACGACTCCGCTCGGTCGGGGTCTCCAGCCTCTGACCTTCCTCAATCGTGAAAGTCGATTCTGGCAGCCTGGAGTTATCGATTGGGGCTCCGGCGTACGTGCTGGCTGGTATCGCGGGCAGTTAAGCTCCTTCGGGCGCTAGGTCTGACACCGTCGTGTCCACGAGAAGAGCATTGGATGGCGGCCAGCAAATCAACGCGAGGAAGTTTATCCATTAGTTGTGGATTTTACAACATCGCGTCGTTTAGTGCGAGGGATCATCCATCCTCACAGGAGTCGCAGCCATGGTCATGGCCTGAGACACCGCGGTAGTCGAGTAGCGGATTCCCCGCAAAAGCGAGCGGCGCTGCCCTAGAGGCGTCGAGGCGTTGTCTGTGGCACATACACGGTGTGAAAGCCGGCCGATCCCTTCTGGTCTGGGGAAAAGAAGGTCGAGACGACCTTCTTGGCGGCTTCGAGGGGCGGCTTCTCCGGAAGGGGGGACCTAAGGTTCTAAGCTGCTCATTAATTAGCCACCGCTGACCAATACCCGCGTGTCCTCAGTACCGTTGCGGCTGCATCGTATCGTATCATGATTGAGCTCTTCTGCAGCAATGGTTCGTGGTGGTTGGGCTCTTGAATAATAAAGAGTGATAATAAATGTGTGTCGAGCGAGAACCAGGGGGCTGGTCTGCCCTCTGTGTTTGTGGCTGCAATTACGTCACGGATATTGCCGTATGCCTGCGAGTGCCAGATGCATCGAACCCCGACAAGAGCGCCTTCTAGAGTCCTACCGTATCAAGGTTGCAACCCATGCGGAGTCGATGTAAGGTAGTAGTCAATACTAATAGTTGTAAACGGAATACTCCGTAGGTCGTAAAGCCCTATTCAAATGATACCTTAGGTAGGGGCTGTGGCAAACGCCACGCGGGGTCTAACGTACCATATATTGTTGGATAGGCAAATCCCTGCATCAAACAACACGGCCTGCTGGCCCAATGGCAAGGCGCTTGACTACGAATCAAGAGATTGCAGGTTCGATCCCTGCGCAGGTCATACAATCGTTCGATCCAACGTTCGATTCTTCTTCTTTTGTCACTTTTTTTCATTTTTTCGAATTTTTTAACCTTCTTTCCCCCTCTCAATACCCCGCATCGGCCTCCTATCCCTTTCCCGTCTGATCACTGTATTACGAAAAGACCTCGCGGCGGCGGCTATCTCCCCTTAGGTATCTCACGGTATCTACACGAGACCCACGCAGCGTTTCGGCTCCGCGGCTATTTTTCCCTCAAAGCTTCCAGAATGCACTTGGAACTATTCCTGCCGGCTCCATTTTTGATAACAGCCCGAGATCCTTCGAGAGCTTTGACAGACGCTGATCTCTATTATTGAGTGAGCGAATAATATGGGGTCCTGATCTCCGAGGTCTTGCGTTCATGGAAACATCCCCCGGGAGGAGGAGGAGGAGTCGTCACCCCCTCCTCTATTTTCCCTATTTCCCTATCTTCCTTGCTTCTGTTGCCAATTATTGGCTGCTTTGCAAGTATCCCCTCTCGATCGGTAATGAGGATTTTCTTGGCTCTTGGCAAAAGAAGAATAATCTGATCACTCATCATTGCTATCATTCAAAGCTTCAAATCATCTGATCACTCATCATTGCAATTATTCAGAGCTTCAAAGTTCAAAGGCGTCCTTCCACCTTGCACTGATCGTGTCGCGATGCGTCTATTCTTACTACAAAATGTACATATATACACCTGACTCCCTCCAACTTTTCCCCCCTCGCCTCGACCCCTTTTCCTCTACAGGAAGTTAATTCCAACTCCAAACTGCAAACCCTTCCTCCCCTCCTCTCCCCTCCTCATTACAAGCGGCAAACTGAAATTCAACTCGAACCTAGCGACAGGATGCGCATACACGACGCCCACACCCACCGCAGTGCTCGGGAGTCCATCCCCTAATTGAGAAACAGTAGAATAGAAGTCTTTCTGCACGCTCTTGCCAGCCTCGGCCTTTCCTTTCCCCTTCGAGTCCTTGAGGGGAAGTAATCTCCCCGCGTTGGCAAAGAGTTGAAGACGGAGTGGTGCGTCCTTTCCTACACGAGGGAAGGGAACAAGGAGGTTTGCAGAGCCTGCAGCGTAGACATCGCCGCCGACTGAGTCTGAGCCATCATGAGGTCCCAAACCACCCATCTTGAAGCCACGCACATCCGTAGGACCCCCCAGAATGAATCGGTCATTGATCCTGCTTGGTTGGCTCGCTCCTCCAAACCCGACTGGCAAGGGTAATAGGAACCCGGAACGTAAACCGGCGGTCAGGGAGACGCCGCTGTCTCCTTTGATACCGGGGATGGGAATTGGTAACGCGCCTGTGGTGACTATTTCAGACTTCAAGAATCCAACGTCGCCTTTGAGAGGGCCCCATCCTGCTATCTCTGACACCGTTTTGATCAAGTAACCTCGGCTGGGGAGGAGAGGATGGTTCAGTCGGTCCGCTAGCCACGTATGCGTAATGCTGCTCTTTACTGAATCGCCTGCATCATTTCGCACAGTTGGGCTGGCCTTTTCACCCAGACCGGTGATCTGTCTCCAGACGCCTGTATAGGCCAGTTGGTGTCTCATGCCTGATTTAGTCGCCCAACTATACTTCAAGCCCCCTCCGGTTAAACCTTCTTCATGACTCGCCCATGGTTTGTGTGTGCTGCTTGCCAAGGCATCGATGGTTATTCGTTTTTCCGGATCAGAGAGGACAGGTGTATCGAATATAGCTTGATAGGAAGATCTTGTTCTCGTGCCTGCTGATGCGTTCAAGTTCAGGGACTCTGCGCCCCCAAAGATATTCCGCAATTGCACTTCTCCATATGCAGACCCTTCAGCGTTCCCAATGTCTGTACCTGTCTTTGCCGAGAAGCGACCACGTTCCTGCGCCCGTATATATACGTCAATGTCTGTTACTGTGGTGGATGGATCGGTTTGAGAGGGACGGTCAATGAAGGTTGATATAGGTTCCTTGAAGATTCCTGCGGCTCGTTAGTCTATACCTCGCGAGCCGGGGCGTATATTCAGGAATTTACCAAACCGTTCGAGCTTCGTAGCAACGGACCCAACTTCGTGCAGAGCTTCACCGAGTGTGTAAGGACGGTCTCGGTTCACACTGAGAAGAGGATTGAAGATTGGGTCTAGAAATGAACGTCTAGTATGGCCTCCGCCTACGAGCAGTACTTTGTTGATAGTAACTGGCAGCGTTGAATTGCTGCCAATCTGCTACATGTCAGCATTCTAGGCCTCTTCCTCGCAGGGATAACCATACCAACTCTCGCAGCCTGTTCTGTGCCTTGACATTCTGAGCAAGGAGTCTTTCCTCCAGCTCTTTTGCTTGAGCCTCAGCTTTTTTGGGATCAACCTTGGTGAGACTCTCGAAGAGCTATGGACCACAATTAGCAATTTGATTTCGCAAAAGGATTCCTTTCATCGTGTACAATAGAGAGCAACTCACACTGTCTCCAGCATCACTCGGTGAAGCCATCTTCAACTTGACTGCGCATCTGCGAACTCGAAGCTTCTTCCGCATGTGGCCGGGAATATGCGCTTACGTAAGCTCAGCCTTCCGACGAACCGGCAGAGCACACGACAACTGCGAACCAATCCATCGATAGCACTACGACACCACGACAATCTATCGCATTTCCTTTCGAGTCACCCTCTCTCGACATTATCGATAGACATTCCATCCACACTCGTTACTCGGACCACGACACCATCCTCCAGTCTCCCTTCTCAGCCTCGACCATGGCCAGTCGAGCTGCCAACAAGCGGGTAAATTATCCCTCCCTTCTTCATGCACTGCCAAAGATGCTCACGTATGCAGTTAACTCGCGAATACAAGTCGATCTCCGAAAACCCCCCTCCATACATCGTCGCCCACCCATCCGAATCCAATATCCTGGAGTACGTTTCTCCCTCTCTTTCTCCCCTGCTCTGACCAATTTGAACTAGTTTGCTGATGGAGGAAATAGATGGCATTATATCCTGACGGGCCCGCCCTCGACACCTTACCATAACGGACAATATTGGGGCACGCTCATCTTCCCTCCCGACTACCCTTTTGCTCCTCCCGCGATTCGAATGCACACTCCATCTGGTCGTTTCCAACCCTCTACGCGGTTATGTCTGTCGATCTCTGACTTCCACCCAAAGAGTTTCAATCCCGCCTGGGAGGTGTCTACCATCTTGATAGGCCTCTTGAGTTTCATGACCAGTGAAGAGATGACTACTGGGTCAGTAGGCGCCACAGAAGCCGAGAGGAAATGGGCAGCCGGACGTACACGCTGGTGGAACAGTACTGGCGGCGGTTCCTGGACCGAATCGGGGAAGGGCTTGCAGAAGGGCAATGTCAAAGCTGGTGACGGAGGCGCAAAATTCAGAAGCGAGTGGCCCGAATTGGACAAGGAGAATTGGAAATGGATGAAGGAAAATAAGATTGACCCCATGACGGGTAATCCCATGGTTGAGTCTGGGTCTGGGAACACTGGCAATACCTGCGCACCTGGAATGGCACTGCGAAGACCTAGTGGGAGCCAGCCTATTGCCGGGGCAGTGGTGGAAGGCGGTCGAGCGGTAGGACAGGAGGGCAGGGGATGGCTCAGACAGAATAAGCTACTGGTCTCGGGGATGTTGATATTTACTTACGTTTTGATTGCGAGGTTGCTTGGTGAAGGAACTGGTGGGAAGATATCATAGGTCCTTTGCTCCAGCAGGATATTAAAGGCTGGAATTGGGAGCGAAGCGAGCAGCGAGCAGAAAGGCTTGTACTAGTAGAGGGGTAAAGGCGTGGCTGCTTTGTCGTTGTATTTGGTTTAGGATTCAGCGTGGCGCTCTCGGGAGGAATCAAAGGAATAGAATACAAGGTAGTACAATCAAACTTTCTTTTTGACTTGCGAGCATCTGAAGGCTTTTGGGGTCTCCAAGGCGAAGTCAATTGTCCTTCAACTATGGCTTCAACTATACTAGGTATTCGAATCTACCATCTCAATGAAAATCACATGTCACAAGTCATATCACATAAAGTAGGTGGCACTTCTTTCTCATCTTGTAACACATTCCTTCAAGCTAACACCCCATGCTAGCTAGCTACCACCCAGTCGCACTCCTCCCAACCAAGCTCCCAAAAACGAGACAATCAAGCCATCTAATCTCCCCTCCCAATAATCAACACCTCCTCTCCCTCTCCTCCCTCAATCCGCACCAACCATTCCAAGACTTCTAATTCCCGCATCAGTCTCCGTGGACGATATCAAATGGCAATCGACAAGCGGGTTTCGAAGAGATGATGGTTGACATTTAGTGCTACATGATGCGGATTAGTTATTGGTCTTGAAGGGTATAGAGAGAAAAGATTGGCTTACGGAGCAGCAGGAGCATCCCTTGGTGCAGGAGTGGGTGGATGAAGCGCAGCTTGAGCAAGAGCAGTCTCCCATTTTGACTAGTGTTGACTTTTGAGGGTCTGATAATTTGGTTGTGGTGTTGTTTTGGTTTTGTGTTCGAAGAAGCTTTCGATTTCGAGTGTAGGCTGGTAGAAGTTGGAAGAGAGGGAAGAGAAGGGTGATACTTATACCCGTGGAGACAAAGAGGGGAGTCGTGAAGAAGAAGAAGAGGGGCAACCATATGACACGCATGCCTCCACACCACTTCAACGTCGATCACCCGTTACTGTCAAATGAGAGTCCAGACCCGGAAATGGGGTGGATGGACAACAGCGCCAACATTACATGTCAGCTGCCCGACACCTCCCACGCTCCCACGGGGGCTATCACTAGGTAGGCAAATGGGAGGAGCCCCCAAGACACCATGTGGGATGCGTGAAGCAACCATCTTTTTACACTACGGCATCTCGAAAGGGATGTCCCACAACTCGTGGGGCTCCCAATACGTAACGGTAGCGGTAATGTAAATAATGGCTGATATAACAAAATATGGCTCATGTGAATGAGTACCTTAGGTAGATGGCTTATCGAAGTTGATTTGCGAGGACAAGTAGAGATAGATAAGAAAGCTGGAGTTGTGACGTTGCCCCTATTTTTGAGTTTCGAGCTTCTTGAAGAGTCCAATCAAGTCTACGGTTCTAAAGACGAGGCAATGTGGTGAAGGGAGAAGAAGTTGATCTCCTTCCTCAAGAGGCCCCTCGCAACGATGGTCTTGGCCTTGGCCCTTCTAAGGGGTTTGAATTCCGGCTGTGATAACGATAGTAGTGTGGTCCATGAGCTCAGTTGATTTGATTAGGTACGAAGGAAGCATAGAACTGCATATGGTAGTGGAATCTGTCTCCGAGACGTGGCGGTTGTTTTGTGGCATAGGGTAGGGAGCCTGATCTACTACTTCTGTACGATGCGCCAAGTGGGAAGAGTCTCGAAGCTTTTATATGGAATCGGGGGTTTACGGCGGGCATTATCGAGACGGATTTCGATCTACTCAGTCACTAAAAGACGTTCTGCCGTAAGGGGGCCGATAGGGCCTCAATACAGTAGTAGGCCAAGCATGTCACATAGCATTACATGTCTGTGGGGCTGGGATTGGGCATGAATTCCACATTGGATTTCTACGCCACTACCTATGGCACGAATGATTGTTCCCCCAAGCCGTGCCCCCGAAAACCAACGAGATATGCCCCCCCTTCCTCCCCATAATACCATCCCCCATCCCAACCCGACCTCCACAATCGCGTCCCTATGCGCAGCAAACCCAAAAAGACCTAAGTATCCATGCACAGCGAGGTCGACAAGAACCAAAGAGCGGACGGGAGCTTTGTCATGATGGCCGTGTTGGAGATTTATTTGCCGCAGCTGGAGCAGGAGCAGCTAGTGCCGCAGTTGCCTGTTGTCGTTCACTGTCAGCTTTGGTTGGAGCCTTTTGGGGGGGAATAGATAAGATGAAGTCGAGAGAGTGAGAGAGAGGGGTGGCGAGAGCGGGGTCGGTACTTACAGCTGGAGGAACCGGAGCATCCACATTCGCCCTTCATGATGACTGATTTTCTTGGTTTTTGGAGAAAGGATATTTTGGTACTGGTACTGATGTCGTTTTTCGATATGACTTGTGTGAGGTTCTTGAGTGACTGATGTTGTTCGTTGAAAGAATTGTGAAGAGGTGGGCAAGTGCCCTTTGTATGTTATCTGACCCGAGATCTACCGTGCCGCTTTTCTGGCCCAACAGCCAATCAGCGGCGAGCGAGTGAGTGTTTTGTGCGGATTATAGCGCGGGGTTTTGTTGGGGCCTTGGAGCCTTAGAGCCTTGGAACCTTTGGGTGGAAGAGGTCATAGCATATCGTGCTAAGCCAGATGGGGACAGGCGCGCGCCCCGTCCCGCTCAGAGCCCGAGGGGCCCTTTTCTTGCCGATTCCGGATCTGGACGGTCAAACCTCATCTGTTTACAAAGATCGTCCGAGTTTCATCCTGCCATGGAGTTGGCTATACAGTTGGCTGAGGATAGCTCCATCATGGCCCAAAGCGATAGAAGCATGAAGAACATCAATATGGCAGAACCTTCAAGACCGGGTTCTTGGCGTTGCAAGTTACGTACAAAGTCCCTGCACAAGTGTCAGAATCATCCATCACACAATGCGGGTCTGCTTCTAGTTCTGCATCTTCTTTCTGCACTATAGGCTATAGCACAAAGTACCTTAGAAGTAGTCCCTAGGGACTCGACGGAGCGAGCATACGGATAAGGCCTTGAGGGCCGTTTCCGTGCTCGACCTCGTATGTACAACACGCTGCATGCTTATTTCATGCTCTCTGTCTGACATGCATGAAGTTATCAGATCCTCGCCAGACTGGCAAAGGAACCAATGAAAACATGCTCAAAACACACCTCCTACAACATGCGTATGGATGTATACAAGATCGAGCCAGCGCTCGTTAACACCCTCTTCCACCTCAACGCCTTGCGAGAGCGAGAAAAGGGCTAGATAGGTCTTTTCCCCCCCCCCCCCCCCCCCAAAGCCTAAGGTATTTCCCCCTGGGATAGCTGAGACATGGTCACATGCGAAATGGTTCTTTAGACCCCTCTACGCTGGCAAAAGGCAGCGCGCAGCATTCCGTGCGTCTTCTGGTGGTTTAGACGAGCATCTGATGTGTTAAAGGGTTTGCGCTATTGGGTGGATGGATGCCATTATGCGTTTGCCCCGCATTGATCTTGGCTGGTCACGTCGGCCATGTCAGGAGACTTGACTTGCCTCGGAGAAGTTATCTCTATGCCCATCCACTGGCTTCTTCGATCAACCTAGTACTGTATCCAACATAACCGAGCTGCTATGTCTGCAACTTGTATTTTGCCCATCGCCGATAAATAGGTACTTATCAACCAATTAGTCTCCCCTGGGACAAGGCTCGGGGTTATAACGCACAAACAGAAGAGCAATATTGAGACACTTCTGCAACGCCTACTTATAGGACCACTTTTCTCTGCTGTTATTCTGCTCTTTTGTCGAGGATTCGTAAGTGCCGACTTCGTACCACTTGTCCATGTGACTCGCACAACACATGAATGCCGTTTCCCTGAGCAGGTTCGAGCTCAATAAGAGAAGATATCTGGAGCAATCTATCTCAATAACTATGCATTACAGCTCATCGGAAAATCTTGTACATCGAAGTTGGAAGTCATGTGACGATGACTGGTGCTTTTTGTTGCACGTCGCATCGGCGCTTGTCATGAGAGTGCTGGACGTTGGTCTTGATGCCAGTGAGATTAGCGTCACATGACACTGAGGGGTTTTGTTGCACATCGCATCAGCGCTGGCTTCGACGACAATGTCGGTTTTGACAAGGTAGGATTAGCATCACGTGATATTTCCTAAATTCCTCTCCCTCGTGGGCTCGAATTACCAATTTCTATGTTATACCAATTGTCATTGGAAACCACTACTAAACCACGTACCATATCCTATGGTCCCTAAGGTACGACCCTCGACATACAGCAGATGACTAAGCTGCCACTGGCCTAAGCAGTTGGGTAAGAGATACTCCATGATGTTGAGTGAGGATTACTTACTGATATAACTGTCAAGTTAGTATAAATTCCAGAATTTCCAAAGGAACTTAATCAAAATATCAGTTTACCTCGATAGTTGTGGCTTCTTTGAGAACGTTTTCAAACATCACGGCCCGAAGGATCGGGAGATTGTTGACGCAGTCCTCACCTATATATTCCAAAATGGCCTTATAGAGCCATTAGCCAACGAATTGATGAGTCTTCTATTCGTTCTTGTCAGCAGCGGTTTGTTCGTCGTACCATCACAGGCCTTCGGTATACTACGTTGCTTCCTAGCCGCCTGAGCCTATTCAGGGTATGTCTGGCTGCGTCCGGCGTTTAGACTTTTGTTCAATCTCTCGACATGCGCACTCGTGACCAGTATCGATTTTCTCAGTTGCCTGAATAGCTAATTGCTGAATATTTAGTTCAGTCATGTTGCATGGGAGATGGCAGTAGATGGATGTTCTAACGAGAAACAATAACCACAAAATGGGACAGGAATCTTCAACTGTTTGTCAATCTAACTCGTCCACGGAACCAAGAAATCTGGGCACATAAAAGTATATGACCAGCAGGTCATGCAGATATCAGAAGTTTTGCACAATAATCAAGACATTCCCGATTTTAGTAGCGCCTTTCCAAGCTGAGTACATCACGTCCATCACCTGTCGGCGCTTCAATCAAGACTTCAATCATCGCACTCATAGCTTGTCAGATATTTCCGCCATAGACTGTGATCAATCCTTGATTTGATTGCATATTCAGAGGGGAGCTTGTTCGCCGATAATAACCTAATTGGGTGGAGTTGCTCAGTACCGGACGGAATACCACCCAAGATTGCAGTTGTTCAAGCTTGCAATTACCAAAGCAATTTCAGCAAGACAATTAGTATCCATCCAAACAAATTCCTAGCCTGTTAGATCCAAGTTGAAATACAAAAATTCGTAAAAGTCGTGAGTTTAGTTCTGTAGGTCGTACCTCATCCAGCAGTACGCTTGCTTCCGCGTTTAATACATTTCCCTCGTTCGTCGACCGCTCTTTGTGCACCCTACATATATTATCAGCAGATGACTCAACGAGCAGAAACACATGCGTTAGAGCTTCCATACAATCGCACTAGAACATCGTCAGTTAGAGTTTACAACCACTGAGATCATGTCATCGTACCGTAATAGGCGTTGATCCCTCATTATGGATCAGACAGTATCCTCCTGTGCAAAGACTGCACATCCTTTGGGTGCGATCGATGCATCTGGCGCACTGAGATCATCAACATCCATCCAAAATCCATACTCGTGACGGCACTTACATTGAGACCACATCCAAAGCAACCCCGAATGACCCCCAGCTACTCTCAAGTCAGCCTGGTGGTCTGGAATGGTGCACAAAATGAATCCATCTTGTTTTAAGTATCTTCCTCGGTGAAGGCCACTCAACTCCGCACTTCATTACTACCGGTTTCGGACAGCACCGTTTCCATAATACGACTCGCAATACAAAGATTGATATGTACCTTGACATCTCTATTTAGTTCTTCCTGCCCAGCACTGACACTATGCAACGACTCAGTTGCAGTGGATGTGTAGCCCGGATTTCCGACTTCGTAGCAATCTTCACACCACCATTTGTGGCAACTCTCGCAGTATCGATTTCGGAGGCATTCGACACAGCGTACTAACAGCTCCTTTGTATGGTGGGAGTCTCGGCGTAACGGAGTCTTCGCTGACTTGATAGTTGATGAATGGAGTGGTGGAGGAGCCAGCAGCGGGAAGCGTTCCATGGGTGATATTTCAAACCTTGCGACGCCTTCAGGAGCACCACCACACCGACTGCAGACTCCAAGCCCATGCGTTGCAATCCGAGGCGGTATGTATGCGTCGGGACGCCAATACCAAGGTGAACTATTCGGTTTTTCGAAAGAAGTATACTTGATCAAGGCTGAATGTCGAGGTCCATTGCAGAGAACGGCATCAAAACATATAATACCCTGACAAGCTTGAATGGTTTCTGCCCACTCCGAAGATGGCACTTTTGGAAAGACCTTACCACTCTTCTGAAACCACTTGTCACTAGCCATGTCCTCTGCGAGCGCATCCTCGGATTTCTGGTTCCATCGTGCCCCAATTTGTGCACCCCTTGCGGATACTGACCCTCCATATGATGGGACTATATCTAGCGGTGCAACACCTGGGGGGTATCTTTTAATGTAAGGTCGGAGTCGAGATGACGAGGGGGGATCCTTTGGCCCGAATACATACAAGCCCTGGAGCTTAGGTGTTCCGGCTGGTCTCGAAGGTCTGACTGCATACAAAAGGGCTTGTTGCAGTTTACGTTCGTTCAGATGTTGGACATCACGAATTGACAGGATTTGGACGTTGAAAGATTCGTGGGTAATGATCTCGGTGACTAAATCAGCTGGGACTGTGAGCCCATCAAGGACTAAGGTCCGGACATCTTGAAGAATATTTCGGCGTCGAAGATTGCTGAAAATCCCCCTCAAGGGACCTCCGTAGAAACTGTGATTATCTCAATATAAGAATCTTTAGTACAAGGGTTGACCAACTCGTCTTCCGTAACATTCTCATCAACTTGAATGTTCCGCCATACTTCTCCTCCGTGATCGAGTGAGCCAATTTCCGACCGAGCGTACTTGACCTGACTCAAGTCAAGACGTCTAAATACGTGTGGTGCCCTGTGAATGAGGGCATGGAAGGATTTAGAGGTGGATCCCAGGGCCAACACAGAGGAGACTGGAAGGTATGGGACGGTTTGATAGAGGACCAGGGTATTGGAAAGGAGTTGAAGAAGTGAAGTTGGAAGCTTGCTCTGCGGTGCGGTAGATATAGACAGACCAGATTCCATATCGCTGCAAAGGAGATTTCTCTTGTCGTCGTCGCTGCCAGCCCTCAAGTGGGGTGAAGGATGACGTTTGATACACACTGTCACGTGCTTGTGCCTCACCGTATCGTGGTATTATCTTACCTTATCTTAGCGTATTATGCTTATCATAAGCGAAGAGGGCGATAAAGTTCTCGAAGATGCTCTTCCACTTTCTTGTGATTATCAATCTGCCACCTCCACGCCGTATGCGCCAGCCTATATGTACTTCTTTTTAAAAGCCATATCGAGGACTTGGCTACATTAATAACGAACTCTTAACATATCCAGCGCAATGGCAGCACAGGACATCTCTCTAGCATGGTCTGGGGTGTTCAAGGTGGCGGCAAATGGCAACAAGACATTACCGGGCGACAAGATTGTCCTTCCTCAATCTGCCCTCGAACAATTGCTAGCAGCTTCAACAGTAACCGTCAATTCAAGGACTAGGCCTGGTGCCTCTTTCGATCCCTTTAATCCATACTCCCTCGCGGCGGCAAGAGCAGAGCAATCGCAATGGCGAGACACGCAACAGCAGCTCCCACATCCACTTACTTTTCGATTGGTCAACTCAAATAATGGCAATGTTGTTTACGCAGGGATCAGGGAATTTTCTGCTGAGGAGGGCGAAGTTGGACTGAGTTCTTTTCTCTTGGAGGCACTTGGCATCACTAAAGCCCCGGCAAAGTCAAAGCCCACGCCAATCACTAGAAATGATGCTGGATCGCCAGCTAGTGCAATCGATCTTACAGAAGACACTACAATAGATCTAACGAAAGACGAAGAAGAGCCTACACGAATCACGGTTCATGCGAAGCAACTGCCAAAAGGAACATACGTGCGATTACGACCTCTGGAGGCGGGATATAACCCGGAAGATTGGAAGGCATTACTTGAGCGGCATTTACGGGAAAACTTCACAACGTTAACCAACGGGGAAATCTTGACAGTTAGGGGATCTAGAGCGGAAGAATTTCAGTTCCTTATTGATAAATTCCTACCCGAGGGCGATGGCATATGCGTTGTGGATACGGATTTGGAGGTTGATATTGAAGCCTTGAATGAGGAGCAGGCTCGGGAGACGTTGAAGCAGATAATGAAGAAGGCGCAAAAAGCTCCAGGAACCGCTGAGGGAAGTTCAATTGGAGGGAACATTGATGTTTGGAAGCCGTTTGATGGACAGGTTGTCGAAGGCGATTACGTTGACTTTGAATTACCCTCTTGGGATCGAGGGCAAGCACTTTATATTGAGTTGACGGCCGAGGATGATGACGATATCGATCTTCTCGTCAGCCCATATTCCGCACACCAACGAGCCAGACCACGTGAAGATGAACACCTCTGGAGCGATTTCAGTGCGAAATCAACAAAGAAAATCATTCTTCTACCATCAAATATCGGCTTGGATGGAGCGGAATCACTCTTTATATCCGTACATGTCCACAAGTTCTCAGAGGATCCAGGACATCCGCGGAAATTCATATTACGCGCGAAGAACGTCTCAAAAGAGACCATATTAGATGAATCCGAGAATCCGGCCGTCATCGAGGATGAAAATACAGAGATGCACAGCTCTGATGAAGAACAGTGTAAAAACTGCCACCAATGGGTTCCCAAGCGCACCATGATTCTGCACGAGAATTTCTGTTTACGAAACAACATCCTTTGTCCGCACTGCGGGAATATTTTCCAGAAAAAATCTCAAGAATGGCAAAATCACTGGCATTGCCCTCATGATTCTGAGTACGGCAACACTCTTCGAAGCAAACAAAGGCATGATGAAGCTTTCCATATTTCACGCCCTTGCCCCAACTGTTCGTACCAGGCAGTAAATCTCAAGGATCTCGCCGTACACAGAACCTCGGTTTGTCCGGGAAAGATTATTTTGTGCCAGTTCTGCCACCTGGAAGTACCTCAAGAAGGCGACCCCTTTGATCCTTCCCCCGAAGCACTAATTACGGGCCTCACAGAACACGAATTGGCAGATGGTGCAAGAACCACTGAGTGTCATCTCTGCTCCAAGATAGTCAGACTGCGTGACATGGCCACGCATCTAAAGCACCATGAACTCGAGAAATCCTCACGGTCCAAACCGGCAATTTGCAGAAATGTCAACTGCGGGCGAACCCTGGAAGGTGTCGGGAAAAACGGTGAGATTGGAGCGGCTACTAGGATGGGACAAGGTCCGGGAAATGACCTTGGATTGTGTAGCATCTGTTTTGGCCCTCTGTACGTCAGTATGTACGATCCAGAGGGGAAGGCTATGAAGCGACGGGTCGAACGCCGATACGTCTCTCAATTAATCACCGGCTGTGGGAAAGCATGGTGCACGAACGAATTCTGCAAGACTGCAAGGGCCAAGATTGATAAGTCGGCTCCGGCTCTATCGACCAAAGACGCATTACCATTAGTGAAGCCTTTGACGGACACGGTGAACGATCGATCCCAGCCTATGTATTTCTGTGTCGACGAAAGCAGTCAAAAAAGAAGGAAGTTGGCGGAGATGCTAGCTGGTGAAAACGTTTATGATCTCGAATGGTGCGTAGCTGCATGTGAAGCGGAGGGTGGTAATTTGGATAAAGCGAGACAATGGTTGCAGAATTGGGCGCCAAAGAAAACTTGACCTTTCAATGCTTTCTTCAAGAAGATTGATAGGTAGAGGCGATGTCCAAAAGGGAATGCGAATATCCAGAACAGCCTAAGATAGGTGGAGGTGCATTGCATAGTTGCATGGAGTTTCATGGTAATACGTTCGAGTTTCTCATGATACCAATGTATAGACTTTTATACAGGATTCTTTCGAGGGAGGTTCACCTCTGAATCTATGAGAAAGGCTTTTGCCATCTTGTTGATATGTCTGCCTCTTCCCATCGTCGTTCACCTTCTGTCCAGGATTATTACAGTTGATGGAATGAAATCTCTTTCAAAGAGCTCTGATCAAAAGTCATATATTTGGCCCCACTCTGATACAAACTCAGCCTCCTCCAAGGTCAGTTGGCAACTGGTTGGGGTGAAGGAGGATATGAGAATCTTTAGCTGGAACTGGTTTATGAAGGATTGGGATGATCATGGAAGAAGCAATCCTTGAGTTTTCGGATAGAAATACCTGGAATTTGCCAAGCTTTTGAGCGTCAAGTAGACACTTAACCTTCTCTTCCCTATATCCAACCAGCTCTCCATCCTATAATACTAAAGTATTGATCAGGATGCTGATTTACTCATGTACACGATGTCTCTTTATCTGGATCGATGTACTGGTCGCATAAATAGGGAAACAGCTAAATAGGTTCGACGCCTCTTCCCATGAACGTCCTTTCACCAAGCTCGTGCTCCACAATTTGGAACAGAGGCAGTCCCTGGACTTCGAGGTGATATCAGCAAAATGCCTTAGAGAAAGCAGATTGACTCACAATATCCTGATGCACTTGTCCCAATAGCTTCCCACGTTGCCTTGGCTTCTATATCGCCAATTTTCACCAAAGGTTTACCACTACCAGCCGCCGATGCATCAGCTGCGAGCTGGACCTGGCAACATCTATCCAGAAGTACAAACATTGCAACCGCTTCCTCAATTGACTTTCCAACTGTGAGTAAACCGTGGTTCCCCAGCAGCGCAGCTCTCTTGCTCCCGAGTGCTTTCGCAATATTCTTGCCTTCCTCAGATGCAAGAACAACTCCGCCAAAATTCCTAGTGGAAGTTAGGAAAAGCAAGAGACTCCGAAAGATGACAGTCATACTCATATAAAACGTGATCGTTGTAGAAGTTGCAAGCATCTTGAGTTAACGGATCCAAGGTGCGACCAGTTGCACAGAAGGCTCTGCCATAAAGACTATGAGAATGTGCTGCACACAATACATCCGGACGTGCAGCATGGATCTCTGAATGGATCGCGAAGGCAGCATAATTGAGGAATCTGTTCCTGCCTCCATCAATAACTTTTCCGTCATGGTTGACAAGAATGAGATCGTCGGCCGTGATTAGGGAGAAATGGAGACCTCTACTTGTCAGTGCCTGATCTTGACATGGAACGGTAGACTAGGAAGATGCGTACCAAAAGGATTGACCCAGAAGTTCTGAGGATGGACAGGGTCTCTCAGTGTTATATGTCCAGAAACTCCTTCGCAAAATCCAAATTTTGCAAAAATCCGAAACGCAAGAGCCAGCCGGTGTTTAAGATATTTGCGTTCCTCATACTTATCATCAAAGGAAGGGGGGCCTTTTGGAACGTCTTCGGGAATCGTGAGGCTGGGATCCCCGCTCCTGTAGATAGGCTTTGACGTGGATAAACCTTCCGTTGCAGAGGGGGCCATTATAACTGAAGAATAGAAGAAAGACGGATCAATAATAAGACAGTTTAAATAATCGTTAGACGATTTGGGGGGAAAAACAGATTTGTACCTTACGGTTCCAAATTTGAGGGAAGATAAGCTCCTGAGGAGCCCCCCCACCTTTCGATCTCCTTAAGTTCAGGTTTGACGACATTCTCACCCCCTGATTGATGAAAGATTACAATAAATAGATTTAACTGTAAATGACAACTTCGAATAGGTAGAAAACTATGTCCTTTGTTCAAATTCTATCCGTGAAAGTCTGTTGGACAGCACATAAAGTGCGACAATAAGCAAAGGTAAGCCAAAGGTTACTGCTCCACTACCTTACAGCAGGAACTCATAGATTCTAATTGTCAAAACAGAATCGGCAATTCATGCTCACAAACTAAAACAAGAAGATAAAATTGATTATAGATCAGGCAATACGGAGATTAAGAAAGTCAGATATCTGATAGAGATTCTAGTAATTCTGCTGAAATCAACAGTCAGGACCCATCTTTGTATATCGGCACAGCAGACCGGCCTACCTATCTGTTAAGACTTATAGACCTGAAAATTCATGAAGATTAATATGTGTACTTTTTTTATATATTTTTATATTTTTTTACATAGATTTTCAATGAATAGCTCAAAAGCAGTTGTACTTCCTAGGTAAATACTGAGGTACCCAATTATGTGGTTAGCAGTGTTGAATTAGAGTACAAAACTACCAGTACTTTTAGATGAATTTTCTAAACAGAAATTTGTAGAGACACAGAAGTTATTTGCCTTTGAAACCCATGATAAAGGCCAATATTGGTTCAATTGGAATCAACAAATTTAGTTAGATATACTGTAGTAGACACTACTGGGTTGAAGGTACTTACTTGATCACGTGCGTCCCCCGCTCACCTCCCTTGTCAAACCGGCATTCCGCCCATCATACTCACTCGATCACCACCTTCAAAGAGTGCATCATGCTGGTCACCATCCCCGAAAAAGGTGCCCTTCAAGGAGCGATTATAGTTGATTCGGCTACGGGAAGACCGAAGTGCCATCGTTTTTCCCGAGTTCCATATGCCCTCCCTCCGACGGGAGCGAGAAGATGGAAAAGACCAGAAGCTCTGCCACGTAGCTTTTCATACGGCTCGGCGCAGAATCCAACCCAATACAACAAACCTTGCTCACCATGCCCCCAGCTCCCCAAGTTCGGGGTAAAATCATCGTCAGATGAAGACTGTCTTCAGCTCAATATCTATGTGCCGCTTGGGAACCCTCCGGACGGGGGCTGGCCTGTCTTTTTCCATATGCGTAGGCCTCGAAAATCGAAGAATCATGGAATTTATACTAATTTAACTAGATGGGGGCTTTCTTCAATTTGGATCAAATAATTCAGAAGATCCATCAGATCTCCTAATCGAGACGGATGCCAAGTGCATTATTGTATCACCAGGCTACCGTCTCGGAGTTTTTGGTTTCTTATCTTCGAATGAGTTGTCGAAAGGTCTTGGATTGGGGGCCAATTTTGGGTTCTGGGATCAACGCCTCGCTCTCGAATGGACATATGAGAATATAACATTCTTTGGAGGCAACAAAGAAAACATCACCGTCGGAGGGCTTTCTGCTGGAGCTTATGCAACGTTCCATCAACTGGCATATGATATCGGACCTAACTCGAAAAAGCAAATAATTCGTCGGGTTTTCCTATGGTCAAATGGGTGCGGTGTTGAGCCAAAACGAGTCTCGGAAGCCCAGCAACAGTTTGACGAATTAATCTCTGTCTTGGGGATACCCTATTCATGGAGCGATTCACAGAAGATTGAAGCACTTCGTCGCAAATCATCAGACGAACTCATCCAAGCTGTTGGTAAACTGAAACAAAAGTTTTTCAGGCCCGTCCTGGATGGCGAGTTCATGTCAGAAGATCTATTCCAGAGAATCTACAGCGGAGCATTTGGTAAACGCATGATGGAACTCGGGATCCAGACCATGATTGGAGATTTAACGCAAGAATTTCATCTCTACAAGATGATCTATCCCCCAAGTTCGTACGAGTCGTTGGTTGACCGCCTTTCATGGGATTATCCGCGCGATATTGCCGTCGCAATCAGCTCTCCGTACAGGAATTCCTCTCTATCAAGGGATGAGTGGAAGGACACGTTCGGAAGGCTGTATGCCGACATGCAGATTCATTCTACGCTACGGGGTTTTATACAGTCGATTGCAAAACATGTGCCGCTCAGCCATATCCATCGTTACAGAATCGACTGGAGAACGAAGAGTATCGACAAGAGGCTTCCTCCGCAAGTAGGAGCTACGCATGGCACCGATATGCCTATTTGGTTCTTCGGCAATGGCGATACCTTGACTCCGTCAGAAAAGGAACTCATCCGTACGTGGCTAGAGCCAGTGACGGCTTTTTTGAAGGGGGAGGTCGTCGTGTGGGGAACTCAATCATTGACTGAGGTTAGGTATCTCACCGCTGATGGTCGAATTGAAATCAAGCAGGATGAAGTTTGGGAAAGCAAGACGCCGTTATGGAACCTCACCAAGAGAGTAACCCAAAATCGGGCCTCGACACATCGACCTGAGATCTTTGAGTGATGACAGTGACCTTAGCTCATTGATGTATGTGCATATGTATATGTACGCAAGTATTATTCGACGGGACGACAAACGAAAACTCCTTTTCCTGAACCACGATGGGTAGTTTTTGCTTCTAAAATTTAAAATCATAGCGGCCATCTATTCCCAGGAATCAGCATTGATGGGATTAAGAAGGAGCTCTGCCGTGGATTGGTACAAATTCGTGGACTAGGGGGAAATGTAAATATATATAATATTTGCTCTTACGCCGACCCAGCCAGTGGCTCTGCGGAACTTCTACTATATACAGGATAAACCAGCTTCACAACAGCCACTGTAAACCTATACATCTCTCTCATATATACAGGATGAACCAGCTTCACAACAGCCACTGTAAACCTATATACCTCTTTCAAATCCTCAGGAAAACCCTCCGTATTGACCTGCGCGCCGATCCCCACGTTAGGTGAAAAACCCGAGTTCTGCACCGTCCCCTTACCGCCAATCCCCTCACTTGGCCTTCGCTCGGCGACCGCCGGCAAGAAGCTCGGTACAGGTATAATTCTTTGTGTATCGCCCAAAGAATCCGGAAGAAAGACGGCTTGTTTCTATAGGGCTAGCAGGCCCTTTCCTCACTGTATATTTTACATGGACAGTAGTACTACTCCATGCCCTTTCATTACGCATTTCAGGGGCTCACGAACCATGAGTTTAACGTGGGAGGTAATGGCCACAGGGAGGTAGGAAACAGAGAGCGCACCTCTTCTCTCTGGTGGGGGGGTCAGGATTCGAACCTAACCTCGGCTTGCCCAGGGCCGAACTAGAATGGACAGTCCTACCACTGCGCCATCCCCCCTGGAAATATATATAGTTCATTGTGTAGAGCAGGATATTAATCCTTCTTGGGTGGAGCAAAGTGCATTTGCTCAAAATCTACCTAGGTGTATTTCGTTTCACATCATATTTTGCAGGCGATTAAGCTCTTGCAGGCTCGGGTTCCTTAGCACTCCTCATCGAGACTTGCCACATCAATCTCTGAGTAGAGCCTAACTGGCCCGTAATAGAGTGCCAAGCCCCATAATTGTGAAAGATTACTAAATCTCCATCTTCCCATCGGTGTGCATATATATGCTGCGGCTTGACGGCCTTCTTTTGCAGATTATAGCAGATCCTTCGTGTTTCCGCCAGGTCGTCAATCACTGTCACTTTACCCGTCACTGGATCTTTGGTGCGTAGGGAATGGACACAGCATCCTAGGATCTGAAGATGCGGTTGTTCTGGCCGGCCGGGATTCTTCCAGGCCATCTGAGAAGTTGTAAGTAAAATACTCACGCAATTGCTTCATGTATTCATACCGGGAAGGCTTGGACTTTGTCCCATGTCCAAGGAGGAAGCTCGTCGTTAGGCTTTTCATCGCCAACTTTCGCGATTCCTAGACCGTCGGATGTTGCTTTGCAATCTCGGATCCATTCATATGCTCTGGGAGCGTACTGGACAGTTGTGTTTAGGGCAAATTCCTGCTCCTCGGGTGTCAGTAGTTGGAAAGCTCTCGCCCCCGAGATGACTGTTCGTGGTCAGTGAAGCAGGTTTTACGTGACCAGTAGGTTGTCTCACATGCTGTGGAGCCTGCCTGTACTTCCATCACTTCTCCGTTGTCAAACCTGATTTTCTGGTCTGGTAGTTTGGGAACAACCAATCCGTGAATCAACGTCACTTTCCCGGGCAAACTCTCATACAATGGGGCATCCTGGTGCCACCGATAGAATCTTGTCTCTCCATCTTCAAGGGCTTCTTTAGTCAGTGGCTCGGCGTGAAAGTCTGCAGAATCCTGGCACGTATCAGTAGATGTATAGTTGTTCAGGTCATGCCACTTACAATATGTCTCAGATTCAAATAATCAATCCCTTCATATCCTTTGAACTCTCCATTTCCAATTATCTGCACATTCTGCGCCCTTGGAAGTCGTGCCCCATTGTTTCGAGATAAGATGTTACGAGGATCCAGAACTTGTTCTTTTCCAGCTGAATGGACATTAATCAAGTTCTCATCCCAGATAGCTGCCAGTTGCTCCAAAGCATGCGGATCAATGCCTTGCTGTTTTCTGATAACCAGAACCGAATTATCATATAGAGCTTGTCGGAGGACAGAGATATCATCTGGCAAGAGTGTGCTTGGGACGATTGGTCCCCTCTTGTTAAGGACGACTTCAGCCCCAATCAGCGTATCCTTTCGGAGCTCGGGTGCCAGAGGCACGATGGTGAACAACGAAGACGTGGGAAGCGTAGCAGAAGGCATTTTGACAGCCGTTTCAATCTTGAAAGTGCAGTCTATATGGCATGCATTTATGGCATGCCCATGAGGTTCAAGGTGCTTTATCAACTATAGACATGACTTCGATTATAGGAGAGATAAGCCCCCACCTTTGCTCCAACTCGGCGGGCTCCGAAACGATGCACTTGTCGAAAGAGATGACGATAATAAAGAGCTGGGGTGGCACGGCTGGAGTTGGAGTTGGGGTATGGCAACATTTTATCAAGGAACACAAACCAAGAGAATACTGAGATGGAGTTGCAAGCTTCTGGCGGAAGCCAAAGTCCTCCTTTAACGGTGTCTCACTTGAGATGGGACTTGCTGGGTTGCACAGAGAAGTTGGAGACATGCACAGCGTGCACGCGCATCTTACTCCAAATTTCGATTCATCCTTGATGAGCCAAGGAAAGGCTGGTTTCCCACAATTGCTGTAACTTGTTGTTGAAGCTCGTGAAGTGACGCTGAAGTCAAAAATGTGGGGGAGGGAAGACCCTCAGCGGCCCGCCACGCTCTGCCCCTTGTGGCGGTGCATGTTTACTCTATTAAGGGAGTTTTGACCAATCAACGCCATTGATTCTTATTGCGTAAGGAATGTATAGAGGGACCCTCTAAGTTCTTATCAACCTCATTGGTTGATAATCGTAATGCCCGTCTGTAAAGGGGTCGGAATAACCTTCATTTAGGGTCCAGACGCGTCAACGCCACAAATTGACGCGACGATTTCTCAAAACACGTTAATCCCCAGCTATCAAACAAGATGGCGCAGCCCTTCGTTATGGCGAGACAGCCTCTTGCAGAGACTGATAGCAATGTGAACGTCCTGGGTGCAGCTACCACACGTATAGATCTGACAAAGCCTAAGGTATAGCCGTAGGGGTCCCGCGTGTGAACCAGGCTTGCTAACGGCCTGAGACTTCTCAGCCCGGCAAAGCCACTAAACGCAAGGCTTCAGAGATTGAAGAGCCCCAGAATCTCCCTGAAATCGACAGTGATGATCCACGCCTGCGTTACGTCACTGACAATTGTGACCAGGTGCGGCGCAAGATTCGCGCCTACCTTGGCTCCGGGGAGATGAACGTCGGTGAATTCGCCAAGGCTGTCGGATCTAGCAATAGGTCATACAATACATTTATGACACAGAATGGTCCGGACAAGGGCCGTGGCTGTGATTTCTACTTTGCGGCATTCCGGTTCTTCAAAAAGCGTGAGTTGCAGGGCCTGAAGATGCCGAAGAAGAAGGTCAAGAAGGCCGACGAGGACAAGAAGAACGATGTCTCTGGTATCCATCTCGATGGCGAAGAAGAGGGTGAAGTTCCGATCTTCGAGACCTGTGACGAGGTTAGAAGGAAGATCGAAGCCCACCTTCGGGACCCCAACGTTACTCAAGCTGGGTTCTTGCGCGAGATCGCGAAGACGTTCCCGGAGGAGAGAAAGTTACAAGCACAAATGTTGCAGACTTTTCTGAGTAAGAAGGGTCCTAGTGCTGGGAATACCTCTGCGATATTCTACGCGTCGTATGTCTTCTTCGAAAAGCTGCGTCTCCGGGACGGGAGGCCAAAGTCTAAGCACAGGGAGGACATGGAGGAGATTTATCCCATAGGATTTGATCGAAAGAGACGTGACGATGTTTTCTTCTTACCTGCTGGAGCCTTAGAGGCTCCATATGAGGACAAGTACGGTCAGATACATTTTCTGTGACGGATCTAGATTCGGATCTAGATTTGACTATTGATATGGGCGATATCTTGAGGCTCATGATGTCTATTGTGCGTTTCTTGGATGGACATCTGTTCGGGTTGAGCTTTTTTTCTATCTTTGTTGCCTTGTACAATATTTATTGTGCTAGTAATGCATCCAAGATTCCCAGGGTGCGTTGCAGTTGTTTATTCTATCAAGGAATGGTCGGTCGTAGACTCGCATTGGTTGGCTTCTTCAGTAAGCAGGCATCAGCCATAAACTTTGGTCAGTGAGAGACTCATGCTGCATAGGTTCTTAAGAGGCTATCTATTCTGGGTATAGAGAAAGAAGAGGGCTAGGGAATCCAGAATATGAGGCTTGGTTGCCGTATTCGAATATCTTGGGTATATTTCATCCTATTTGAATTTCATACTTCCCCGGTCTGAATTATTCCACCTAGCATTTCCTTCGTCTCAATTTGACGGGCCGATGATTCTCCATATCCTGGATATCTACAGGGAATGTTTCTGGGAAACGGGGAGAACAAATGCGGGGAACTGGTTGGGGTAATCGGCGGTTCTATCAGGCCGAACAGCTGCGCCGTACGATTCACGTCAACACCAGGGATTACGCTGATACGGAATAATTCTGAGCGCATGCCATGTAAAAAGAGTGTCGCTACCTTCGATATGAGTTCCCTCGCTCTCGTCCTTTTCACGGTCATCACCTAGAGAGCTGTAGCTCTGCTTCTTTTCATCATGTTACTCTGCCGGGACAGTTCAGTTCTCTTTCTTGCGACAACCCTCCTTGCCATTTGTCACGCTTCAGTCTTGGAGTTCGACTATCTCATAGTCGGCGCCGGGCCCAGTGGTCTCACATTAGCAAATCGGCTTTCAGAGCTTCCAAACATCACCGTCGCAGTAATCGAAGCGGGAGGAGAGGTATACAACAACCCGAATGTGACGATCATTGAGGACTTCACCCTCGCTGAAGGGACATCAATTGATTGGCAGTATGAATCAACGAATCAGACCTACGCCGCAGGGCAGAGGATCGCATATCATTCCGGCAAGGCTCTTGGCGGCTGCAGCACGATCAACGGTAAGGATGCTGTTTTAGGAGGAGCGCCAGCTAATTAGGAAAGGGATGACATATATTCGTGCCGAGAAGGCTCAGATTGATGCCTGGGAAACCATTGGAAACAAAGGTTGGAACTGGGCGAATCTGATTCCGTACTATAAGAAGAGTGAGCATTTTGATGCTCCTACTGCCGCGCAGACCAGAGCTGGGGCGTCGTACATTGCTGTAGATCATGGCAGAGATGGCCCACTGAAGGTTGGATATCCCTATGGCCTGCTGAACGGGACATTGCACGAACAAGTTGGACAAGCCTGGGGGGCTTTGGGGATTCCTCATAATTCCGATGTGAACGGAGGAAGCGTGCGTGGCTTTACTGTGTGGCAAAGCACCGTTGACCGAGAAGCCAACGTCCGGGAGGATGCCGGAAGAGCGTATTATTACCCAGTTCAAAGTCGTCCAAATCTTTCTGTGTTCCTCAACACAACTGTGAATCGAATTGTTTGGAAGGATGGTGATGAAGTTATTGCGAAAGGAGTTGAGGTGACTTCTAAGAATTGCAGTGTAAGTTCCCTGAACGCAAGGAAGGAGGTAATTCTTTCAGCTGGATCATTGAGATCTCCAGCTCTTCTTGAGCTTTCGGGAATTGGAAATCCAGCGTGCGTTTTCCTTCTCGAGACGTAGACAAAGCTGATGACTACAGGATATTGAGCAAGTACGGGATTCCCACCAAAGTAGATCTTCCTGGAGTAGGAGAGAATCTCCAAGATCAGCCAAATACCGCTATTGTTCTCCAAACTAATACCACGTATAATGGGACCACGGGATACGTTGCTTTTAGCTCTGCCTCGGACTTCTTTGGAAACGTACCCAATAACAGCATCGCAGATTGGGCTTTACAAGTATCCAACGCCGTCAATAATTCTGTAAACGCATCTGCCCTCGAATATCTATTCAAAGTTCAACTTGGCCTCATTTCGCAGGGTGTCCCTGACGCCGAAACGATCATCGGCACAACTGTAGAAGTAGGAGGAGTACCAAGGGCCATCTTGGCTTCTGCCTTCTGGCTGCTCATGCCGTTCTCTCGAGGGAACGTCCACATAAGCTCACCAGACCCATCAGTCTATCCACAAATCAACCCCAACTATTTCCTGATTGACTTCGACCTCGCCATACAGATTGCAATCGCCAAATGGGCGCGGAGGTTCTGGGCGACGCAGCCCGTGAGTGCCTTCACAGCCGAAATATCTCCTGGGTTCGAGGTTGTCCCTGCCAATGCGACCGATGAGCAGTGGGGAAGTTGGATCAAACAGTCATGTAAGTTGGCTTCGATTATCTGGAGACATGTCTGACAGATCTAGGTTCGGCCAACTCTCATCCGCTGGGGACGGCGGCAATGATGCCGAAGAAGCTGGGCGGGGTGGTGGATGCTCAGTTGAAGGTTTATGGCACGGGAAATGTGCGCGTGGTGGATGCTTCGGTGATGCCGTTTCAAGTGAGTGGACACCTGACAAGTACGCTGTATGCTATTGCAGAGAAGGCAGCAGATATGATCAAGGAGGAGATGTAGAAGCCCAAATATAAGAAATATTATTCCTCATATGCTTATCATAATGCAATCATGAATAACCTAAGTCCAGTTAGGACCCGTCGAAGACAAAGGGGTTCTCGCTTACCTATTCACCCATTCACCCCCCTTGTTTTAAAAGACAAAAACGCATACTTGTATACGAGAAAAGCTGCCTCAAAGCTAGGAACACAACTCCACTACCATGACAGTATAAACAGGAACCTAGGACTCAAGACCAATAAAGAAAATCTTCTCTCCATTGGCGCGCGCAAGTTACTTGGGAAAATCCTGGGGTGAAATTGGCCTCCTGGATACCTTATCTAACGACCTCTAATCTTTCCCTATTCTTCACTCTCTGCTCAACCGCAACCATAGGACAGCTTTCAGGGATTACCACAGAAGTTCGGTCTCCCAATGTCCCGGTCATCATATCTAGTCCAGGATCTTAGCCTTTCCGAATCTCATCCCCATATCTCCTACTCCATCCCATTTCCTTTATAGAGATCCAATATCGAGCTCCAATCAGAAAAACCCCGTGATAGTGAGTCTCAATGTGAGGATAGGGAGATATAGACTCGGTAATAGATGAAGGGATAACGTTCAAGAGAAGGCAAAATTCTATTTTTTATGGAAAAGGAATCCGAACGCATTTTTGGGTATATTTTAACTCTGCTTACTCGTCCGCCGCCTCGTCTTCCACGCTTTCACCTCCTTCAACACGCCCATCACGAGAGGGACGCCAATGGGACCCAGCAACGGCAGGTAAACTGCTACCTTGTGTTCGTCTGGAAAATATACTTGGCCAACCATACTCTTTTCGAAGAAGGCCTTCTCCGCCGCCTCCTCGGCAATCCGTGCATTTTCCAACCCTCCCTGTCCGCCCAGCCCGTCGCATGTCTTGCGGAGGTGTTCAATAGTCGTATAAACTCCGTCTGCTACGCTTCGAGGAATACTTATCGATGGCAGGGCTATCGTTAGACGAGCGAGACTTCCCAAAGTGCCACTCGCTTTCAACAGTAAGCTTGCACTGCGGACGCGGACCAATGTCATCAGGCGCAAGGGAAGGGAGCCGGATTCAGGAGCTCCCAGTAAGGACATGAGTTGGTTGGAAAAGGTGAGCATGGCTGGTCGGAGATCAGACACGTCAGATTGGATGACGACTCCGCCCCATTGAGGGATGAGCCAACTCTTTCCGCCGCCTTCGACCTCCATATCTCCCACGTACACAATGAAATTGATCGTGGGAGCCCCACCAATGCTCGGGCTCAAAGGCCACTCTGCAGCATTGATGAACCCACTCAGATCTTCTTTCTTTAAGATGTTCCCGCTAACCCCTGGAGTCGCGTACAACTGAACCTGTGTATCAATTGTAAAATTGCTTATCGCCGAGAAGCTTTGGAGCAATGGCTTCATGTGATCCTCCAATGCGGCCTCGATATCCCAGCTCGAAGGGGTGGCGGTCGGCGTGAAGAGCGAGAAAGTCAAATGGTATGTTCTCGAGTATTTCATGGATCGCGTAGTCCATTTCGCTAGGGACTCTGCCACATTTGGGGCAAGAGCTTTCGGGCTCCGTTCTGGCGGTGCAGAACTTGTAGAGAGGAGATAGGCAATCATGGCCTGTTCCTCAGCGAAAATCTGCCTTAGTGTATTCGCAATGAATGTGGCCAATGAGGACGAGGACGAGGAGCTGGTCGGTATTTGGTTCGGGGTATAATAGATGTCCAGTATTGGAGAGTATTTCTGGAGATCTGCTTGGATTGAATCGCCCTTCAATAGCCTGATAGTCAGCGCTAGCTCTTCATCCGCAGCTGTAGTCGACAGTTCATTCGCGTTTGATGAGGCATTGGCAGGCGGGGAGAGCTGCAGTCGAAGATGATGTGCGGAGAAGTCATTCAAGTCGTCTAGAGCATGTTGAGTAGTCCGCAGAAGATTCTGTGCTTCGTGATCTTGGAGGGAATCGGCCTCGATAGATATTCGGAGTGGGAAGACTGGTCTACACGCCTGATGCTGTCAGCTTCTGGTTAGGTTAAAAAGAGCGGAATGCGACATACTCTGCCATCTGCCCAATCCATCATCTCATCCATTGGGAGAGGCGCCCTGTATATTGACGTTGTCTTCCACCATATTGGCAGACCCAGAAAGATTATAATGGCCCAGAAAGAGGAGAGGACCAAGTATCGCAATCGTATACTTTCTGGCCGCTCAGGAGGTGGTTCTTTCCTTGCCGACGCGACATCTACCGCGTTCGCAGGCGCAACATGATTACCTTGATCCTTGACTGTAGGATCTTGTGCTGCTGACAGTTGCGTCTCTGCGGGCATGGCGACCGAGTTGCTTGTGGTGGCATTTGACAACGTATCGAAGAGAGCCGTCGTGGCCTGCTACCCCGGTCTGGCGCGCCCCTGGAAAGAGAACCTTAGGTACCTTAGTATGAAGGTATTTTGAAGTCGGTGGTCGGCATCTTCGGCGTCCGATATCCATCTAACCGTAATGGATCCAAGCGTGAATCTCTGATATAATTGGTCCATCCGTGAGCCTCGGCTTGCCGTCATCGAGGACGCATGAGACTGCGCTCCTTGCAGGGGATCTGCAGCAGATGGCAATGTTTATAGTAATTTCCAGATTTCAATAAACCCAACTGTAATTTTGGCAGTAATATCAACCATCTCAATGTCCTCTTAAAGGCACGCGGCTTTGAATGTGATGCTGCTTGACTGCCATTGACGATATAGGGGCAGGTCCACGTCCAGCAGCAATCTCTTTCCACCTAGACTCTACGCCTTTTCCCCTGAATAAGTCGTTATAATGACAGTAACACTGTCATAACAACAGCAAGAATAATACGCAAAGATTTCCGAAAATAAAGAAGACCGACCATCTTCCAGGTTGTCCCCACAATGCAACCTGGTGGGTACGGGGTAGATCCCCCGGAAACCCCTCTAGTACTTAGCATCCCTCTCGAAATACCACGGAATGGCTCAACGTTTACATCTACAGCTTCTGCGGGGTCCCTCCTCAATACCTACACTCCAACCTCAATCGATCGATCAATCACAAATCAATCAATCATAACCTCAATTCTGTACTGTGTTACGCTCCTTCCGCGCGCCCCTCCCGAGGTTCCACGATGCCAGGTAAAAAAGACCCTGCTTGTCCCCAGCCCTTTCAGCAGCTGCTCACTATATCTAATCAGTTCCGCTGGCGCTGGCGGCCCCAGCTGCCGTTGCAGGCCTAGCATACCTCAATGCCAAAACATCCTTCACCTACGATTGTCGCACTATTGGCAGCGCCTTCAAAGCCCGTTTCTCCACCGTCATCAAGGAAAAGAAGGATCGCCTGAATCTCTTCTATACTCTGGAGGAGCATGCCCAAGGAAAGCATGCAGATGAGGTCTTCCTCATCTTCAACCGACGGTCATGGACCTACAAGGAGACCTATGAGACAGTCTTGAAATATGGGACCTGGCTCAAGACAAAACACAACGTCCAACCCAAGCAGATTGTGGCCATTGATTTCATGAATTCGGACAAGTTTATTTTCATCTGGTTTGGATTGTGGAGTATTGGTGCAAAGCCGGCTTTTATCAATTACAGCCTTACTGGAAAGGCGCTGGAGCACTGCATTCGAGTATCCACGGCACGCCTGATCCTCATCGACCCCCAGATCGAGAAGAACGTCACTCAAGAAGTCCGCAACGACCTGCCCGATGTAGAATTCGAGCTCTTCTCCCCGGAGCTGGAGGCAGAGGTCATGTCCCTGGTAGGTGTTCGGGAACCCGATTCAGCACGTTCTGAAGACAAGGCACGAAACATGGCCAAGCTCGTCTTCACGAGCGGTACTACTGGGCTTCCAAAGCCAGCAATCGTTAGCTGGGACAAGGCCAATACTGGAGCAGCGATGGTCCCGAGCTGGATGTCATATGGCAGGCCAGATGTGTTCTACACTGTGAGATTCCTCTCCCTATTTATATACCTCTGGTGCTGACAACATACAGTGCATGCCCCTCTATCACACGTCTGCTGCTCTTCTTTGCGTCCTTTCGGTTCTCCATTGCGGGGCAACAGTTGCTCTCGGAAGGCAATTCTCTAAAAAGACCTTCTGGGCCGATTGCCGTGATTCGAAAGCTACAATAATCCAGTATGTCGGCGAGACCTGTCGATATCTTCTGACTGCTCCCCCTCAAGTGGATCCCACGACTGGCGAGAACCTCGACAAAAAGCATTCCGTGCGCATGGCCTTCGGTAACGGTCTCCGGCCAGACATATGGAACCGCTTCAAGGAGCGATTCGGGATCGAAACCATAGCCGAGTTCTATGCGGCCACGGAAGGTTCATCCAGCTCCTGGAATTACTCCCGGAACGATTTCTCCAAAGGCGCCATTGGGCGAAACGGGTTTCTCGGCTGGTTGTTCCTGAGAAATTCGTGGCATATCGTTGAGCTGGACTGGGAAACCGAGACACCGTGGCGCGACCCGAAGACTGGTTTCTGCAAGAAGGTGAAGACGGGAGAGCCGGGCGAGATGCTGTTCAAGCTGGATGAGAAGGACATCGGGAGCAAGTTTCAAGGATACTTTAACAATACCAAGTCGACCGAAGGGAAGGTTATCAGAAACGTCTTCGTCAAAGGGGATGCCTATTTCCGAACGGGCGACGTGATATCCTGGGACGCCGAGGGCCGTCTTTACTTCAACGACCGGATCGGCGATACCTTCAGATGGAAGAGCGAGAACGTCTCAACCAGCGAGGTTTCCGAGGCGCTCAGCGGCCACCCCGCTGTCCACGAGGCCAACGTCTACGGCGTGCAGCTGCCCAACCACGACGGGCGCGCCGGCTGTGTTGCGCTCGTCCTGGCCGAGGAGCCTAGTGAGAAGCTCCTCTCCTCGTTAGCTGCGCACGCCCTCGCTACGCTTCCCCGATTCGCCGTCCCGCTGTTCGTGCGCCTGACAAAGGAGATGCAGACGACGGGCACCAACAAGCAGCAGAAGCACGTGTTGAGATCCCAGGGGGTAGACCCTTCGAAGACGGGAGATGACGAGGTGTTCTGGTTGAAGGGTAACGCGTATGTCAGGTTCGGACCCAAGGATTGGGAAATGTTAAGGGCCGGGGATGTGAGGTTGTAACAAGCTTTGAGACAGTGCTTGCTGTAAATACCATAAGTACTAATTGTATTCGTTATGACCGAAACGCCAGCCATCCGAACATCAACAGGACAAGTATGGGTAGGTCAGGTAACGAGGGCAGTTCTAGCGAGCGCCTTGTATTAAAAAGCTCATGGATATCATGGATATATTACAGTAATTGCACTACCAAGTCCCTGAACCCCCCTTAAAATTATACCCATTTCTATATTACCCGCTTACGGAACACGTTTAAGCCAAAGCCTTCGCGGCTCTCTGCTCCCGGATCGACGCCCCCTTCCAGTGGATGAAGATCATGGGCAGGAGCGCGCATACAGCCACGATGCCCACCAGCAAGCCTGCGCTGCCGTCGAGTCCCAGGTTCTTGAACATGTCTGGGAACCAGAAGGGTCCTATTTCTCGTTAGCGCCACTCGCAGCGTACTTCCCGAAAATGGGGTGAAGGGAGAAAGGGGGGAGTGAGGGTGAAATCAAGACGTACCGATGAATCCCCAGGTGTTCCTGATGATATTAATGAACACCCCAATGCTAGCCGCATGTTCATGATGGCAATCCACCGCATAGGTTACCAAAACCGTGGTAATAACCTGGTTCCCGAACGCCGCAATGGCCATTCCCACGACCGGGGTCACGTTATACGCGTGGATCTTCTCCGCCTGCACCAGGAATACCACAAGACCACAGATCACTGTCGCAAAGCCGGGGTATGAGAGCCAGAGGCGATGCTCGGGGGGCGCATGGCGTGACTGGCCTAGCTGCGCGCTCTTGCGCCGCATCCAGAAATCACTGCCACGCCCACCGACTATTTCTCCTAGCACGGACCCGATGATGATGCCAATATATTGCAGGCCGAGCTGCTGGGCATTGAAGCCGAACTTGGCAGCGAAGATCTGGGGGATCTCGACCGTCGTTAGGACGCTGGCGAAGTTGAAGACGATGGAGTAGGCGACGGCAGGGATCAGAATATTCGGGTAGGTAAAGAGAATAATGGGCGTAAGGAAGGAGCGGAGGCTCAGTGGTTCAGGGCCGATCTTCCCGAAGTTGAGGTATTTGCGCTGGAAATCAGATTTGGTACTAGGAGCCTGGACACGGTCGCGCACGTAGAGCGTTTCAGGGGAGAAGAAGAAATAGAGGATGAATTGAACCCCGTTGGTTATGGCGAGGATCCAATATATCCATGTCCAAGTGTGGGTATGGTAGGCTACGAAGCCCATAATGAAAGGACCTGTAGGAGGTCTGCAATTGTCAGCAGGAGCAAGACGTGATAACAGCAAGAAGAATTACCCAAGAGTAACCATCAATGTCCAAATCCCCATCTTCTGACCCCGCTCCTTCGCGAAGAACGTCTCCGTGACCACAGCACTACTAATAGCAATAGCCGGTGAAATAAAGAATGCGACCAATAATCTTGTCACCACCTGCGCACCATAGCTATGAGTCTTTGCGCAGCCTATGTTGCAAATCATTGAACCAAAAGTGGATATCAACCAGATCGGTCTACGACCATACCGATTAGAGAGGGGTTTCCAGAAGGCGGGAGACCAGCCCAACAACAGAATTTGAATGCTTGTAAAGTAGGACGCTTGTGTGAGGGATACGCCGAACTCAACGGACAGCTGTTCAAAGGCAGGAGTTACACCCGCAGCTGTAAAGGTTGTCATCATTGCGTGAAATGCGACGAGGAACAGGTTGACATTTTTCTACAGTGATCAGCTTTGCCAAATGGTCTGAAGGATGCACGACGTAATACCTTCCAAGATGGCCAATTGAGCGGATCTGCAGGATCCATGGATGGTAACGGGCTGAGATCAGTTGTCCCATGCCGCGATATCAAGTACTCCTTATGCTCGGGACTCAGGTGTTCAGCAGGGCCATCCTCCAGGTTGCTGGCATGCTTGAACGAAGCTGCCTCTTTTCCCACCTCCCCATTGCTTTCCACATGAACAGCTCCGTTTGGCGAGGTAGCTGGCGGTGCTGCCACATCCTCCCTGAACTGCTGCTCTGATATTACCTGCTTGTCATCCATGATCTCGGCGCTGGCTGACTTGGACTTAGAGATAGGAATGGAGAAAGAGCTCTCAGTAATATGGAATGGGACGCGGTGCTCTTAAGTGTGCGACGGTGCACAGGGGCGGGCTAGCACGCCGCACGCGCCGAAACATAGTGGAGCCCCATCTCTAGGCCCCATGGAGTCAAGACCCAGAACTTTCTAGTGCCCATGGGGTCTGTTGGACGTGTTGCGGGGCACAGCTCGAGGTAAATAACTAAATAAAACGACCTGCGTATGGAGTGAAGAGCCCCCATGCTGGCGCTTCCGGGATGGGCAGAATCTAGGGCGGTCAGAAGCGGCAGAATCCTGTTCTGCGGACACAGATATACCGACATCGTGAACCGAGACCGCGAGCTTCTAAACCTGAGGCGGGGTGAACCTCGGCTAGACGGTCTAGCAGCATGAAGAAGGTCAAGTCAGGATTATGGAGTAGCAGTAGCCTACAACGCGGAGAAGTGTTACTTGCTGGCAGCTTTGCTCCACCGAAGGGAATATGCGGACCACTGAGGGCGGGGGACGACCGGCTTGATAGTGGATACACCCCAGGAAAGGAAACCTTGGGCCGGGGAACAGGCCCACAATATCTATCAAGCATTGGTCAAGTGGTTTGAATCACTTGAACATCGATTCGACAGTGACATCCAGGCTTGAGATCGAGCATCTCTATGGCGTTACGCTAACGGCGAGATCCTTTTGCTTGTTCTGTGGCATCTTTAGCCTACCAAGCCTTCAACAGGGTTTTCAAGCCAAGGGGGTTTCTCCGATGGGTTTTCCCCATCCCTGCCCTCTCTCTGTACCCCAGACGCCCATAAACATACCAAATTTTTTTTTCTTCTTTGCGTTATAGATGTACTACTAGCTTTCAATCCTCACCCTCTTCCTCCTCGGATTCCCCATATCTTAAATCCATCGAAAATTGCGCATTTCCAATTGCGAGGTACAATCTGGGTCGCTTGAGTCTTGAGGAAATCCAGGAGTTGGTTTCGCCCAAGGTTGTGAAATTTGCTGATGGTTCAGCATCCCAACTTTGCCAGCGTTGACAGCTGTAAAGAAGGCATAGCCTCACTCCATAGCCCGTCAAAAGGCATCGCCTGAAGTTTGAACACCGCCTAGCTCATCGAGATATTTTGGGCTTCAATTGGAGAGGGTTAATGATATCGAGCCGATGTTCCGTTGGTAAGTCTAGCCGTAAGGTGGCGCTGGCTGGAATCGTCGGCACGGCTGATGATGTTGCTGGATCAAAAGCGGTGTTTAGCAAGGGCGCAAACGCTTGTTGTGTTGGTAAGATTATTCGTTGTTGAGCGTGGCGCTTGAAGAATGCAAAGAGGAGCAAGACCTTTTGCGATGAGTGGGTTTGCTGGGCCATTGGAGATAGAAGGTCAATGATCGGATTTTCGACAATGGGGTTTGTCCAAGAACAGCATTTTTTCCTTGACAACACCAGGGAGAGTGGTCATGCCAGGATGTTCAGCCGTGTCTTGGCGGATAAGAACATTGCTATGGGTGTAGCTGCGCAACTAGTGCCTATCCAAAGTCCCTGTCCGGTCTGTAGCGGCTTCAACAACTTTCAGTTCCCACTGGCGAAGTCCAAGTCCCCCAACTTGCTTTCTCTCGAAGGTCGTCAAGGTAGCCATGCCGAAGCATAACAAAGAATGAAGTAAGTGCGTCAGAAGAGGTGTGAAAGAATGCAAACACGAGAAAGACAGAACGAAGGATCAACCGCAGATACATGTGAGAGGAAACTTGCGCAAAGACTGATGCAGGAAACGATGGACTTGAGTGAAAATGCACATAACAAAAACACTTTTCAATTTATAGTTCTTGAGTTTAGTGAAGTGAACACGAAAGTCGAAGAAGGTATCAGAAAGTCCTCTAGATTAGATCCTCGCTCATGATTAGTGTTCTCCATGAACGTTGTCGATTCATGGTCCTCAGGAGCTGTGTTGATCAGAGGGAAGCGAGGATTGCTGGCTGGTGATAGAAATTTCTAGGACGACACCGTATTGAATTTCCAGGTGTTTGCCTTTACCTTTATCTTTATCCTTTTCTTCTTCCCCGTTCTTTTCATCTTGCAGGATAGAATAATCGTCGTGACTGATGAGGAGATACAGTACAAGTGATCCGGCCTTGAGCGCTTTTACCCGAGGTAAGAACTCTAGAGTTAGCTTAGTAATATTGCCTTATATATCAGGTGTTTACGAGCGGTTAGCATTGCCCAATCCGGATTGTTTCTCCCATCGTGGTCGACGACAACTCGACAAATACGTACGCTGTATACAGGTGTGGGTAATGAATTGATGATTGCCACAATGTAATCCTCTGTATATACTGTACCTAGGTAGGTAGGTACATGCCTGCTGCGTGACCATTTTGACGATCGAGGGCTGTGATACGCACGTGATATAAAAACCAGTCTCTGGCCTGTAGCCAATTAGGAGGCCTTATGGGCACCAATGTCCCCCTATATCCCCTTTGTATGGACCTACATCTGACTACTATATCTATTATTATGCATAATCACACCTCTTTATACACGTCTCGATGCAATTAGAACCCCCCACACCATGCAGATTCCATCCAACTCACGCGGACCTTCATTCCTCGCAAAGCTATCTTCTATGCTACTCCTCCCCTAGATGGCATTGCTCGCTGGTACACAGTCAGCTAGTGAGCCCACCCCTTCCCACACCTACGCTATCTTATTTATGGGACAAGAATGACGGAAGATTTTGTGCCAGTCCTGCCCCGTAAGTGGAGGGGAACAGGCTAACCTCATCAGGTGGCCATTGTCAGAAGTCACTCGGTTTGACATAAGAGGCCTTAGGATAGAGCAAGATGGATCCTTAAATCGATGAGGCTGCTCACCTCTTGAACCGGTCAGCAATTGCGATGGTGGTGGTCATGAAAGGTCTCATACCGGCACCCAAGGGGCGAATTCGAAACCCCGTTGGGCACAAGTATCTCGAAGTCTTGCAGCAGACAAAAGGCTATGGCGGCTCCCAATCGTCGAGTTCCCCGTCTCCTCCGCCGCAGCAGCCGGGCCTGGATCTGTTAATACTGGGCATCACATCGGGGACGGCAATGGACGATATAGACTTCGCTTTGTGTCGGTTCACACAGGCATCCCCCGAGGCCTCCTTGTATCTCGACATCATCCAGGTATTATCCTTCACTTCCTTGGTAAGAAACAGGGCGCTCATGTTCTACAGTATGATTCCGTGGTCATGCCTTCCAAAATACGAACCGACATCCTCTCCATGCTACGAGAAGATGCCGCCCCGCCAAGTATGATGTCCCAGATGGATGCAGAAATGGGCCATACCTTTGCGAACGCCATCCACATATTCGCACATAAGCACGGGATTGCGGTGGACGATATAGATCTAATAGGTTCTGGCGGACAACTGGTCACATTGACGGGCAAGCCCCCGAGGGGACAGCACCGATCGAATATGTGCTTAGGGGAGGGGGCCGTGATATCCGCGAAGACGGGTGTCACTACGGTCTCGGATTATCGAACGGCAGAACAGGCAGTTGGAAGGCAAGGAGCACCACTATTTGCATATCTGGTGGGGTTGCTCCTACATCATCCTACACGGCTTCAAATCTGCATAACAATCGGCGGCATCACAACAGTATGTTTCATCCCGGCGGATAATCAGGGGGGGATCGATGCTATGTACGATTGGGACACAGGGCCCGGAACCAGTATTATTGATTCAGCATTCCGGCACTTTGGATATGATCCAGCAACCGACCAAGGCTCCTCGTTACTACACGGAGAGATATGCCACGAAGTCGTCCACGAGCTCCTCACAAACGATGATTACTTGCGGGCGAGGCCACCCAAGACAACGGCACGAGAGATCTATGGAGATGCGATGGCCCAGAGGATCATCACGATGTGCGCCTTCCGAGGCTGCACCCCCGCCGATACGATCGCGACCATGACACGCTTCACGTCGGCGAGTATCGCGCAGCAGATGCTGATGTACGGACCCGGCCGCGAGGCCATCAACAACGCCGACATCGTGCTCGACGGGCGCGGCATGTCCAACCCGCAACTCATAGCTGACCTGCAAGATACCTTTCCCGGAGCGAGATTCGGCTCCTTTGACAAGACGGGCGTGCCGTCAAACGCGAAGAAGGCGGTGGGCTTTGCCATGCAAGCTATGGAGGCGCTGCTGGGCAGAGCGTTGCCCGTCCCTACGAATGCGGACGTACGGAGGCCGAACACCATCACCGGAAAACTGGCGCCGGGAGTGAGATGGCGAGAGGTGATCGAGAAGAGCGTCTCGTTTGGTGGGGCGGGGAGGGGTTGGGAGGGCCTACCGGAAGTGAGAGAGTTGATTGTCAAGCAGAAGGGGTAGAAGGTCTGTCTACGCATGGGCAGGTGCTGGTTTCACGTCTCCGGATATTCCGTTGGAGTACAGGAGCTCGAGTCTTTGGCATACCCCTTACTCCGCTGATGTCCCACGGAGACAAAGACAACCGGTTCAACCGCGCGTCTCTGGAGACGACGTCTCTCCCCAGCGGAAGATGAGGAAGTAGATGCGAGCACCAATCGAATCAAGTGACCGAGCGAGCACACGAAAGCATTCCAAGAATCGAAATCCATGGACAAGGTATTCAAGAGGGGAAGGGATCAGCAAACAGCAGGTAGCACTAGACTCGTTCCCCGAGAGCGCGGCTCTTCCGAGGTAGATAGTGTGTAACTACATGGTCGAGGAAGGTATCTATCTGCAAGGACCTTCTATATGGAGGAGAGAGAGGTATCCAGAGATTGGCAATTGTAGCTACCTTATGGTACGAAGACTTGTAGTAGTTGGTAATACAAGAAGAAGAATCACTACTAGCACCTACCCATATCATTCATATCCAAGATCGCTCATCTTCAGTGTCCGGAGAGCTCCGCTAAATAGAGTCGTCGGTCAATAGCCCATCCATAATAGGGACGGAACCCAACGACCGGCACCAAACGCACGCACTCCAGACGGAACCTACCTAGTACCTTACCTATAGTACCGTACATTGTACAGTAGTAGCTACAGTAGTATACCTAAGGTACCCTAAAAAGTAGCGTTTTCGCGAAGTGGGTTCTCTCTTCCTCATCATCATTGAATCCCGACGATCCTATATATTACCTGGGACCTGTATATTACACTGTCGTAGGATATATGTCACATATCATATCATGAGTAGGGGAAAAACCACATGGTTTTGCGGTCCGAGCGGGTGTCTGAGCCTTATATTAATTAACGAGATTGACTAGGTAAGGTAAGGTAAGGTAAGGTAAGGTAAGGTATTCTCTTGGGTCTTGATGAGTCTTGACTAGGTAAGGTAGGGAGATAGGTAAGGTAATGATGATGATGATGAGTGACCGGCGTACAGATACTAAGGACGATGGTATGCAGGGAAAAGACCCTATGTAGATCAGGATTGTTTGTTTGTCTCAAAAAGAAAGAAAGAAAGATAGAGAGATCGAAGGAAATGGGATGGGAGATAGGTAGATCAGTGAATGAATGAATGAATGGATGGTTGATGAACGGGCCTATAGGGGACATACTGTACCGTGGTTCTTATGCCTGTCAATCCTCCCTCCTATCCATCCATCCATCCATCCCAAGTACACACTACCACCATACATACATAACAACTGTACCCCAAAGTAAGTAAACGCAACGGTCTCCGGCGCAGACCAAACAACCTCCGGTATTCAGTCTATCTCTTAGTCAAAGCCTCGACAGTTCCCCGGCTTATCAAGTGGAGTCCACAAGGCTTGCGCTATCATTCGGTAGGCGAGGCGCTAGAGAGCACTCACTTGCCGCATCGCGTTAGAGAAGACGTTGGATGAGGACAGGTAGTGTTGATTGGTTGGAGAGCACGAGGGGAGTGGGGAGAGTGGGGGAGATTGGGACTAGGGGCTTAGGGGAGTGGGACGAAGGGTGGGGCGAGTACCGTGTAGGTGCGGTTTACTAGGTGGGTGGGAGTGGGAGGAGGGATTATTGGGCGTGGATTGAGAATAGAGAGCAGAAGTGGGGAGAGAGGAGGTTGATATAGAGTTACATAGAGAGGGCTTGGAGGATAGGAATATATCGATACTAGATGGAAGGAATGGGTCATTGTCCACTGTATATGTCTATATGTCATACTCCCAGTACAATCCCACGTCTCCCTCCTTATCTACTCCCATTAACCGACACCCATCCTCGCGTCATCTCCCGGCCCGAGGGGACAGGGAGACGGCACAGAGCGGCCAGCCCCGCGAGGCCTGGAGATCGGAGACTGATAGTGAGCGCATTTGACTACAATATCCATAATATCCATGTCCAGCCCTGAGAGATATAACCCTATGGCAACCGGCTGCACTTGGATGCCAAATATTGCTGCCAAATACTTACACCTGCATCAAATAATACCTTGGCGCCTGCCGAACCAAATATTTGCATCTATCGATCCCTCGTTCTCGTCCCACGGCATCTCTCTCCCGTTCATCAGTGCGCAGAGATCGCCAGCTGTTGAATTATATGCCCTCCACTGATCGCCATTCAACCTCACCCTCGAGAGATGAAATCATGAAAGATGGAAAAAAGCAATTCCCCTGATCCCTGTCCACTATTGCTTTCGGATCGCTCCCCTCCCCGCATCATCCCTACCGTAGCACCCAGCCTACAATAACCGTCCGTTCTGGAAGGCAATACTTTGGGACCCTGACCCTATCGCTTTTCTGCACGCCACATCCGCCGCACTCTCTCTTGCGTGTTCTGTCCCCTTTCTTCACCACCGCAAGGGGCGAGAGTTGAGCTGATCGTTGTGGCCGGCGTCCCTTGCGCGGACGAATAGTGAATAGCGAATCGCGTGCCGCTACTTCTGGAGAGAGAGGCACGATAACAACCTCCACACAGCCTCGTCAAGATCCGCTCTGACCTCCCGACACAACAACCACACATTCTTTTTGAACCCCGTCTGCCTTCGATTTTCCCTTCGTTCTCTGGTGAGCCTGCTCATCGATCTTTACGCAACCCTGCGCTGTTTCGTCTCTTGTCCCTCTCTACTCTGTTCCACACGCCGTACCGCAATCAACCACCCCACTACAGCCTCCTCTGCCGCGATTTGACAGCTCCCGGCTCTCCCGCACAATTCCACAGCTCTCCAAGCACAATACATGGGCGAGGCCTGACTTTGACACAACATGTCTGGCCGGAGCGCGTACGTGCGCAAAGAGAAGACAAAGGTCAAAGATGGAGTCCCGGCCGTCAACGATCATGGCTCAGATCATCCCCCTCGCATGATGGGGGACTTCCCTCATCCTCGCAGCCCTCTTCCTCACAGTCCTCTTCACAGCCCTCTTTCTCACAGCCCGTCCATGTACTTCCAGCGAGAGATCTCTAGATCTAATCTCGACAGTCAGACGTTCAAATCATCCTCGTCTTCAGATGATATGGCATATGCGCGCGTCCGCAAGCCACAAGTCCCGGTCCTTGATATCTCGGGCATTGAGAAGTCTTCGTTCAGATCGCTGATGGACAAGAAGAGCGAGGGCGTCCGAAAGGGCCTGGCTAAGACCTTTGGCAAGAAGAAGAAGGAGCCCGAGACACGCTCCTCTACCGCAGCATCAACCCACGAACAGTACGAGACGGAGCCGGCCTACTACGCTCCCCATCCTGCTCCCCACCCTCCTGTGGTCAAGCCTATTCAAACGCAGTATGCTCACTATCCCGAGCAACCAGATTACATGCGTCCAGGTCCACCTCTGGGCAAGCTTCCTCCGATTCCCCAGGGTCCGCAATTGAAGCGTTGGCTAGGAGGTGGCCGACCTGCACAGCCGTGGAACAAGCTTAGGAAGGATCCCGAGTTGTGGGACGCCAACGGTGATACCCTGATCTACTTCAGTCACGGCGACCCTCACTCCCCTCGGCCCCTCCCATCTTTCCGAATTTCATCACATGTCCTTGAGGCCACCGAATCCAGATACTTCATCAATGCGCTCCGCGAGGGCTCTACTGAAGACACCAATAGCTCCATCCTCCCCCCATCTCCCCTCAGTGATCCGAGTATGCGGCTGTCACACCCTATGGCCACAAGCAGATACAACCACGGGCATCACACACCTCCTATGTCCGAGAACAGCACGGTTTTCGATGGACAGATCTCGTACGAACTCTACTTCCCACCCCCCGCGCATTTGAGCAAAACCGATGCAATCCGGCACCAAATCGCCACTAGAAATGTGCTTGCTATTCTCTACCAGGTTTCCTTTGTCGGCATCAATCTCTTCCAAGCACTGAATGATGTGCATGAGCGACTGGAGAGTTACATGCCACCCGAAACAGATGTAGCTGCGATGATCATCGATTACGTCGTCGGCAAGGGGATGGACGACGTTCGTGAGAGCCCGGCCATAGCTGCTTCCATGCTTGCGTGGAGTGAAGGGGAGGCTATACGTTGGGAGGGAGGATGGAGAGAGGCTTTCGTCCACAGCGTTGGCATGTACAGCAAGGTCGAATCGGCCCCGGATTTCCGCTTCGTTACACCCATTACCAGAGCGCTCCTGGAGAGGGCGAGTCTTGAATTAGAAGTTCGAATTCAGAACTGCGAGGCTCGTCTTGTAGACTTTGACTTCGGAGACATGTGGCCCATGATGCCAGTCACCCCATCGGATGCACGCAAGAGCTTTGAGAATCTTCGAAAGTTTTTCCTGCAATACTACCAGAACATAGCCGGCTCTTGGCCACCGCCAGCCCCTGCCGGAGAGGAGCAATGGCTCACACGGGAGTGGACTCGAAAGTTGCAAGAGGACTTTGGCGCGTTGTACAACTTCTTTGTCAATCGAGAGGTCCGATGGGAGTCTACTGAGGCGAGCGCTGGTCGGAAGTGGAACATTGTCCACGATGGAAATCGATCATTCGATGCCGACACCCCCGGCCTTCCATTTACGGATATCCTTGTTGGTTTCGACAACCGAAACAAATACCCGCATATCCCTCACCCGTACCCCCTCGTTCCCGAATCGATGCCGGTTCAGCATTCGAGGGAGAGCCTGTTCAAAGGCAGCAAGAAGGCAGCCAAGCCGATTGATGACAAGATGGCGGAGAGACGCGCAGCTCTGGCTTACACAGAATCGACCAATATATATCTCCTAGGGTCTGATTTCGTCCCCAATGATCTGGTTGACCAATTTGTTAAGTTCGAGAAGACGGACAAGGCAGCAGAGTCTGATCCGTTTGAAGCTCGACGCGGCCGATGGATTCTGATCTACGGGATCCTTCAGACACTTGCCACCATCTCGGTTGATACTCCGGATCTGCGCTACACCAAGGAGGTCTCCTATCACCTCAACCCTCGCCTTAAAGGGACCCCCCCGTGGCTGGGTGCCACGTCGAATCTGGGAGAGGCTAGCCACACTAGCAGCTATTGCTGGACCATTCCCACAACCTGGTCCAAAGGCAGTTCTCCGGCAGGTGGGTTTGATGGTGCTTTTGACGACGAGCGCCGATCTGCACACAGTACCTTTGGGTCAACTCGCCGAAGCAAACCAGCATCCACGCGTATGTCGATAAATTCGGGTGCTCCTTCGTTCTCTGGTAGTGAAGAGACCGGAGGGGTCCGGGTGGCTCAGGGAACCCACTTCAATTCCCGCAGCAGCGCGACGAGACGCAGTAGTCACCGATGGGGACGGGAGGGCGACCGAACCAGCGACCGCCTCAGTGACCGCATCAGTGACCGCATCAGCGACAGAATCAGTGACCGAAACAGTGACCATATGAGCTCCACCGGCTACGCGCCCGGCATCGTGAAGGTCGAGGAGTGGCCAATGCGGGAGGACAGTCCAACCAGGGCCACGTTTTATGATCCCAGACTCCGTTGATTGACGGCTTTTGGGACAGGTAGATGATGCATAGATGGAGGGGGGAAGTGTTTGAATACTGTGTGGATGTTAGCCGACTGCTTTTCAGCCTTTCACTTTTCTTTTTCTTCTTCTTTCCTATTTCTTCCCTCTTCCTTTTTCTTCAAAAAATACCCAGGGGCTTGCGTTTTTGTTTCTTTCGTGGACATGCCACACCCGAGTTGCGCTGGCATGTGCCGGCACTTTACGTTTTCATCCTGGATGATGACAGTGGTTACGATGATGATTGCGACGAGGATATGCGGTCCCAAGCAATATGCTGGACCTGAGCACTTCTTTTCATTTCTCGGGGGATAGAGGCGCGCGTGTTGAAAAGGTCGGCCTTTGTTTGAGGTGTTGGTGATGCGGGGTAGGATAGAGGATCCCAAAATAGGCGCACAGCATGGCGGCACGTCCGTTTGTTATATCAGAGGCTTTCCGGTCTTCGTATGGAGAGGCCGGATTCGATAAGTGAATGGGATGTTGTAATATTATCACATGAATAATCCGTTCTCTTCGATTTCAATACCTGTTCATCGTACCTAATCGTTGCTCCCTTTGGCCTTGGAAGCGTACCTTGGCTTACCTAAGGCTCGGGGTTCGGAACGGGTCGCTCCGAGGGGCCGCCATATCACATGACTGACCAAGCCATCCCCATGGGGTCCTTGATTCTTCAACAACACCACGATATTGATTTGCTCTCCTATCTCTGATATATAACCTCATATATGATCCCAATTTTTTTTTTCTTCTGCCCACAGACCTGCCTCATGACTCGCGAACAGGTACGTCCAAGCCATAGGCAGAATAGCCGCGCCCAGCCCCCCTCCTTTTCGCTCTCCAAAGGCCCTTGGTGCATCCAGCCCCTCCATTTCTGCACAACAACGACCAACGGGCCAGCCATGGCAAACAAGAATCATAAAGAGGAGGCCATGCTGCATCTCCAACAGGTCCCTGCTGTTCCCGCAAGACAAGTATCATTCGTCCGTTTGCCCATCAGCCAGCCACCGCTCTGTCTTCGTTTTCTTATCTCGTAGATCTTTCTGCCCTCTCTCTTTTCTCTCTGCTCACTGCTCTCCCTCTCCGCGTCTCTCACCCAGCACTTAAGTGAGCTTCTTTGGGAGGAAGAAGATCCTCATCGGCGTCATTGGCGATATTGATAGCCTCGAGTCCTCGAGTCCTGTGCGAGGCTCCTCGCCGATCGGGAACAATTCCCGGCGCAGGCACGCAAACAATCAGAGCATCGGTCGCACAGAGCAGGGATACGACTCGAGTGCATTATCAGCCATCTGATATAACAATATTCAAGTCGTGCGTTGCTGGCGCATCGACATCTAACTCGGCATCGACGGTGAGAGCTTCGTCGCTCACTCGCCTTGCGCCCAAGTTCTCTGCGTCGCATATAAGCCCTCGAGTATTGCACTACTACAGCGCTCGTCGCACAACACTTCTTCTTTATCTCCTGAAGACATTACGATCACACACCCATCAAGATGCTCTTCGGAATCTTCTTCGCCTTCTGGCGCTTCCTCGAGATCATCACTCTGGTACATACCATCTCCCCTCACCAAATCCCCAATCTCAACTAACCTCCCTCTCACAGATCCCGACTCTCAGCATGCTCGCCTGGTTTGTCCACATCTACTCCTCCCACAATTCCTTGACACCCGACTACATCCTCGTCCTCTTCATCGTCTCTGTCCTCGCCGCCGCCTGGGCCATCTTCACGCTCTTCTCCTACCACCGCTCGAAATCAAACGCGCTCTTTGTCTCCTTCATCGACCTGTGCTTCGTCGGTGCCCTCATTGCCAGCGCCTACGAGCTGCGTTTCGTCTCGCACCAGAGCTGCGTCAACATCGACTCCACGGGGCCCTACGCCATCACCTTCGGCGACTTTAGCGCCACCGTCACGGGCATCACCGTCAGCGCCAGCAAGACATGCACGATGTTGAAAGCCTCCTTCGCCTTCGCCATCATGAACTGCATCTTCTTCTTCTTCACCAGCTTCTTAGCCATGCTAGTTGGTCGCCGCCGCGTCGATCGCGACGAGAAGGTCGTCGTGACGGAGACGCACCGCTCGAGGCACAGCCAGAGGAGGAGCGGCAGCCATCGCAGCCACCGGAGCGGTCACTCGAGGAGGAGCCACGCCTACGTCTAACCCTCGATTTTCTGTTCTCTATCTTATCTATTTCGGAGCTTGGGTGCTTTTCACAAATTAAACTGAGAAACGAACGCGGAAGGGAAACGGAGCGATTGGATGGTTATATAACGCGAAAAAAGGAAGAATAATGAGTCGGATATATCACGATACCGGCGTTACGGCCACGGCGGAGGGGAAACCTGGGTTTATACCTCGGATGATGGCGTTTTACATATTTTATTTCGTTTCGATTTATTTCGTGGAAATCCCTTCTTTCTCTCTACGTACACAGTACAGAATAGTAAAGTAAAGTAAATTCCCCATACCTATTTTCAGACCACATTGAAAAAAAATGAGAGAATCAGAAACGCAATAATCCTTTGATAGCAAAAAAAAAAGAAAGCTCTCTCCTAACATCACGAAAAGAGCACGCCAGTTCTGTTACTCGTATGCTGACTTAAATGATTCGCTAAGAAACAAAAAGGGGGGACGCCCCCCCTCCTCGCTAAATCATAATCGGCATCCCCCTTTTATTTTGGGGTAAAGAAAAAAACGAAAAAGGGGGTTTGGTAGCTACTTGGCTATATTATAAGTGGAATGAAGATGTACTACTAAGAAGCATTGCGAAACACTATCAAAGCTCAACGATTTTCTTTCTACGCAAAATTCTTTTTCGTATTTGTTCTTTCCCCTGTCCGGGATTGAGATTTGTTATTTACCTATCTATTCTACCTACAGATCGGCCCTCGCCGGCTCGCCCGCCCACGCCCTCCTTAACAATTCCCTCAAGGGCTCCTTCTCAACGGCTCTCGGGTTCCAGTACGGGTTACTAACCGCGATCTCGGCCGCCTTGTCGACGTCCTCCTCCTTGAAGCCGAAATCCTTCAGGCCGCGCTTGACCTGCAGGCGCTCCAGCAGGATATTCAGGCCCTTGATAGCGTCGCCGTCGCTGCCGGGCAGCACGGCGGCCAGCTTGGCCATCACTTCGGGGATCTGGGGCGCGTTGTAGGCTAGGGCGTGCGGGAGGATGATGGTGTGGGTTTCGGCGTGCGGCATGTTGAAGGAGCCGCCGAGGGTGTGGCAGAGCTTGTGGTGCAGAGACATGCCGACGGCGCCGAGACAGGTGCCGCAGAGCCAGGCGCCGTAGAGGGCTTTCTGGCGCGCGGGCACAGAGGAGGGGGACGCGACGATGTCGGGGAGGGAGGAGGCGAGGGCTTGGGTGCCTTCGAGTGCGAGGAGGGAGATGATCGGGTTGGTGTTGCGGGCGTAGAGAGCTTCGACTGTTGGGCCATGGTTAGTAAAGGGTGTGCGGGGGGTTTTCAGGGGAGCGGGGTGCTTATTTACCAGCGTGTGCGATGGCGTTGACACCGCTGGTGGCACTCATGCTGGCGGGGAGGGTCATGGTCAGATCAACATCGTAGATGACGGTGCCGGGCAGGATCTTGGGATCGCTCCTCGTCGTCTTCTTCCCGTCCTGCGTCTCCCCGAGAATGGGCGTCATTTCTGACCCCGCGTATGTCGTGGGGATGCAGATGTGTGGCAGACCCGTGCGAATGCTTATCGCCTTTCCGAGCCCGATGGTTGACCCGCCACCTATCGAGATGACCGCATCCGCCTTGACTGATTTCGCATATTCAAGGGCCTTTTCGGTGATGTGCGAGGGCGTGTGCATGGTCGCCTCGGTGAAGATACCCGCGACTTTGCCATCGAGGAGGGTTTTGAGGTGTGTTGCTTGGTCGACCTGCTGCGGGGTGGAGAGAAGGAGGGGCGCTGAGACGTTCAATCGAGCTACTTCCGCTGACAGCTTAGAGAGAGTGCCGCTGCCGAAGATGACGCGGGCGGGCGCTGCGTTATACTCGAATGCTTCCATGGTGCTCTGTATGCTTTTTGGATTTCTGCAGTTGAGGTTAATTGAGGGAGAGGGGCTTTGTAGCAAGGTTATTAGTGAAGTTGGGTGGGTTGGTGGGCTGTCTTCCTGACGTCGAAATTTCGTTCCTCCCCGTTCTCGGGTAATGGCCCCGGCATCTTTGCGCTGCAGCCTCGCGATGGACAAGTCTTCACCCGCGATGGTGCTGCTCGAGCAAAAAAAGTCCTTTTTGCCGCGGTAGAACAGGTTCACTCAAGAAGAGAGGAGACAGGTGTAGTATCATCTCCCAATGTCTGATTCCATACTGCATGCACTGGTTGTTTGGATTCATTAGTACCTAGACAGTATGACCGTGGCATTGACGCAGCCTTGTCCACGAGGCTGAAGATTTCCGGGTGGATCTCTCGGGGAGGAAGAACTGAACTCTCCTGGCTTGTTCAACAGCCGCAGAATTTCAGGGTAACTCGACATCGTCACCCTCACTTATACCTTGTACCAGTGTCTCAAAGAGGATAATGCAAATAATTCGGCTCTTGCTTTGGAAGTAGACAGAACGAGGGGGGTGACTGAGGAGTGGCATTAGTGATAGGAAGTCAGGTTTCAAGGCAAAACGAACCCATGAAGCAATGCTTCGACAATAACTTTTATTCCCCTCAGCCATACTCCACAGGTATCATTCCATGCCCTCGAATCCCAAAATCCCATTCCCACCGTGCTTGTCTTTGCCTTTCGACTTCTTCCGTCTCTTCTGTCGCTTTCGGCTTTCCTCCTCATCGCTGCTATCGTCGGCATCACTATCATCACTGTCCCCTCCCAGAGCCCTCTTCCCTGCACCAGTCTCCTCGTCCGAATCTTCGTCCTCGTCAACCAGATCCATCTTCTCCTGCCAGACCTTCACGGTGCTTCCACCTCCACTAATCAACCTCCCTTCAACATCAAACCCGAGTGCAACTACAGCCTCCACCTCGTCATGCCTCAGCGGCTCTCCCACAACTTTGTTTAGACCCAAACGCACTATCCTAACAGTTCCATCCCCAACGCCAACCACGACATTCTTGTAACCATCGCCCACCCCCTCGGGCATCAGCACCAACGAATCTAAACTCTCTCCACCGCCTCGGCCAGTATCAACATATATCCTCTCATCCTGATCGTCCCAGACGCCACGTTCCCAGAGCGTCAGAACGCCGTTTCCACTCCCTACCAACACCTTCTGGCCCCTACTCCTTCCAGGTCTACTAGGTAACCCTCCAACAAATACACTGCTCAGCAGCTCCTCCTCTTGATCTTCACTCTTGACCAAGACCCCTCTCCTGAGATCCGTGACAGCTAATGTAGTCCCCCCCGTCGTAACCCATTGTTTGCTAAACCCGCTCGTGCTCTGCTCCGTAGGCGGTAGCGGCGTGAGAGAAGAGATGTAGTCTTCATGCGGGTGGTGCGTCTGACTCGGCTTGCCCGACGTGAACGAGGAAGGCGTGCGCAGATCGTAGAGATGAAGCGCCGAGGAATCGGTCGCGAGCAGGAGCGTCTGCGGAGAGAGGGGATGCAGGACCGTCGGGGCGTCAGCTCCAGAAGTCGATGGGTCGAAAGGGATCAGGATTTTCGAAACCACCTGCCCGGTGTTGGAAGAGGCGACTTTGAGCAGGCTGTCGGTGCCCGCTGAGTACAGGACTGCGCGCAGTTAGCATTCATGCAGCGAGCTCTGCAGATTATCAAAATTATTGGATTCGACCTACATTCCCCATCACCGCTATATGCGAGTGTGCGGCAGCTGCCTTTATGCCTCCGTGTACGCCACTCGGTCTCTATCGTGCTGGTGCCGGTGGAGAGTACGCTCGTGTCGCCATCCTCCTCCTCGTCGGCGTTGCCAGCTACGGGAGGAAGACGGAATGATTGTACATGCCCGCCTGATAACCCGACTGCGAGGATGGGCTCCGTAGGGTGGAGAGATTGAGCGAAGAGCTCAGAGGAGAGCGGGAGAGTACAGAGGTTCTCGAACATCTCTGCTGTCACTGCCTTGCTCAATGGCTGGAAATCGTCTATTGACTATGCTGATTTGAAGCCTGGAGAAATTTTTGGCGAGGCAGCGAAGATGTTCCAGCCTCGTCTCCCACCCCGTCGCCCTTTCACAATTTACATCACACCACCTCAATTACAGAATGTTGGATTTGCTGGCGATTTGAATGCCTTAACTGAAGCTTGCATGAATTATTAGCTTCTCAGTACCCATGAATGATGATATTTCAGTCCTACGAAATTACGGCTACGAAAATTAAACGTTACTCGAAATCAAAATTGCAACTCCAAAGGCGAAAGAAAACAATTCCCAACAGTTCAAGGAAACATCGCCCTATTTCTTCGTTGCATTTTTTCTTGAGCTTTTTGGGGCCGAAGATTGCAATTCTTCCTTCTCTGTCTTCATAGCCTTTTTACGCTCCGGCCTTCCTGCCTTCAACGCAGCAGAGTCAGAAATGTCAGACTCATCCGAAGACATTGCATGAGATGGTCCCGCCTTCCCGTCGTTCTTCTTCTGCTTCTTAGTCGAGTTAGGAGATACTTTCGTTGTCTTATTGGCAGGTTCTGGACGCCATTCTTTGTCCCCCTCATCTACCAGCTTGCGCTTCTTAGTCACAGTTCCTTTTCCCGTTGCTCTGTGCTCATCCGTCACGCTCACAGTGGCAGAGGGTTTTGATGGCTTGGCTCCTCCATAGTTGGAATGGGTCTCGAAATGGGCGAACATTTCTTCTCTGGTCATAGCCCCGATTTCCTGCTGACATCCATCGATGGGACATTTGCCAAAGACTTTCTGATCCGGGGACGCTGCCTGCGAGTCCTTCAATGCTCGACGCTCAGCTCTGAATTCTTCCCATGCTTCATTCAACCGCTCGTGTTTATTATCCAGATTCAGGGCTTCTTTTTGGGTCCATTCTTTCTGTTTTTGGAGTTTAAATTCCTTAGACTCTAGAAGTTTCTCCCGCTTCTTCAAAGCTATTTAGATTGCCATTAGCTCAATATGCCCCTATACAGCTCATATACGTGCAGCAGTGGATAAGGTTTTGAAGAATAGAAGAGCCCATTTCCTGGCACTCTTTCTCGAATGCATTTCAAAAATAGAAGATTGACATACCTGCGGATCTGTCGTCGTATCCTATTGATATTGCTGGCTCGTCGAGGTGACAGGTCTCTCCATGACGAAACTTTCCGGTTTCGTCCAGCCCCGTGAGGTTCGTCCCACATCTGGCACAAAATCTCTTTCTATGACCCCTTGGTGCTCTGCAGCGAGAGTCGTGGCCCGCCAAGTCCCGATTATTGAGGATGCTGATATCTAACCCGCATTTAGTACAGAATCTTTCAAAGTTCGCCCTTGGGATGTTCAGGCAGTCCCTCTCATGCAATAACAGCTCTGCCTCGGTCTGAGTTGAAGTATCCTTACCACAAAACTCGCAAAAAGTAGGCAGCGGGTCACCTTCCTTCCAGTCCGGCGCTTCGCGGCAAGTCTTTCGGTGATGTATCAACTCTCCTTCGGTGCAAGCTGCCTCATGAAGTCCACACTTATCGCAGTACTGAACTACGTTTGGATTATGCTTCAAACAATGCTTGATGATGACCTCTGGAGTCATCCCTGTGAAATCGATATCGCACGCTGGGCATTGAATCTGCTTCCAAAATTTACGAATCTGGTCGGTTTGTTCCATAGACATATGTTGTTGGAAGTGGTGTTGTTTTTGATCTCTAGTCATAAAGGCCCAGTTCGTATTTTCACACCATGGGCATTGACCAGCTTCTTCCATCTGCTTGATGTGTTCCTCGCCGTGTTCCCGAATCTTGTCATTGTCGTGATGATTGAGCGCCACATCACAAATAGGGCAAGACCACATCCGATCCAACACCTTGTTTCGCAGGTTTTGGTTCTCCTCGAGTAATTGATCAATGTCGGTGGGGGTAAGGCGCTGCGCATAAACCGTCGGGAGGGAGGGGCCAACTTTGATCTGAAGCTCACGGCTTGGCCCGTATATAGGTGCAGCTGGTTGTTTTCCTGGGATAATAACTGACTGATCTTTGATATAGGATTGTCGTTGCAATCCATTCAGATAGCTTTCATTGGCCATCCAGGATGCCCATTTTTGAACCTTGGCCTTTCCCGCCGTGGGTTTCAAGATCCTTGGTTTATTGAACTCGGGGATCTTAGGAGGATTATTACTACCAGCGTGGGAGGATCCTGTCGGTAAGGCTGCTGATCCGGAATCTTGTAATCGTGTTCGGTGTTGTATTGGCCTTTGTTGAGACGTTGATAGGAGACCCCACTCATCGGCCTCATCAAGTGCTACGATATAAGTCAGTAACCAATAATGTAAGATATGTTTTGTTACCTACTGTAATCAGTCTTGATATTCCTCTTCACTGCAAGGCGGCTTCCATGGAACCAATCATACACATAAAGTCGCCATTCCTTCTCTGTCGTTTTTTGTGTGACAATGTACTTGGACTTTCCGCGATTTCCTGACTGGAGTTCTACGAGGGAGAATGAAGTGTAGGACGCGGGATCATTCCAAAGATTTTTGAGAGCTTCTCTGAAACTCTTCAAGGATGGATCTGCCCGAGCATCCCACCGGGTGGTACGGTTTGCGACTTCTATATCGACAATTTCGAACTTGTTCCATTCAGGGCGAAACCATATGGTATCACTCTGCGGCCAGTCACCGAAGAAAGTCTTCAAGCCGTCGATTGCCCCTTCAGTAGGCACGTAGTTAATGACAGATGAGCGTCCATTCTGCTCCCGTGCTTGTGCATTAACCCAGATCCTGAATGAGGCCGGTCTCCCTCCCCCACAAAGCTTATTCGACATAGCATCGATCACTTGAATCATTTTAGCCCAATCCCCAGGACCTACACTTGCCAGGTAGTGACTGCCAGCCATTCGGATGACGGTATGGTTCGGGTTGCGCTCCTGATCCTTGCCGCGAGGATCTGAATGACGGGAATCGACTTTGAATTCAAGGATACCAGTAGGATCTTTCGCAATCTTCTTAACTTGGCCCCAAAGATCGTTGGTCGCACACTCCCACACGCCGGTTCCTACACAGGAACCACCAACGTAGATGTTTTCCTTTGGTCGAGGTTCCTCGGGGTACAGCAGTCGCATGGCTCTGACGAAGCCCGGTTGAATTTGATTAATACCACAGTCTTCTAACATTTTCTGATCTGATGGGATCTTCCAATAAGCAGTACCATGACCTTCCAAACTAATCTGGACGAGGTTTTTCATTGGCTGTACTGGCTCCAATGGAGTGGAAGTCATCCCACCACGTCGAACAAACACCCACCATGGTTCAGCCTTTTCAAAGAGAGGCAAGACGCTCTTAGAGTATAGAAATGCCCAGTTTGCTGGAATCATGGAAAAAGCTATTCGCTTTCCGGATTGTCCACCGGGAATATCAAGGTCAAAATTCCAGGTAGGATTCTTTTCATCGGGTGGATATTGACCGGTGAGTAGGAGTGCCGCGCGAAGAACAGAATCTCTAGTGTTCTCAACCTCAAGCTTTCCAAGATATCCGTATATAGTTCCCTTTGTAGGCTTCTTGGCTGGAGCTGATTCTGGTTTAGAGTCTGGCACTCTAAAGTATGGTTTCGGGCCAGTTTTCGGATGATCTTCTCGCAGGCGAAGTATCCAATCATGCGTTTCATGGAACAATAAATCCTTTATGGGGTCCTGCCATTTTTGTCTCATATTGGTAATGGTTATATCGACTGTCTTGTTGTATTTCTTGTCCGGGTTTGCCTTATCCTTATTGCTGTATATGTCAATATGATACTCCTGCACTCCCTCCTCATTGCCAGCGAGATCCAATAAACTGTTCACAAAAGAGAAGAGGTCGTTTTCCACAAGTTTCTTGCTGCCGTCTTTACCATATATGAATCGCCACTCGTCAGTTTCGTTCTCTTCTATATGCCCAGCGCCACCACGCATGACTACCCTTGAGGGCCCTGGAAATATAGGATGGTTTTGACGATGCTGGCTGGGAGCTGCATGTGCGTCGGCATTATTTCCACCTATTTCAACGCGTGGTTGTTGATATGCGGGTTTTGGTCCTGGTTTTGTTAAAACTCTGAGCTAGGGGGTTAACGGCATATGGAGACTTACTACGCAGTATAGGATAGCCATAGCTCCTCTCATGATATGAATCCAGGAATTGCAAAGGCTTCTCGCTGTACATGATTCGTTGAACCCTGGGCACCCCCTCCGGGTCGTCGGGTGGATCATCCTCATCGGCATCATTGCCGCACCTCTCAATGTTTTTGAGTGTCACCGGTTCGACGGGAAGCCCAAACTTCAACATGGTCAATTTTGTTGCGAGGTTATTACTTACACCATTGAACCTCGCACCACGTTCAAAGAAGGCTCTATAATCCCTAGTGTTCTCAAGCTGAACTTGTAACAGAGAGCCAGAGCTGAAAGGAGGGATTAACAAAAGCTTCTGGCCTTCGTCAAATTCGGCTTCAAGAACGCTGGCAACGGATCCAGTAGCAAGTAGCTTTCGAAATTTCGCTCGTTCAGACTTCCACTCGTCGTCGTTTGGGTCGATATTCAGATTCCATCTAAGTTTGCGATTCGAATTTCTGAAAGCCTCCCGTTCCGCTTCTTCCTGCTTTGAAGCATGCGCATCATCTATATAATTTGCCTGGAGTCTGATGATTGCATCCTGACTAAGTGGAAGGTTGTGAGTCTGAACTGGTGCTGTCTGTATGGTAGTTTCACCTTCTGCGCGAGCGTTTGACGGCGTATCGTGTTCTGGGCGAGGGGAAAGATGAAATGGTTTGTTTGGATTTGGGGCCTCATCAGGTCCTTCAGCCTGCCGTTTCGTGCCACGAGGAGCCGTGCTGCTTCCAACGCCAATTTCTGGACGTTCCGCCATGATCAATTGGGTACGTAGTGAAAGTGGATGAAGAGAAGAGCTGCCGACAATAAGAGAGGGGGCAAGAACAAAGAACAAAGGAAAGGAAAAGTATGTGGAGCATTCCTGGACTTGGTCTTGGAAAACTGCCGGAATGCATTCCTTTGCAATTGGACTCAAAAGAAATCCACTCTAGAGAGAGGGTTGGAAGGGTACAACTGCTGAGCTGTTTTCAATCCTCGAGCCATCGGTGAGCAGGCCAAACAAACCGTAAACTCTAATCCGGGCCCTCGATTAACAAATGGACGTGAAGCTGTTTTCAACCTCATCTACTTTGTGTGAATCCTGAACCCTGCGAATCATCGGCACATCGCCGCTGTTTGGTTTGCATCCATTCCAGAGGTCAGCCATTGGCGCATGCGACAAAATGTTTGTTAGGGCGCTCGTCATTTACCGCTTGCAGCCATCGAACCATTTGCATAGGGGATGCTTAACGGTTCGAGCAGGTCTCATGCATTGTACAGAGAATAAGGGAGACACTGTGTAAGGAATGGCGAGGTCGGGAAACGAGAAATGAAGAGGGGTTCATCCAGTACGACGGCCAAGAGGCGCCATTGGCGATCCTTCTTCCCGGGTACATTGGGAGAACGTACGTAGTAATGCCACAAAAAAGTATTAATCCAGAAATGCTATTGAAAGATTTTAAGAATCATGACGGTAGACGTGAGAGGTAAGAAAGCGATGCATGATGGAACAGCCCTCTGAACGCGACAAAGCAATGGGGATATCTGAGGCATTTTGGAGATTTGAATGGCTGAGACTTTGTTTGGAACCTTTGAATAATGACCAAGGCAGATAACTTCTGAGGAGCGGTCTATATATGCTTTGACATGGCAGAAGAATACTTGTATTCAATCGTAAATTGGTGGGACCCGAGCTGGCTTCCGCATAACTTGGTCTCGGGAGTTATCAGCGTTCATGACTTGGAGACGACGTTGATATTTGATATTGGGCCTTGATATTTACCTAAGGTATGGAGCATTGATAAGTGTCATAGCGTAAACAACCTAGTAAAAGGCCTAAGAGCGGTAACCCCTCGCGGATCTTGGGCAGAATGTGGGGAAAGCTTTGTCTGACAATGGCAATGAATGGCAAAAGGCAAAAACAATGACAGCTAAACACCATGTTACCTAAACCATCATTCCACAATACCTACAACACAAACACAACACGCCACTCACAATCCGGGTAAGGGGATTTGAGAAAGCAAGAACATTGCCATGATACCTTACCCGCTTCTGAGTGTCTGATCTCAGCATGTCGCTCGTTCCATATTCATCGCGCGACAGTCGAGATATCGTCCTGTGAGTTCATCTCCTCCACAATAGCACAACACATATGAAAGGCGCCACTGATGAAAGCTTCGCCCAGCTGCTATGACGATACCATAGTCATCCGCGATCCCCAAACCCAGCAACTGAGCCTCCGCGGCACGGGTGCCTCCTCCTCCTCCTCTTGTCCTACTTGCCACCGTCCCTTTCGCGATGCATCGCCCGAACGGCAGTCCTCTCCCCATCGCCGACCCACACACTTTATTTCTCCCGAATACTTTCGCATGCTTCATGATACCAACGTCCGAACCGATGTGCCACCTTCAAGTCCGATTCGTAGACTGGTAGAACCAGCATTTCCTTCTACGCCCATCAGCCTGGGTAGTTCCGTGACGGATGCAGAGTTCGTGACGAGCACGCCGGATCCTGAGGCGGCAAATAGTATCAAGAAGGATGCATTTAGTCCCGATTATTTCAAGAGATTCTTCATCATCGAGAAGGAGCTGGGAAGAGGCGGGAAGGGAGTCGTGTTGTTGGTGAGGCATGAATTGGACAGTGTTTGTCTCGGTATGGTTTTGGATGGAGATTGCGTGGGAAATGCTAATTGGTATAGGTCAGTTTGCTTGCAAGAGAGTTCCCGTCGGAGACGACCATGCGTGGCTGGAGAAAGGTAATACCTCAGGTGGAGATAGAGACTCGAGGCTAATGTGTAACAGTTCTCATTGAAGTACAACTACTCCAAGGGTTATCTCATCCAAACCTTGTGTCCTACCGGCACGTCTGGCTTGAAGATGTTCAGCTCAATCGATTTGGCCCCTCGGTACCATGTGCATTCATTCTACAACAATACTGCAACTCGGGAGATTTGTTACAGTACGTTACTGGACCTGCCGTGCCTGCGAATACAAAGGAGCATCTGAAGGAGCAAATGCGGAGAAGGTCAAAGGGGCAATCTGAGCGGCTGGGCGACCTTAAGCCGCCACAGAGAAAGCTGCCTTTCGAAGAAATCTACTCATTCTTCAAAGACATTACGTCAGGCCTAGCACATCTCCATGCCTCAAACTACATCCATCGCGATCTTAAGCCGAGCAACTGTCTTCTCCACAGAGATGGGAACGACTTGCGATGTTTGATTAGTGACTTCGGAGAGGTACAACCTGAGAATGCAGCTCGGAAATCGACAGGAGCCACAGGGACAATATCGTATTGCGCCCCTGAAGTTCTCAAGCAAGACCAGTTCGGCCGTTATGGGAACTTTACGACAAAATCAGACATCTTCAGTTTGGGGATGATTTTATACTTCATGTGCTTCGGACGACTGCCCTACAGCAGTGCTAATAGCATTCAAGAGGAATACGAGGATGTTGATTTGCTGAGGGCCGAAATTAGCAATTGGTCAGGCTTCCATGATGAGCGACGAGAACGACCTGAGTTACCGAATCAACTCTATACTTTCCTGAAAAGATTATTATCTATTGATCCAGCGGATCGACCCAGTACGCATGAAATTATCCAGGCTATTCAAACAGGGAAAGGGCTCGATCCTCCTCCGAAGAATAGAAATGGGAGTACTGGAGATATTGGTGGAAGAATAATTCAATCTGTTGAGGCTCCTATTTCTTCCGGGACGCCTAGCAATGGTATTTCGAAACGCTTTTTTGGTCCGAAGGGTACTGACAGTATGTAGAGCCGATGAAGCGTATTCGCTCAGGTGCATATATCGAAGACGCCTCAGACGTCCCCTCCCTATTGCCAACACCGGAAACGCAGTTAACCCTCGAACCCCAGAAGAACCCGCATCCGAACTCTCCACAAGGCCCGGCAGCCCTAACACCCCTCCTCATGCCACCGCCCTCCACCACCTTCTCAGCAATCAGAACCCGCCTCGACCTCTACAAGCACTACCTCTTCTCCTGGTTAGCCCTCAATCTTGAAATGGTCCAACTAATTGCGGCACTCGGTATCTTCCTCGTGAAAGTTCTCTCAATCACGAGACCTTGTCTACCATCTGGGACTAGAGAAACCGTCTGGTATCCGCTCATGGCACTTGCGGCGTTGGAACTCGCATTAAGGACGAGAATTGGATGGAGAATGAGAGGAGTACTCGCGGCCGCTCATCTGGCGGTTTTATGGTGGGCGCTGAGGCTGGATGGTAGGTTGTGCATTGAGAGAGAATGGCATTGGGGTGATGGTGAGGGTTGACCGTGATAAGGTCATCAATCATTGTACCCTCTTGCATTGAATTTTGGCTGTATGGTCGGGCTGGCCGACTCCTTAAACACACGTTGGCTTTGATGGCGTTGGTGCACTGCATGATTCAAATGGGGGGCTTTTTGGGTTGGGCTTGGGGGGAGCGGGGGATTGAGGCAGGTCATGGTTCTCATGGGTGGAAAATGGAAAATGGAAATGGGGGGGGGGGGGTAGGCATGTCGTGGCATGGTTCTCATGGGTGAAAAATGGAAATGGAAATGGAAAATGGGATGGGCAGCTTGAACGAGTTTCCCGGAATTCAGCAAGAAACGAGAAAGAAAGAAAGAAAACAATAACACACAGAACGAAGCCACCATAACCGTGACCTGTACAGTAATAGCAGGATGACGAGTCTCTAGCACAAAGTAACCAAGAACCTCTCCGCTCCCCGCCTTGGCACCCTCTCACTCCCAAGACCAGCGTGGCCCAATCTATTAGACTCGAAATACCACTCCTACCCCGACCACAAACCAGAGCGCACTTCTACCCCATACAGGGTATTGTATCTAGGTATCTGTACCTTACATGTAGTATACTCCGTATGCCTATATATATCTCAGCGCCAGCTGGATCGAGCCGGTGTCCTGCACGTAGCCGCTCGCAGGGTTGCAGTAGTACCTAGGTAAACATGCTGCGCAGGGTTACCCGTAGATACTGCACCTGCATCACTCACTACTGTACTGCGGGCAGCCGGCGCTGCGAGACCGAGATTCCCAGGGGACCGAGAGGAGAGGGAGTCGGGAAGGCCCATGATCGCGGTGTTGGAATTTGGGAGGGAGGGGGTGGATGGAGGGGGAGGGTGCAGGATCTCGCAGATAAGGTAGAAAGAAGATGGGTTTCTATCTATATACATCTTCGTACTGTATGTATGTAATGTGGATATAAAATGTATAAAAATTCTCTTCATTTAATCGATTGATTGACTAACACATTCTTGTGGTTTTATTTCAGTTTTTCACTTTGTTTCAGGATCCAGGAATCAAAAAAGTTTGACAGCCCGCTCCTTATCTTTACAAGGCTACAGGACGCAGACGACAAGGCTCTCTCTCACTTATCTTAGATCCGACTCGTTCTGGAAGGTGGAAGGGTTATCTGACGGGAAGTGGAGACGACAGATTTTGCTGCGGATCTCGTGGGGCCTGGAGTAGTCTGGGCAGAGTCGGAGCTGTCCGTTGTTTTCTTTTCTTTTGTTCTTGTTCTCGAAGAGGCGTTACGGAGTACATAGGAAAGAGTTATTGGATGTGTGTCTATAGTCTCTTGTAAATATGTGCATATCCACCTCTATATGTACTACGGAGCAGATAGATGACCACGAGAGAGGACATAGGAAAACCATGAGATCATTTACGACAGTAGAAGAATATCAATAAATGCAATAATGGACAACCGCATTCTCATGGGGTCCGTTCTGGGAATCCTTCCAGAGAGAAGCCCTGGGCCCGTACAACCATGCGCAGCCGACCGATCTTGCTTCGGACCTTCGTACCACGCCCGATGCCCATGATTTGACATCAATTCAATATTTCAATATCAGAGATCCAGCTCGTCCTGTGGTTCCGCAATGATTATTGAGTTTGTTGTCGATGAATCGATCTCCTCGGGCCGGACAACTCTCCCCCGCGCCTTGGACCTCGCATCTCGCATCTTGATATGGCGCATCCCTGACCGACTCGTGCCTGGTACCTGGGCTAAACACGGACGATAAGCAGCATCGAGACAAAGACGACCTTCTCCCCCGCGCTGCAGTCTACGCAGTCTACGCCGGCTTGGGGAAGTCCAGAGATGAAGTTGCATGGAGCGACAGGGTTCCACTTCAGGGCTCACACGGGCAATTATTGAGACGGCGTCCTGATTCCGTATTTATCTCGTCATCCACCCCCCCCGAACATGGCTTCCATTTCCCATTTCCCACTCTTCCTCTCTCCTTCGTTCCCCCTCCCTTTCTGCCCTTGGGGTACAACCTCACTCTTTTGCTCGTGATCAATCTTTTATTGCCTTGCCTTCCATTGTCATTTCTGGCTTGTGGTTGCGGTTGCAATTGTGGGTGTAACTGAGAGATCTTTTCTCCCAACATGAGGTTCCCTCTTATATCTCTCCTTGCGGGAGCTACCCTTCTCTCCGCGTCTCCCGTAGTTGAGAAGAAATCCGAAGATAACCTGGTCGTCGTTCGAGATGTCCATGTAGTCTACTCAGACTGCGAAGTCATCACTCCCAAGGTCTTCATTATCTCCATGGTGCGCCCCCTCCTTCCCACCCCGAGTCTTTTTACTAAGAGCCCCCTCCAGTTCAGCCCAGAAGCAGATATCTGGTACACCAACGCCGAAACCCCTGGCTCAATTGGCAACCTCCTCGCACGAAATATCACCGTACCCGGCTTCTCTCCCCTCTTCCCGCAGGCACACTGTCTTGCCGATGGCTCCGTCTGCCAGCTGACAACCGGCGAGTCCGAAATCAATGCCGCTACCACCATCAGCGCTCTGATGCACTCGAAGCTATTCGACCTTACCAAGACATACTTCCTGATCGCCGGAATCGCAGGCATCAACCCAAAGCAGGGCACCCTCGCTGATGTTGCCCTGTCCAAATACGCGGTTCAGGTCGCGCTGCAATACGAGTTTGACGCACGAGAGATCCCGGAGAATTTCACCACGGGATATGTGCCGCAAGGCGCCTACGCACCGGACCAGTACCCTGGAAGCATCTACGGAACCGAAGTCTTCGAGGTCAATGAGGCACTGCGCGATCTGGCCGTTGGCTTTGCAAAGACTGCCAAGCTGAACGATTCCTCTGCGGCCCAAGCCTACCGTGCACATTACGCGGATGCCGGCGAGACGCGTTACGCTGCCGCCGTCAGAGCCCCGGGAATCATCACCTGCGATACCGCGACCAGCGATGTGTACTTCTCCGGAGAGCTCCTGGGTGAAGCCTTCGAGAACACGACGACGCTCTTCACGAACGGCTCGGCCGTGTACTGCATGACGGCGCAGGAAGACAACGCAACGCTCGAGGCCATGATCCGAGCCGCCATCCGCGGCACCGTCGACTTCGCGCGCATCATCCTCATGCGCACGGCCTCGGACTTCGACCGCCCCTACCCAGGCCTCTCGGATCTCGACAACTTGTTCTACGCCGACCAGGGCGGCTTCGTGCCCGCCGTCGAGAACATCTACCTGGCCGGCACGCCCATTATCCATGGCATCCTGCGCGACTGGGACAAAGTCTTCGAGAAGGGCGTCAAGCCGACGAACTACATCGGCGACATCTTCGGGACGCTGGGCGGGACGCCGGATTTTGGTCCCGGCGCGGCAGCCGGCTACCCGCTGTTCGGGAGTGGCGGGTATGCTGAAGACGAGCAACCGATGAAGAAGAGGAGCCGCATGGATGCGTATCAGAAGAAGATGCGAAGATAGAGAGCTCAAATGCTGATTAATTGGGGGATGTGGGAGGGGACGATAGTTAGCTCCAACATAATATCCCTTGCGCGTCGATATCTTCATCTTCATCTTTATTCTCTCAGCGTCGCCATGTACCCCCGGCGGAGATACCATATAAGGTACCTATCTATATATGGGCCAGCAGGCTTTTCTATCTATCTATCTATCTACATACCATATCATTAATCCTTAGGAAGGAGAGAAGGAGGGAAGAAAAAAAAGAAAAAGAGAGAGACGGGAAAAAAAAGAAACTTGCCAGATGGTATAATATTTATTTTATATGTATGCATGATGGATCGTTCTAAAAGCAATAGAAGGCAGACAGATATACGTTAGAGATACCTGATTTGTGGTATCATGAGCAAGGGTAAGATAGAGGGTTATTTCGATATCTAGAAAGAAAAAAATATAGAAGTCGTTTGCTGGAACTAACGTACCTTATCTTCTTTGAGTGAAGCATGCATGGAAAGTGATGTTGGATTATACAGCCTGAATTAAATACTTTTGTTGCACATCGCACCGCTCACTTTTCATCTGATGTATCGTTACACGAGGCAGCAAAAGTACCTTGTAGAAAGTGAATGAAATCTCATTAGAGCTTTTGTTCCGTATCGCACCGTGGTTTTCATGTCAAGTGCTTCTGCTTAGGTAAGGTACTAATATGTAGACTAAAGGTATCTTACCTTAGGTACATATATATAGTGCAAGAGCTCAGGAAGTTTGGTTGATACATCGTACTTACTATATGAGAGGAAAAGGAAGGGGGTTTTGTCTGAAGTACCTAAGGTATGCCGTCAATGGATTGGATGGAAGTATCGGGTATTCCACGTGATTATATACTCCCCCTACCTATCCCCTATCTTACCTACATACTTTAGGGTAGATACACATACTTATTTTCCGACACAGAAACCTTTTCTCTCAAGAAGCTAACTCCGAATAAAGTAAAAGGACACCCACAGCTCTCTTTCCGCAATCAATTATCCAATGTCATACCCTTCTCGTCATTTCGCTCGACATGGAGATTTCCCTCGACCATCTCCCTCTTCTCCTCTTCCTCAAATACATGTGTCTCCTTTCCCTCCTGCTTCTTTTCGCCGCCACCTTCAGCTCCCCCGATGCCAGTCAGGAGAGCGTCCAAGCCTATCTCACGATTGATATCACGCATGCGCTCGAGATCCGCTTCGGCGGTTCCCTGGCTGCCGAAGATAACATCCATCTCTTCTAGCGTGAGGCGTTTCGTCTCTGGGACGAAGAACCAGACGAAGGCGGCGCCCATGTAGGTAAGGATACCAAAGACGAGATAGGTGCCATAGGTGATACCGGAGAACATATCTGGCGTTACCTGTTTAGGTTGTAGTTTATTAGTAGATGGGGTGGGTGAGATGAAAGGGGCGGGGGAGAGGGAGGAATTTGAAGGGGCAGGGGAGATGTACTTGACCAACGATGAAATTGTTCATCCAGTTACTAGATGCACCTAAAGCGATTCCATAAGGTCTGTTGGAAAGCGGCCAGATCTCCGCGACAATGACCCACGCGCATGGTCCCTAGCTGTACCCGAAATGCATAACGAACAGCCAAACCATAGCGACAGCCGCCCAGCCTGCGCCTTTGTGAGTTCCCCACGAATGCTGGTCCCTAGCTACGATGATGGAGATAATGATATGGCAGGTCGCCATACCGATTGCGCCGACTGTGAGTATCGGTTTGCGGCCTATTTTGTCGATGTACAACACAGAGGGAATGGTCGCAAGAAACATGACGATGCCGACTACCCCGGTGGCAAGGAGCGAGATAGTGTTGGAGGAGAGGCCGAGAGATGCAAAGATGGAAGGAGCGTAGTAGAGTATAGCATTCACGCCCGACCATTGTTGGAAAAACATTGTCACAGTTGCCACAATAACACGTCTAAACATAGCCTTGGTCCGGAACAAACTCCCAATAGCCACAAACTGCAACTTGAAGGTGTTCCAAGCCGTGAGTTCGCGCAGAGCAGGCCAGTGCTCAGCCACCGTCCGTTTCTCGAAGAGGGACTGCGCTTTGATCTCCAAGAACTCCAACTCGACGAGTTCGTGATCCAGTGGTAACCCTCGGAGTTTTGCGAGAACTTTCCTCGCTTCGTCTTCTCGGTCATGATGTACCAACCATCTCGGACTGAAAGGCATGAATAAAATTCCCGCGAACAAGACCACTGCCGGAAACAATTGTAAACAGATAGGGAGTAGCCATGCGGCTTCGGATTGCGTAGAGCCGGTTCCGCCAATGTAATTGGTGCCGTAGTCGATCCAGAAGGAGATCATGATTCCGAAACAGATGGCGAGTTGCTGGAGTGCAATTAGGGAGCCACGAACCTCTGGAGGAGCCACTTCGGCGTTGTACATAGGGACTATCATTGACAGGGAGCCGACGCCCATTCCTCTAGGTGGTACTTAGCGGTGTTTGACAAGAGAAGAGGGAAAGCTTACGTGATGAATCGTCCACTGAGGATGGAATTGTGGCCGGCGCTTCCCTATATCAGCATAAATTTTGAGCGATTGAAGTAAACACATACGAGATAGCGGTAGATTGGATGACAACACCCAAAATGAAAACGGCCGTAGCTATCAAGATCCCGTACTTCCTTGATGCAGTTTCGGCCATGAAGCCAGAAAGAAGTGTGCCGACCCAAGCACCGAGTTCGAGGATCGATGTCAGCCATCCTTTGCGAGACTGATCTTGGGGTCTTGTTGAATCATAATTTCCCATGTGATTCTGGAAGGCTGGCATAGTTAAGACACCTGAGAAGACTCCTTGGTTGTAACCTGGGCAATAAATCAGTGGGTACGATACCACATAATCCTCTGAGATGAATACCGTAAAGGAGTCCACCCACGCAGGCAAATAAAGCAATAAGAAATACCCTAAAGTTCTTCACCAGCGCCAGCGGTCCACTAGAGCCCATGAGGGCTTGACGACGAAGGAGAGCCGCATCATAGATGCCTGGTGCCGCTTTGGTAGCCACCATTTTCCTTTGTCAAGGATGTCTTTCCTGAAAAGCCAATATTGGAGAGAGGAAAGGTAGGGGAAGGGAGGAGTGCAGAATAGACAGCAGCAACACATTGCGAACATCAGAGATATAAGACGAAAATGAAATCCAGATGGATCCACAGGGGCTCCGGATAAATTGGAAGAAGCGGAGGAAACGAGGAAAGGGTATACCAAAATGGCCCGATCAGCTTGCTATTGACGACATTCACACTGGTGAGATACTACATTAGAAGTAGGCATACAGACTCCTGTAGGTGCGATTATCACACCCCGGCCCAGGCCCTTGGTGACATGACTACGATGTACCCCTCAAACCCCACAGCCGGATAAATTGGGGAAATGGGGAAAGGCAGACTAAGATAATGGCTGGATCAGCCTACCCTTGACAACATTCGCATTCACACCGGTGGGAGACACTCCATCGGAAGTATACATATCGTCTTCTGCTATTGCGAGTGTCATGCCCCGGGGCAGCTCGTGGTCAGCATGACGATGAAGTTCTGTACCCCTCAAACCCCACAGCTGGCTAAATTGGCCGGCTCAATGGGAAGCTGACAGGGGGACCAGGGACGAAGGTCTCTCGATTCTGCGCGACGGAGAGCCAACAGTTGGAGCCCTTGCGTGGCGTGGACGGCCAATCAGCCCGAGGTCATCAACACCCGGCGGATAAATCAGTGGCAGATGCATGGTCGTTGATGGCCAGCGGTTATTTGTGCGTGAAGATTTGGTGATGGACGAAGATGTATATGCTTGGAACGCTTGACCACCGATGATCATTCTGGCGAAGGGTGCTGGGTGAGTAAGGTGGGTAAGGTAGGTGAGGATCTTGGGGAAGGTAAGGTACCATCTCAGGTTGCTTGGTCCAGAACCCGTAGTCACGTGATGTTAACCAGCCCTCGGCTCCCGCATTGTGATCACGTGTGGCTTCCAGCAGCAATTCCTCTGATCACGTGAAGTTAGTCAGCACCGTTGCGCCCAATGGAGAACACCCAAAACACCAAAGACCAGCATCACATCCGATCCCCATTCACCCACTTTTCCCCCAATCCCATCCAGAGTGCTGTCGAGGCGCGCGCCACCCGGCCTTCTGCTCGACCACTCACAACCCCGGCGTGTCTCGTCAAGCTGGACGATCTCCGTTTTGTCGGACCCGCTGCCGACTGTCGCCCACTGCTGTAAGGCTGAAAGTCCTGAACCCGCTCCAACGCGTTCGCCCTGGTACCTGAATACACAGGGAGAATCCCCCTGGTTTAAGGTGATGGCCAGTGCATCTGGTAAGGGCCCCCGACAACCTGGTGAATGCAAAAGGAGCAAGGATATTCAGGACGAAGAACCCTATTTTTGGTTCTATCCAGCGCCTGTACCGCCCCTTTACCGCCCGCGAACCTAACCGCCGACGTCCAGGGAAACAGATCAACAGATCTCATGGGACAACCGCCGACATGGCCCTCATCGACCAATGCCATGGCCGCGCTCTCTCCAAACTTCCTCTCTTGTACACACGTTACTACTCCCGCGGCTCCTGTTTCTGCGCGAGAGGGTATCGTGCTTTCGTCTCATGTCCCCATGTTTTGGTTCCCGCAGACGGGCCCACGGTTCGCCCTGGAGCACCGCATGGCAGCGTTCTAAAGAAAGATCGCGGCTCGAAAAGAGTTTCAAGAGCTGATCGCGGGTCCCAATTTAGGACTGTTGGCGTTTCCTAACCTCGCCTCTAGCCCTACACCTCGTCATCTGTTCCCTGTTCTGCCGAACTGTTGGATGTGTATAAAGCTTCGTTGCCGCGCTCTCCAGGGACGGCCTCGTCTCTATCTTCCCCATCCGCAGAGCCGCCCACGATCTTCCCGTCTGACAGCATACCCGTCTTACTCGGTACATGAATGCCAGTTCCTTGTCGTCTTTTCTCAGATTCTCAAACGTCATTTCCTTGAAGAGCCTCTCCGTTTCTTCTCTCTTCTCCTGCCGAGGAATCTACAAATACCCAGTCCTCGCCATCTCATTTCTCTGTTTTCTTCTATCATTATGCCGAAAGGTCACAGCTCAGTTCGGAGCCAGGGTTACTACCGCACGAGTCCAGTCAGTAGTACTCAAGGTACTACCCAGTATCCCATCTCTATACCACAATACACACCTCTTTCTTCTCGTCCTTCCACAACCTACTTTCCTCATTCTCCTCTTTCAACAATTATGCCCCAGCAATCATACACACAGCAGCCAACCTACGTTCAGGGTGGCCCTGTGCAACCTGTTTCTCAACCTGTTTCTCAACCCCAATACGCACTTTTCCCATCTGCTCCCTCCATGCCCTCCATTCGTCCTTCATCCGGGGCATGGAACCCACAGGATGACCAGACATTGATGGCGGCGCGACATGACGGAATGAATTGGGGCCACATTCAGCAGGCGTATTTCCCAACCAAGACACCAAACGCATGCAGAAAACGACATGAGCGCTTGATGGAGAAAAAGAGCGCCGATGATTGGGACAGCGAGAGGTTGGAGAATCTGGCCAAGCAGTATATGGCCATGCGGAGGGAGATTTGGTCTGGGCTTGCGGCGGCGACAGGCGAGAAATGGATGGTTGTTGAGCAGAAGGTTTGTTTACCTTATTGCCCTTCTATCATTGACTCTCCTTTTCATTGGCTTGCTTCCTTGCTTCATTTATATTTCCCTCCGTCTACCCCCCTATTTCTCTGTCTATCTTTCTTTTGTGTCTCGCCTCTTACTCTATATACCACTTGTTTTTCTATTGGGAGAGGCACTAACAACTTCATAGTGCATGTCACAAGGCATCAAAAACATGCAAACCGCAGCACGAGCCTGCACGCGCCGTGAAGGCGCCTTATCTGGATCACCCAGTCTTCAGGACCCTCTCCAAAAGTATGATGATTCCGGTGTCTCCGGCATTGATGATTTGGAAGCTGAGTGTGATGCAGATGGCGCCTCGAATCATAGCGGCCCATCCGGTCTCGGTGGCTATGGGCAGTACCAGGACCATCATCAGAATAGGGCTGCTAGACAGCATGGAGGGGTATACGTTCACGCTCAGGGACTCGGTCAGGCTGGCTCTCGATTATCGAGTATGGATATGGGGATTGGCGCTATTATTAACCGTCATGATGGCCGTTAGTTTTCTTTGCCTTTCCTTTCTTTTCCTTTCCTTACCTTTCCCTTATTCTTCTTCTTCTATATTTCCCTTCCTTTTATATTCTTACCTTTCTGGAAGGGAAAGGGGACGACTTTTAGCATTGGCGGTTTGGGGAACACGGGTTTGATACCATCAAGGGGGGGAGCATCATGATTGATGATAATACGAAGAAGATACCTTTTATAGTAGTAGTGGTAGTGGTAGTAGTACAGTGAGCTCGATAGCTTCTAATTTCATACCTTTATATATCCCTGACTCCAAATACCCCACAAATATACTCGCATACATCTCCTGCTAAGCGATGGGCAATTCATCGGTTCCCCACCGTAAGCGCGGCAGCCTTAGCCTCCGGCGTCAAATGCCTCGCAGTAAGCACCGCCTCCTCCTCATCCTCGTCCTCCCATTCATCTTCCAGATCCGGCTCGCCAACAATGCTCCTCCAGGCCCGTTGCCACATGCCCTTTTTCTCCACCATCGCCAGCACCAACACCACAGGGAGATGCCAAACAGATGCCCAGAACAGACCCCTGGCACTCCCCTTGTGCCCCTCGTGCTTCCAAAACCGGTACGCCTCGCGGGCAAGCCAGAGATTGACGGGTGCGCTCGTGAGGGCGAAGCTCCATTCCGTGATCCCGTAGTAGCAGAGTGCTACGGAGATCGGAATGAAGGCCAGGCTGTAGCGGAGGGCTACGCGGCCGTTCATGGCGGGGTTGACCCAGCATAGCATCCTGTATCCCGCCTGTTTGTACTCGTGGCGGATGCTCCAGGACAGAGACATGAAATGTGCCAGTTGCCAGGCAACAAGCAATGACGCTAGTAGCCAACCTCCTATATTCTGCTCCCCAAGCAGCAATTCTTGCCATGTGCCAGCAGTGGCGGACTGTCCTGCCGCAGCTGCCCAGCCCATCAAAGGTGGAATTCCTCCAACGATAGCCCCGACCCAGGTATTGACAACGGAGAGGCGCTTCATGGGTGTGTAGACCCCTGCATATAGAAAAATATTCAACCCCCCAAGGAAGGAGACGGTGGGATTTACCCCGTAGTATAAGAGGCCAACTCCCGTAAGACCGGAAATGATAGCGAATAAGGCAGCACTACGTGTAGATATAAGACCTCTTACAAGGGGGCGATTGCGCGTGCGGCTCATCATCGCATCCCATTTCGGCTCATACAGCATATTGAAGGCATTTGCGCTCGCAGCACATAACGACGTTCCAGTTGTGAGGAAAAGGAGTGTAAGCGTGGAGAGGGAAGGAGTATCTGTTGCGGAGGGATTGAGGACTTCGGGAACGGGGTATAGGGAGTAGGATGCCATTGCGGTCAAGACAACGAGGACCGACAGCCGGGGTTTGGAGAGCGAGAGGAGAACGGGAAGGAGGCGCCGCAAGGAATTCGAGGGCGCGGTGGAAGCTTGGGAAGTGAGATTCGACGAGGCATTTTGGGGAAGTACAAGGTCGGCCTCTGCAGCAGCAGCAGCTTCTTTTCGTGCCTTTTGACGGCGGCGGTGCGGAAGATCTTCTGTAGACGTTGGAGGGGTAGATTCCGGGGTCTGAGAAGTCTTCAGAGCTCCATTGCGTGAAATTGAACCCTCCCCAGTGACTGTAGATAGCAATGCTCCTCTGCTAGAGCTCGCGCGCGCTTTCTCAAGTAAAACATTCGCAGAGAAGTATCCATCCCGTAACCGTGGCGTGGTGGTCCTAGCTATGGTGCTCCTAACACTCGCTGTCGTGGAAAAGTTTCTCGAGACTGTCCGAGCAGCAGTCTTTGTGCTTTGGCAGAAACATGATAGGCATACGGTACTGAGTGCATTTGATCGAACGGCACCGGCCGGTGGGCACCGTATAATCATTGCTTTGGCTTGATGTTTTGACGCATTGCATGAGTTCGAGAGCTTCTGAGCTGGAGGCTCGCCGCATCAGGTTGATGTTGCGGAAGTTGCCGGGGCTCGCGACGTTTAGCGAGGCAAGCCAATCATCGTTTCGAGATTTGTTTCTACCTTTTAACTGTCCGACTTCAGGTATTGTCTACTCGATCAAAGTGGGAAAGCTCGATCAAAGTGGGAAGATAATAAAGACCATAACAACATATCCTTCCATTTTACCAGCGCCCCCCTTTTTATTAGTTCGTAATATTATACACACACGAGCCGTGCTACATGCAGACATCTTATCCCGGTCTATCCTATGAATTGCCCAAGGACTCCAGGGTATCTAGATCCCAAAACTCCCATCACTTCAATCAGTCCATCATTAAGGTGGAGGGACAGCTCTTGATAAAACCCTCACATTATCGAGCAAGCCTTCAACCAGTGAAACATACTCGTTCGGCTCGCCAGCCGCGGCCCGTCGTCCCTGTTCTCTGATTGCGGCGGTCGAGACTTCGATTTCCAGTTCGTGTTCTTTGTCTGTCCGGTTGACACCCTGGATCATGTTAATACAGGTTCACGTACAAAATCTTGAGGGGCACTTACATTTACTGACGTAACTTGGGTTACCTGAGTGAGATCGATTTGATAATGAGACTGTTTATAGCTCAACCGATCTTTATTCCGATCTGGAATTCGATTCTCTATACTTGCGGCCTTCAAGTCCTCGACTTCACCTTCGTATTGCATTTCGAAGTTGATGCTGATTCGGCAGTCAAGTGGCAAATTGGGGTTATAAATGTCGATATCTGCAATCCTGGCTTTGATAATCTTTGCCAGAATCGTCTTTTGTTCTTTCGGTTCTTGTGCGTATGTCACTCGAACCTTGATAGCATGGCGAGGATTGAGCCGCTCTCGAATGACGGGAGGCAACGAGTTTATATGGGAAGGTGGAAGCTCGAAGAATTTATCCGTTTCTCGTCGATGGAGATAATCGATTGGGACTCGCCTTTGGGCACCTGGATTTTGTGGGTGCGTCTCTTTAACTTTTTGATTCAAGAAATCATTCAGGCTCCGGTGTTGCAGCTGCAATACAAATATTAACACTGTCTTTAATATGTCAGGAGATGTTATCATACCTCTGTCATGGAACTTCTGAACCCGACCCGTGCATTTTCCGCAAGAACGCACTCCGACAGAACTGGCAAGTAGTATCTTTCGTTGGTGTCCTTGTTGATAAGCTGACCTAGCTTTGCTTCAATTTCTATCTCCACCCCTCGGCTGGCTAATTCTCCAATATCGTTCCTTGAGACGACATTCAGATATAGCCAGTCAGCTACAATCTTCGTCATGTGCTCGAAAGGTTTCTTCCCAGTGATACTCTTCTCCCATGGCCCAAGGATTCTAGAGGGATCATCTATCGGAGCTACGGGTGGGGGTATATGACCATGCCCATTGATTTCAACGGCAGCAGGTGGCGGGGCAACTGGTGGAGGAGCAGCCGGTGGAGGGGGGGCCGGAGCTGGAATATTCACTACAGGCCGATTTCCGTTCGCTTTTTGGTTGACCTTTATTGAGCCGTAACTGCCCTTCGTACGCCCAAGCACGCTCCGCGCCCAGATTGGGGGCTCAGTGTAACGAGTCCGTTTTTTTGGAGGTTGTTGTGGGGAGGAGTTGGTACCGGAAGGCGTTCGGTGGTCACCGTTAGTTTGTGGCTTCATCTCGTCTCGTTCTATTTGTTGATGCTGCTCTATTGGGGTTTCTCGGCCTTCCATCTTACGCTTTACCGAATTGCCGTGATCGTTCTCGGATTGCTGGCTGGCAATTGTAATATCCCCTCTAGTTTGGCTCGGTATTCGTGTTTTCGGACTAACACTGATGCTTCGCTCTCGTTCACTTTGTGACGTTCTGTGCTGCTCGCTTGTAGACGTTCTTTGTGAATCGTAGCCACCCGGGGTGCTTGGCAACTTGGGAATCGATGCGGCTGGGGGCGCGGGAGATGTTTGAAATTGTGAGAAAGGGCCTGAGGATAAGCCACGCTGCTGATATGGACTTGAAGGTTGAGTGAATCCGCCGGAAGAATGTCGCTGATTCACTGGGGGTCCGAGTGGAGTACCTGGCTGTGATTGCTGGGATTGTTGCCGCTGGTGCTGTGAAATCTGCGAAGGGGGGAAATGACTCGCAGATACCGGGCTGTCTTGCAGCTGTTGATTGAAGTATGGTGGTTGACTATGAGCAGAAGTAGGCGTGGAAGCCGAAGACTGTGATCTTTGCTGCTGGAGGTATGGATGTGGTGCCCCTGGCATACCAATCGGAGGTGTCTGTGGAGTGGTCGAGCTTTGGCTTTGGGGATTATGGGTTTGAATATGGGGTGGAGGCGGCGGATTCGATTGTGGATAATTGTCTCGAGATGGAAAATTCGGTGGGTATTGGTGGTGGTGTTGTGCGGGACTCTGGGGTGTCTGGTGCTGTTGGAAATAGCTGCTCATTGATGATGAAGATGTTTGCCTATACGGTGACTGCGCAGAGTAGGGCCCTGCTGGAGAGCGCAGCTCATTCTGCGGAGGAGCTTGAATAGGTGGCGGAGGAGGGGGTCGATTTGAGTAGGCCCCTTGAGCTTGGTATGAAGTTGGAGATGAATATGGCCCACCCGCTTGAGTCGGCCCAGGCCCGTAGTCTTGCGAGGGACGTTTCCCCGGCGAGGCGTGTGGCTGATGGCTGTGGTCTCGAAAGCCCTGCTGAAGAGGAGCGTGTATTGGAGTGACTGGTGTAGCTTGTTTCTGGGCTGAGCCCTCGCCAGCTTCGCTGTTGATAATTGAGCGGAGATCCATAATGGCGATTCGATGGCCTCCCAGCGCGCGACCAAGCGCGCCTTACCCCAGACTGTGAGATGTCGATATATTCGTCGCGGTGGTGCTCATCGGACAATGATCACAAATCCTCCGCACAATCCAACGCGACTCGACAGACTTCTTGATGCTGGCGCAACCGTTTCCGGGCGATGTCAACGACGCAAACGGGGAGGGAGCGAGGCTGGGCGGCGCAAGGGATTCCGCACGGGTCGAGGAGGTCGCTGTCGCTATCAGAACCGAACACAGAGATCCACGGATGATTGGATCGTGGTATGGCATTTACAGGTTGGTGATGGAGGCTCGCACTTGGTGTTGACAGATAGATCCCATACATTTATTTTAGAGTCTCCTCCTTAGACGAAGAAGCCGCTGCCTCCTTTAAAATGGCCATGGCCGTTGGAGTGCATATGGGGAGATCCTGCACGTGGGGGGTACAGAACGGGGAGAAGAACACATCTAGGGAAGGGTCAATATCACTGTATTCAAGCCAGAGCACTTTGAAAGCCTCTCTCTGATCCAACTATCCAGCAATACGTGAAGCTGCTTCTCCATGCAAATCCGTTTGTGACGCGTGAAAATTTCTTCCTGCCTCGACCCTAAGGCTGCCAATTACCTTAGCGCCGTCGCTAAATCGCGGCAACCCAAGCTGTTACGTGACAAGCTGTGCCTGGAGAGTGACCTCTTAGAGAAGTTGTACATAGCAACCAGCACGACCTCACCTCGCCTCCATCTATCCTCCATCTATCCTCCGCCGCCTTCGCGCATCCTCTATCAACACACAAATCAAGCGCACCCATCCCTACCCCAAGACGACACCCTATCGACCATGCCTGGCTTGACCTCAGCCTCCGGTGTTCTGGGTTTCCTCTCCGACACAGAGCCCGAGCTCAAAGTCTTTGCCCTGCAGACGTTGAACGATGACATCGACACGTTGTGGACCGAGGTTGCGGGTTCTGTAGGTCAAATGTAAGTATCTCATCTTTAAATCTCTCAATGCTGCTTCCTTGGAGCTCCTTCTCCGTCCTCTTGCTGACTCGCTGCTTCAGCGAAGCACTCTACGAAGATGAAACCTTTCCCGAGCGACAGCTTGCATCTCTGGTATTGGCGAAGGTGTTCTACCATTTGGGGGAGTACGATGAGAGCATGAACTTTGCTCTCGGAGCTGGAGACTTGTTCAAATTGGACCATGGAGGCGAATTCGAGGAGACCATTATATCCAAATGTGTCGACACTTATATCAGCGCATCTGCTGCTCGGCATTCTATCCCACAAGAAGCTCCCAGGGATGCCGCCCTCCCAACTCTTGCGACCTCTTTCGTGAACGGAGCCAACGATGCCAGTGTCACCGCCGCACTGACGTCTCCGACGACTCCGTTCTCGCAATCTGCCTTGCCATCAAAATCACTTCTATCGAGAGCTTCAACAGACAACGTGCAAGACCAACTCGTACAAAAGGGCAAGCCAGGTTCGGCTGTCTTGCCTGACCAGGCCACACAAGCAGCGTTGCAACAGGTTATCGAGAGGCTGTTCGAGAGCTGTTTACAGGAGGGCAGATACAGACAAGTTGTTGGTATTGCTATTGAGGCAAAGAATCTTGAAGTGCTGCGGCGGGTTATCAAGCGTGCTAGTGATGATGAGAAGAAAGCGAGAGGAAAGCAGGCCGACGGCGCTAGTTCGGTCACGGAAGAGCTGATGGAGTACGTCCTCGACATCTGCATGGGCGTGGTGCAAGAGAGAGGCCTTCGAACAGAAATCTTGAGATTGATCCTAGATCTTCTGAATGATATACCGACACCCGACTACTTTTCCATCGCCAAGTGCGTTGTTTATCTAAATCAGGATGAGGAGGCTTCAACGATGCTGAAGAAACTAGTCGTATGTATTACGTCTTGGTAGCTCTGGATGACTTTCTAACAGGTTGACAGGCAAATGAAGATCAAAATTCCACAGCAATTGCTTACCAAATAGCATTTGATCTCTACGACAACGGAACCCAGGAATTTCTTGCCAAGGTTATGAAGTCCTTGCCTAAAAAGGCCGAGGGAGCAACTGCTGAGGCCAAGGAGAATCGTGAGTATTGGTGCAAATCTGATGTGATGGAAGGCTGACTTGCATTAGCAACGGAGTCGGATCAACTTCTGGGCGAAGTGAACAACAATGCCGAAGACATACCTGATGCACATTTTCAAATTTTCGATCGCATACGCAAGATCCTGGATGGCAGCGAAACAATCAGATTGAACCTAGAATTCCTCTACCGAAATAACCACACGGACCTAAGCATTTTGAACAGAGTACGCGACAGTCTTGAGGGCCGAAACTCCATATTTCACACAGCAGTCACCTTTTGCAATGCTTTCATGAACCAAGGCACAACCAATGACAAATTCTTCCGGGACAATCTAGAGTGGCTTGGAAAGGCGGTCAATTGGTCAAAATTCTCAGCAACCGCTGCTCTGGGTGTTATCCATCGTGGTAATTTGACGCAATGCCGAAAGTTGTTGGAGCCTTATCTTCCCCGAAGAACATCTCTTGGTGGCTCGATTTTCAGCCAAGGTGGTGCGCTTTATGCGTATGGTCTTATTTACGCCAACCACGGTGCTGAGGCCCTAGATTACTTGAAAGAGCAATTCAACGATGCTCAAGAGGAAGTCATTCAGCATGGTGGTGCTTTGGGGCTTGGTATTGCTGGAATGGCAACTGGCTCCGAGGAAATCTACGAGAGCTTGAAGAATGTGCTTTACACGGATTCGGCACTCAATGGCGAAGCTGTTGGACTTGCCATGGGTCTTATCATGCTGGGCACTGGCAACATCAAAGCTCTGGAGGATATGATTACTTACGCTCACGAAACGCAACACGAAAAGATCGTCCGAGGTCTCGCCATCGGAATGGCATTGATCATGTACGGCAGGCAAGAGGGTGCCGATGAGCTCATTGAAGGTCTATTGAATGATCCCGATCCAACCCTTCGATACGGTGGTATCATGACCGTTGCGCTCGCATATTGTGGAACTGGGAGCAATAAGGCTGTGCGAAAATTACTCCACGTTGCTGTCAGCGACGTTAATGACGATGTTCGACGTATCGCTGTCATGAGCTTGGGTTTCATCCTCTTCCGAAAGCCTGGCAGTGTGCCTCGCATGGTTGAGTTATTATCCGAATCCTACAACCCACATGTGCGGTATGGAGCTGCCATGGCTCTTGGTATTTCTTGCGCAGGTACTGGACTGGATGAAGCTATTGATCTGCTAGAGCCCATGATCAAGGATCCTACCGACTTTGTTCGACAAGGAGCTTTGATTTCCCTTGCTATGATCATGATGCAGCAGAATGAAGTCATGAACCCCAAGGTTGCATCTATTCGAAAGACCCTCAAAAAGATTGTCGGTGATCGTCACGAAGATGCAATGACCAAATTCGGATGCGCACTGGCTTTGGGTATAATTGATGCTGGAGGACGCAACTGCACCATCGGATTGCAGACCCAGACAGGCAACCTCAACATGGCTGGTATTGTGGGCATGGCTGTCTTCACACAGTATTGGTATTGGTTCCCATTCACCCACTTCCTCTCACTGAGCTTTACCCCGACATCTATGATTGGTCTTGACCATGACCTCGACATTCCAAGCTTCAAATTCCACTGCGCAACCCGTCCGAGCCTCTTCGACTATCCTCCAGAGCAAGAAGTCAAGACCGATGAAGCGCCTACCCTTATTGCTACTGCTGTTCTTTCAACAACGGCCCAGGCGAAGCGGAGAGCACAGAAGAAGGAGCGCGCGCAGCGAAGAGAGAGTATGGATATTGACCAGACCCCAACAACGCCCAAGATCTCGGCTCCAGCTGGTGATAAGATGGACGTTGACGAGGAGACCGCGAAGGACAAGGAAGGAAAGGCGGAAGAGAAGAAAGAGGGCTCGGAAGGCGAGAAAGAGGGATCGACTCCCGCAGAGATCGCCAAGAAGAAGTTCGAGAAGGAGAAGGTCGGCTATGATATTGAGAACATGTCAAGAGTGCTTCCAGCTCAGCTCAAGTTCATCAACTTCCCAGCCGGCCGTTATAAGCCAGTCAAGAAGGTTAGTTTCGCCACAAGTATAAGCTCTGTTTCCGTACTGACCATTTTATAGCCAACTGGTGGTGTGATCCTACTCATCGATACCCAGCCTCAGGAAGAGAAGGTCTTGATTGAGGAGAAGTTAAAGAAGGCTTCCACCGCAAAGGCTGCCGCGCCAACAACTCTTGAGGACATGCGCAACGAGTCGTTCAATTTGCGGCGACAGGCAGATGCCCAAGGTGAGGCCTCAGGATCGGGTGCCGCGGCGGCCGCGGGTGTATTAACCGCTTTCGACGAAGACGACGAGGGAGGAGAAGAGGCCGAAGTTCCACGGGAATTTGAGTATTTCTCAGACAACGAGGACGAGTCTTCTTAGATGCGGTCGTAATTTTAGACATTAATGCTGTTCTACCGCTATTAATTAGAAGCGGCATACAATGTACAATAAATAGTTAAACATGGCATTTCTTGATAGTCGAAGTATAAAATTGACATTAATTGCTGCGTATAATCCTCAATTCAGGTTAAATAGATAGTATAGACAGAGACAAATCGCTCTTTTACTGCGTCATGCTGGTTGTCTACACCTGAAGGTTTTCAATTCACGACGGTCGGCAACAAGCAGGTACCGTCCCGCACGGGGTTCGCGATAACCTCAGATTCAGAGATGCGCCGCCGGCCTGCAGCGACAACCCCTATCTACTATCTAGACGGGGGCGGGCCCGTTTAGACAATTGCCACCTCTCAGCCTTCTCTTAGGCGCAGTGCCCATCTGCCGTTTTGCAGGATTGTCTGGGCCCGGATAGATCTGTGGGGAGACCCTGACGCGACGAATAATCCAGAAAGAGGAGATGGAGGAGAGGCTTGCCCTTGACAGTTGTGGGAGATCCAATGAGACGCCAAGAGGGGGTTTTCTCTTTACCGGAAATAGGTCCAAGACGGCAATGTTTATCTCTCGGCCGGCGGTGTTGCAATTATTAATATTTTGTCTTATGTAGCACCGGTATCTGTGGAGTAGATACCACTTGATACTAGATTGATAGAAGCTTCGCTCAGCCGTCTGTGACTGGCTCCGCGAATCCTGGTCTTCGGAAGTCCCGAGTCGGGAGGCTCTCTTACGATTGATTGCTCCTTGCTCCAGACAACCAGCCTCCCTGGACGTAGTTCGTCCCCCATGCAGTATTTGATCATGTCCCAGGCACGCCCGCACGGCGAACCTGGTGTTTGATAAGAAGTCCCCTTGTCATTCGTTAGTTGCCACGCCACGGCGACGATCGAGTCAGAAATTCTGGAACGAAGAGCTCTGTCAGGCAAGGTCTTGACTGGTGTATCTCTTCTGACGCCTACGCCTGACGCTGGAGGACGGAGGTACATGCTGTAGTAGTACTACGTCCGTACTGTTGTGCAATGTATAGTGCACAACTCCCAGCAGCTATGATGCTGCCAGCCCGACGTTAGCGGTGCCCCAGGATCTTATCTCCAGACTCCTGCTATCTACATACCCGTCGACCGGCCGTTTCTTTGCATATTTCTAGACCTTCTCCCATGTCCAGGTCTCGTGGGCCTTCATCTATCTTCAGCTTCTGTCCTGCAAAGACCTATTTGCTCTGGGATATCATTCTGTCTGGCCCGCAAGAGCCATCTCGACAATGAGGGACATCAAGAGCCTCGTGCCTACAGCGCAGCAGGTCAGGGAGCACATTCCTACAGCGCGCCAGGTGAAGGACCGCTTCACGACTGTTTCGGCATGGCAATTGCCAAAGCAGAAGTCCGCTCTGGCCCCAGAGTATGTCTGGACCAACGAGGATATGGATCCTGTCCCGGTCGAGAACCAGACTTGGACAATGTGGACTTGGATGGCGTATTGGGCCACTGATACCATCAATTTGGGTACCTGGGAGACAGCTTCGGCCATTCTCGCGGTTGGTTTGAGTTGGAGAGAGGCCATTCCTGCTGTATGCTCCTCGAACTGTCATTTCGAAGGCCCTGTTACTGACTCTCACAGATCACTGTGGGGACAACATGTGTCGCTATCCCTATGGTTCTGAATGGTAATTCTTTTCCAATTCTTGGTGAGTGCGAAAGTTTAATCTGAGACAATGCAGGTGCCATCGGTGCAAAACTCCACATCCCATTCTCGGTCGCCATTCGATCTTCCTTCGGGTATTATCTAGCATACTTCTGCATCGCCTCTCGTGCTATTCTCGCCATGTTCTGGCTCGGTATTCAAAGTTTTAACGGGTCTCAATGTATGACCATCATGATTCAGGCTATTTGGCCTTCATACGCAAATGTTCCGAACCATATTGCTGCGGGCCAAGGTATCACGACACAGGGAATGGTCAGGTGAGTTTCTTCAGCCCGACTTCATATTTAGACGGCACTAATTCGTCTTCAGTTACTTCCTCTTCTGGATTATCCAGTTGCCTCTTCTCTTGATCCCTCCTACACGTCTCAGATATCTCTTCCTCGTTAAGATGTTCGCCGCCCCTATCACAGCTCTCGCGACCATGGGATGGTGTGTCCACAAAGCCGGAGGATCGGGTGAGATCTTCTCTATGAAATCCACAGTTACTGGAAGTACAAGGGCATACCTTTTCCTGAGCTCCATGTCGTCGGTCACAGGTTCCTGGGCAACACTCGCCTGTAACATCCCCGATTTCTCCCGTTACGCCAAAGAAAGCAGGGGACAATTCATCCAGCTGCCCTTCCTCCCCGCCATCTTCACCGTCTGCGCCGTCATCGGTATCGTGACGACTTCCGCCACTACCGTAGTCTTTGGTGAGGCCCTGTGGAATCCCCTGGACATCATCGCCAGATGGATGGAATCTGGTCACGGTGGAAGAGCTGCTGCCTTCTTCGCCGCGGCTTCCTGGTACATTGCCCAAGTCGGTACCAACATCACTGCAAACTCGATCTCCGCCGCCAACGATTTGACTGTCCTCTTCCCTCGCTATATAAATATCAAGCGCGGATGCATAATCGCCGCTGTTGTCGGCGGTTGGGTCATCGTGCCATGGAAGATCTTATCTTCCGCCCAAACCTTCCTCTCTTTCATGGGTGGATACGCCGTCTTCCTTGCGCCCATCGCTGGCATCCTCGCGTCTGACTACTGGCTCGTCAAGAAACAAAAAATTGACGTCCCAGCTCTCTACGATCCGCGAGGCCGATATAGATATTGGTATGGCGTCAACTGGCGAGCTCTTCTCGCTTTCCTCGTCGCTGTCTGCCCCAATCTCCCGGGCCTCGCATATTCCATTGACCAATCGTCATCTGGTGGCGGAGACAGCGTCCACATCTCGAAGGGTGCACAGAATCTTTATACCTTCGATTGGTTGTATGGTTTCGTGTCCAGCATCTTCGTGTACACGGTCCTTTCGCTACTTTTCCCGGCTGCGGAGTCTTTAGTCATGACTACAGTCTATGGCCATGATATCACAGATGGCATCACGGCGTCAGACGCCGAGGGCTCTCTACCACAGGAGAACGAGAAGGGAATAAGTGAGAAGAATGCTATAACTACATCTGTGGAGTAGAGCGGGTCATATACGGATAGAAACAATGGCGTTTACAATTGTTTATTTACTACGATATTAACATGTACTTTGAGGTGAAGGAGGTGATACCCGAATATCTATCTGTCTCTAGCGGTACAGCTTCATTTTAATGAATTACTATTTACATTTTGAACCTACATCCATGCTACTTCTATTCTGCCCCTAATCCATCCCGTTTCCAAGATATCATTCTAAGTCAAGATATCATTCTCAAGTACGGAGTAGGTATGTACACACCCGGCCGCGGCCCGTCGGCCGAAAACCCCCAGGTCGTGAGATATGAGTTTTACAACTACCTATCTATCAAACCAACTATTCCCCGTCAATCTATCATTGGCTGACGGTAGATAGGTAGCCAGCTATGACTGGTGAATCTCTTTCTATCACTACATCATATTGCTGCAAATCCCTGTCGTTATACTGCATATAGATCCAAGCCCCCCTGAGAGTTCTTCGCCACCACAACTGCCTTGGAAAAACAGATCGCGGATCCGTAGGTAAGAGAATGTCTCACGTGCTGCTTTACTATAATTGATATCTTCTAGTTAGGTACGTACTGTGTAGGTAGATGCTCTTGAGGAATGGAAGTTCTTGGGTTAGTAGATGCTAGTGGCTATCAGGTGAATAAATAAAAGTTGGGATTTTTGATGAGAGGATAGGGAGGATGTTTGGGGTTTGTCGGCCCGTGGATTTCGTATATTGTATGGAGTAGTTCATATGTCTGTTCTGGTTCTTACATCTTGGGGTGGAAGGTGTGCTTCGAAAGCAGAGACTGGTTAAGTTAGTTGTCTGTTGGCGTTGCAAGATGCAGAAGCCTATCTAGATGCAGGTACTCTCTAAGCTCTCCATGTGAGGATTCAAGAATCCTCTTCCAGTTGTGTAAGGTAGAGGAGGGTATACATATATATGTGTGCGTATCGTGAACTACTACATGTATAATGATGAAGCATGGTAGTCAGTCAAGGAGTTTGGAGTTCTGCTTAAGTTCAACCACCACTGATGACTGAACTGAACTCGGCCCACAGCCTAGGTATTTATCAATCTTGTCTTGTATAAGCCCATACATCATCATCATTAGGTACTGCTACGTTCTTGTATATTGCGATTTTGGTCCAGCGCGTAGACTCTTTCTTACATGACTACTACCGCACTTGCATGTAAGTATATATCCTCCATCATCTAAAGCCCCGTTCAAAGTCCACCATATCTTTCTATTCGAGGGAAAAATTTCTCTCCGTACTCATGCCCATGGGATGAACTGCCGATCCCTGGGAGTTGCCAGACGTTGTATTGGCTGAAGACTACCCGAGGACTGGGTTCTCCGCACTTCTAGGAAATGCGTTCTTTCTGCCGCGGAATATATTTGGAGCCTCAAAACGACGAATATGACTTTTAGATCTATGTCTGCCGGGACGGTGGTTTTGACGGTTGGATTGAATACGCTGCGGGTTAATGTTCGGGCCATCTCAACCCGATGTGAGCTCGAGCTCGGTGGGATATTCAGATGAGATGCTGTGAGGTATGGTTTTTTAATAAGTGAGGTCCATGAGTCTGTTGTACATTTTCAAATAGCAGCCAGCCACTTAGATGTTTCGTTGCAATTACCTACTTGAGCTTCTTTTGATAATCATGCATGATGCTCCCCTCAAACCAGAAAGTCATCTGGTTATTGCTACTTCCCCTTTCCATCAACGCCGCAACCGTGACCTATACAGTCCCTCCGCAATCTCCCTCCGAAGCAGCAAGTCTTGATCCTGCACCTCTTGGAATCTCGTAACTTTGCCCCTTCGAACAAGAAAGAGATCTTCCATCCCTGACTGATCTGTTGCTAGATTCGAATTCTTCGCATTTCCCTCCTATTTCAAAAATGTGACGGCGACGGCTCAATGCTTGAAGAATTTCGAAGCTTTGACGGGAATGTGGCCGCCGATTAGGATTGGGGGGACGACGCAGTGCGTTTTCTTCAACCCTTTTTTAGAACATCGTGTGTGGGCTGATTGGGTTCAAGGGATCGTGCTACTTATGATGCTTCGTCTGAGGTATATGTAGATTATTCGGTTGCGGCATCGACAGATGCTCCATCGTCTTTGACGTTTGGACCTTCGTTCATGAGTCTGGCTGCAACGTACCCAGGGACGGTTGTCTTAGGTGAGTAGACTATGACTCGAGATTGCAGACCTCTCACTGAAATATCTTAGGACTCAATCGTGGCCATGATAATATATCAAACACCATTGCAGCAGCTCAAGTAGCAAAAGACAGGATGGGAAATCTCCTCGCCATAGAGTTAGGGAATGAACCCGAATGCAAGGTCCCCCATAGTTCCTCATTAACCTTCTCTTTCTAACTGACCCCAGACTGGGTCTCCGATGACCAACCAATTGCAAAAAAGGCAGCATCGTGGACCCCTGCCGTAGACGCAGAATCGCAGAACAATTGGGATATACTTGTAGGCTCGGCATTGAACAGCAAACGTATCATCCAAGCAGGGAACTCGAATGCGGCCCCTCCAACATGGGGAGCTGCCGAGTTGATCGCGACGGAGAACGCCACTGCCAAATCTTACGTCCGTGACTACGCTCACCATAATTACCCCGGAGGCACAGTTGAGAGCTTGATGAGCCATAGCAATATCGCAAGCAACGTTGCGACTTTCGACGCGGATATATCAGCTGCTGTTGGAACGGGGAAGGATTATGTGCTAGGCGAGACAAACTCAGGTATCCTATCCCTCTAACCCTCGATCTGCCCCTTGCAACAAGTATGTGTATCTGACAAGAGAAGTATCCGGCGGCGGAGCTGCAACCGTGAGTCCCCTTTTCGGCTCCGCCCTCTGGACCATGGACTATGTACTGCGCGCCGCGGCCGCCAACATCAAACGCGCTTACTTTCACCACGGCACTATCGGCGCCTGCTACTATTGTTTCTGGGGCCGCGATACCATGAGCTCGCCATACTACGGCGCCTATGCCGCGACGGCTGCCATGGCGGGCGGGTCTTCTATCGCTACTCTCGACGACGGGAGTACCAATTACGGCGGGTACGTGATCTTTGACGCGGCAGGGAGACCGCTGAGGGTGCTGCTGTATAACTCGGACTACTTTTCCGGAACTGGGACGCGCGGGAACGAAATCTTCGTGTTGGAGGGGCTAGGGAGCCGGCAGGTGAGAGCCAAGCGGTTGACGGCTGAGAGTGCGGAGGCGAGAGCGGATCAGGGGAACAATCCGAGTTTTGGGGGGCAGACGTTCGAGAATGCTACGTGTGTGATGCAAGGGAGGGAGACTTTTGAGACGGTCGGTGCTCCTGGGAGACGGGCTACATTCGCAGTGGCTGCTTCGGAGGCGCTGTTGGTGTATCTGCAGTAAGATGACGACGGGGAGTGATCTCTATCGTAGAGGGGATTCTGATAGCTCGGGGGTTGTTGATGCCTGCTGAGTAGACCATAGTCGTTGATTTCGTATCCCGTCTAATCCATTGCCTCCTCCGTCTCTGCTTACACCCATTTCACTCCCACAAACGCCCACCTTGGGACTCCGGTCTTAGTTCCCCTAGCTGATTTACCCGCGTAATCAGCTAAAGCGAGACTCACACCACCTATTTGGCTCACACCCAGCCGGCTCATAAAAACAGTATAGCAACCATCTAAAGGGGAAGACAACAAGTCAAAGATCAGAGCGAGTCCAAGCTCTAGGCGCCAAGCATTGCACAGATACAGCACAAGCAGAAGGACCACCCGAATAATTATGTAGCTTGATTCCAGCCGCAATCTATCTCACTGGCCTATCATCGGTACAGAGCAATAACCATATAACAAAATAATAAAACTTCCATATCACATCATTAACAATTAAATTTCCCCACCCGATAGGGCTTCCCTAGGTACAGCGAGCTTCTCAATCCGGATCTCTGGATCCGACAGCTTGTCGGTGTCCAACGCCACATATCGTGGATCCTAAAACCTGCCTATCTATCTGTCTATAGCTGGCAAGCATCACAGCATCACAGCATAAGATAGAATAAATAAATAAAACAACCCCATGAAAAGACCTCCCGTCCACAGAGAAGAAGAAGAGTAGTTCATCAGGGAGCAGACTCATAGCGCTAGCCGCGAGTAGGAGGTTTTTTATATCTGCGCAGTCTCTCATGTACCTTAGCTAGGTAATTATACCAAAAGCAGACCCTGGATGAAAAGAAAGCCTTGTGAAAAATAGAACTCTTTTTTCCACACAACAAGCCACTTATTCATCGATATCAAGAGATTCAAAAAACTAACGATAGAAGCGGAACGAAGGTTGATGTGAGGGGTAGAGAGAAAGAGGAGAAAGGGGTGATCTTGGTAGGTAGTAGACCATCCGAACCAGACACCATTGCAACTTTGCGAAAACGACGAGGAATAGACTCAAGGATCTAGGAGGTGCTGGGAATGAAAAATGTAGGGATGCCAAGCAACTTTGCCAGGTAATCCTGCTGTTCGGATGGAAGCCGATATCAAGGAGGACAGACAGGGGGCGCGTTACCCTTTCGTGGCATTCATGCATTAATCCTCACAAGGCTGCAACTCTTCTTTTCACCAAAGACAGACGACGATTCCTCGCGCGTGATGAATCTCCAATCCAATTAAATCCAATCCAATCCATCATTCCTATATGTTCATCAAAGCAAGCATCGCTCCACACATTCAAAACGAAACGCGTCCCCAATTTTGCAATTTACCTTAATTAACCGACGCGCCATCCCGAGCCTCTAAACCTCCTGCTCCCCTTCCAGCAAGCCTCCCTCCCTAACTTAACTTATCCTCACTCCCCCACCTCACCCCGCAAATTCCCAATCCCAATCCCAATCCCAATCGCAACCATGTCCATCATCCAACCCGCCCCAGAACCCCTCAAGAAGCGCGGTCTTCCACGAAAAGCGAGCTTATTCTCGCCCACCATTCAAGATATGACCATCACAAGGGGGAAAGCGACAAAGAGCACGCCTTCGAAAAGCAGTCCTTCCAAAAAAACAACATCGAATACAGCGAAACCCGGTCCTGCCGCGGCTCAGCAATCAAAGATCTTGCGCGCTATAGCTTCTTCCAATCCCTCCTCATCATCCCCATCAACTATCTCCCAGCCTCCTCCTACTCCATCGAATCCCTCCTCCTCCGCAGCAGCAGCAGCAGCGCCTGCGGCGAGAAAACAACCACTTCTCATAAACGATTTTCCCATCCGAGCCAAGATGCGCGGAAGGAGCCCGGCGCAGATCCCAGAGACGCCGTTACCGAGTAATTATAAGAGTGTTGCGAATAAAGTGACGATGGTGATTGTGGCGATGCCGATTCTGTTGGTTACGAGCTGGGTGCTTTATGAGCGCTGTGAGTTATTTATTTATTTATTTCCCTCCTCCCCCGCCCCGTGCGTTCGTTCGTTGGTTTTATGTGGGAAAAGTGAATGGAGGGGGGGTGTTGAAGGGGATATGGAATGGAACATTTGAGCTAATTACTTGGGTATAAATGTAGTGGTGTTGGGCGAGGAGAGGAAATTATTGGTACAGCCTACTACAGAAGGGAAGAGGGAGAAGAGGGAGCTGTGATGCAGGTGTATATATGGGGGTGGCATGAGTGGATGGATACATATATAAGGCATTGGCATTGGCATTGATTGGCATTGCAAAAAGTTATGAGGGAATGAACCAATGGAGCTCTGGGTTTGGCAGTTTTTGGATACGTGTATGTATAGGGGAATCTCAAGACTTGTATATATCATATATATACCCAGGAGTAGTTGGGGTTTGGATTGGGCGGGAAAAGAAAGCACCTCACTGTTATGTATTATTACTTTACTCAAACTTCTGGTTCAAAAACAGTGTGATTGTCAAGCAATACCGTCCTAGGGCGATGAAGTGAAAAGGTATAAATTTGCTCCCAATATCAATGCTCGATTTCCAAGCCAGTTCAGTAAAGACTGCACCAGAAACGCCCAAACCAGTACGCCCCATACCCCGCAGAAACCGAAGACAGACTCCGCCCTTGCCTTCCATATCCCCGAATTATATCAATCTCCCCAGCTAGACATATTACCACCCGGACCTAGCGAGCGGACTTCCCACTTTCGGTGCCCATTGCAAGCTCTTCCTCCTCGCTGCCATCAACCGCATCATGACACTCTCATCCTTCTTGACATCCAAAATTCCCGTATTACCACCATCCGTAGAATCAAAGTATCTCTTCACAGGAGGCGCGGTCTTTTGAACAAGTTGTTCCTTATGCAAGAAATAAGGTGTCTGCCCGCCCGGCGTCTCCTCGCCATAGAGTCCATCCTCCCCGTATGAGGATATAGCTTCAGGTGCGGGAGTAGCAGGGACCGGAGAGAGCATGAGTGTTTGATCTTCATCGTCGTTTGTAGACGAGGGTGAGCGGACCCATTGCACAGAGTCCCTACGGCGAGATTTAGAGGTTAACGGGGTTTCGGGAAGGCCGAGGAAGTCTTTTGTTGGCGAGAGGGAGGAAGTCGTGTTGCGGGCAGGTGTGGTGGTGGTTGAGGGGATGAGGGCCCCATTTAGGTTTGCGAGAGCACGCGGTTCCATGCTCTTGCGTCTGCGATGACCGCCGCGAGGAACCATAGCTGTATCCACAGCGTACGCAGATTCGTCTAGCCATGTATTTTCGCGCTCACAGCTTGTCTTTGTCAGTAAAGGACAAAGGAAGTAAAGTCGAGCAACTTACTCAAGTACCCATCCAACCCCAACACAAGTCACCACTCCACCGGTTTCTTTCACTTTCTCAAGTGTTCTTCGACCACCATCCTTGAACACTACGTGGGTGATGCCAATCCTGCTTCCATCTTCCTTACTTCCATTCCAGTCCCATCTCTTCACGCACCGAGCACCCATTTGTACCAGTAGCTCCACGAAGAGGCCAGAAGCATCAGCACCTTCGGTTGTGTGAACATCAACGAAAACAACTGCTCCTTTCAACAGAGCAGGGTTTAGATCTCGGCGGGGCGTACGCGCCGGAGTACCAATTGTAGACCAGACATCTGCGTCAGCTTTTGAAGGAGTAGCGAAAACACCTTGGATGTCGGCATCTTTCCGTGGAGAATGAGATCGAGCGTTCTTTGAAGGCGAGTATGAGATTACTGTATTACTTCGAGGGAGTGTGTTTGTAGGCCTCTGGACTGGAAGCTTCGAGATACTGGCGCTGCGCTTCATTGATGAAGGCCTCATCGGAGAATCTTCTGCTTCAGCCTTGAGTGGAACCTTCGAGACGGTATGGAGGACCCGCTCCGTTAGGACTCGTCTTGGGGTAACAAACTTGGGTGTCGACGGTGCTTGGGACGGAAGTTCAAGAAGAACTGGATCAATTGGCATGGCATTCTCATCACCATACTCCTGGCTGGTCTCTGAAGGCGCGGGTTCATCGTCGGTGGTGTTGACAGGCCCACGATCATCCTCACTCTCATTTGCCTCGGATTGGTTGATGAGTTCAGCGTCATTCTCAGTCTCAGTATGGGTGAACTTGTCAGCCATTTCCTGGACATTTTCAGTATCAGGCTCAGCGTTGATGAACTCATCCACCATATTCTCGGCATTTTGATTGTGCTCAGGTTCGGAGTTGAAGAACTCATCTACGATATCATCGACATTTTGGATGTTCTCCGGCTCGTAGCTGGCCAATTGGTCCACGGCATCTTCGCTATTGTCAAGCTGATTTGAGTCAAGAAGTGACATCTCATCAGCTTCGAAAGCAAGAGCCAAGTCTTCCTCGTCAAGCTCAACCGGGGCAAAATCGTTCTCGTCAATAATTTGCTCCTGGTCCTCACCAGCTATCTGCATCTCATCTCGGACGGACATTTCATCTTCAAAGTAAGAGCTTTTGACGGGGGATGGCTGCACAGCAGCTCCCATATCGGCAGGGATGGCGTTGTTTGTTTCACTAGTTGTTGGCAATGCCTTTGAACCGCTCTTTGCAGATTGCCCAGGACTCGCAGACATCCACTCGCTCAGCTGTTTCGCCAATGGAGTGAATCCAATTTGTGCTTTACGCTCCGACCGTTGAACAGTAGATTTGGCTGTCCTCGGGGTCTTGTCAATAGTAGTGAAGGGTGTGGGGGTGGCCGGCGAAGACGTAAAGTTGGGAGAAGAGACCTTGAATTCGCCAAGAGAGGTGGGTGAGAATTTCGGAGATCCTAGAGCAAGTTCATCCTCAGAGTCAGAATCATAGAAAGGATTCTCGTCGGCTTCGCGAAGATCGAATGCTCCTGTACTATTTCGCGGAGGAGAAGCTATCGGGGTTGTGCTCTCAGTTTCCATAGGGCCTCCAGCCACGGTTATTGTTTCCTCCGTTACCATAGGATCATCGTCTTGTGTAGATTTCGGCTGTTTCTCGATCTCCTCAACAACTGGCTCAGAAGGTGAGAGTGCCGGGTCCGAGTCACGTGGCAGGATCGAGGAAAGACGACCAGTGAATTTCAAGCTCGGTGCAGACAGCATATCCGACCCAGAGGGCTCTTCCGCTTTTGCTGGGCTTCCAGCTGAAGCGTTTGTCAAGGCACTCGGAGGAAGCATCCGTCCTGGACGAACTGCACTCTTTGTAAGAGTTCTCGGTGTTCCAAATCTGGAGATCTTGAACGTTGCTTCTCTTGGTGTTGCGCTGGGCATGCTATCATTTCCAGATCTAGTTGGAGAGCCATTCTCAGCCACCTTCATAGGTGATTGCGGACGCCTGGCTGGTGACTGGAGTAGTGAAGCTTTTAAGGGGGCACTTGATTCCGTAGGTTGTGGTGGCGGGAGCGATAGCTTGAATGGTGGGCGAAGCATAGAGTCTCCAAGGTTAGCTCTCTCAGGCGAAGCCTTCAACGAATCCTTGAATGGAGACGACGGCGGTCGCCGAGCTGGGCTGGCTAGAATTGATCCACTTAACTCCTGGGTCACGGCACTGTTGACCGTGGTGGAGGTCGAGAAGTCCAGTCTTTTGGCGGAGGTGGAGGTAAAGATGCTTCCTGGAGGCTTCACTGGACTCTTCGTCAATGGCTTCATGGGGGTCTTCTCAACCGCGGCAAGCTCATCATCATCCGAGTTGTTGTCCTTCGCAGTAGCAACCTGAGTCGCTTTCTTCGGGCTGAGTGGCGATGATTTCTGTTCCTCAACCTTGGCCCGGCCGCGAGTTGCTCGAGCCGTTGTGGCATTTGCAGCAGGCTTTCGAACCGGCTTGGCTTTGAGCCCCGTGGCCACTTCTTTGGGTTTTCCATTGACGTTCGCGGGAGGAACCACGTTTTCCTTGTCTGGTTCTTCGAATTTAACAGACTTCTTTGGTGCCGGTGCTTTGGAGATTGTAGCGGCTCGACCGCGGGTATTCTTCTTCACAGGTTCTTCCGCGACGACCACCGTCTCCGCCGGAACATCGACCTTCTTCGGGCGTCCGCGAAGGGATCTAGTAGGTTCAGGCGCTGGGGGTTCAACCGCAGCCTTCCTAGGGCGACCCCTAGTGGGCTTTGCTGGAGCTGGAGGCTCTTCTTGCATTTCGGGTTCAGGCTGGACAACGGCAGCCTTCTTGGCACGTCCTCTTGTTGCCCTCGGTAATTCTGGCTCGATGGTTTCCTCTATGAGCTTATCGGGTCTGTCGTCTTGAACATCGTCGGCGCGAGTCTTCCGCTTTGATATAGATGTGCTGCGGGTCACCTTTGCTTTCGAAGCGGCAGTAGCGATCTTGGTTGTCTTGACACCAGTGTCAGTCGTCTTAGCAGCCGCGCGGGCGCGAGTTACACGCTTTGGCGGAGATTGGTCGTGCATGTTGGCTGTATTGGTTAGAGATGGGTTGATAGAATTGATTACATTGACGCGATGGGCAGTTGTTTAAAGGCGGTGGTGACCTTGCATCTGCGGTATGTTGATATTTGTTGATGCGCAGGGAGGACGGTTCTAAATACGGCTAGCGGCGTTGCTATACCAACTGGTAATCACGTGCACGGCTCATTCTTTCGGGGTTCGGTAATACTTATGTCCGAGCCTCCGAGCTCATGGTGAAGCATCAATTGCTCTTTCAACAAAACCAACATCAGCTAGCAAAAAACTGGCAGACAACTGGCTCCAGTTTACATAGAAAACAATAAAGTAGAGCCAAGTGCAGCTGAAAGATTCAAGAAATTAAATGTCTGAAAGACATTGTAATCACTTGATCAGATCCATGTCTGTTTGATATTGACCTAGAAATGCCGCATACGCCGTGTCCCTTTCGAGGCGAAGATAGCTACCTACCTACCTAGGTAGAGACCATGATATGAAGATGAAGCTCTGAACTACCTATGTAGGGTGCAGACCGTAGTATGGGAAACTCAACCATAGTATGGAAGACTCAACACGGACCTCTCAGCCTTGAGCCAGACTGTCAGTGTCGGGGGCATCAAGAGCCCCTTACTCCGTATGCCTCTTGGTGTATCGTATCCCGAAAGAGGGGTCATCTTTCGCTGGACAGCCGTCACAGTGATATGCTGCTCGTCCGAAGAGTTGGAGGCGGAACGGTCAATGCTGGCATAGTACAGTAAGCATATGCCCTACGCCAGACAGACCGGATCTGCTCCAGTTCTGAAAAGGCATGCTTTGCGATTGATGCGGAGTTCAATCTTTACAAGTTACGGCTTTACTCCGTACTCCGTACTTCGTATCCAGACTTCGGGGACCTCACGTGACTGTGGCTTTGGAGCTGCCGGTAGCCGGATGGGCCGGGAGTGGCTGGTGGCTGGTGGCTGGGGGAGAATCAGCCATGACGCGATGCACTCGCGGTGCCTTGCCCTTCCTCTCCTCCCTTGTGTGCGTTTGGTTCCGAATTCTTGCGCCGTAATGAATGAATGAATGGTTTTCCCTCTCTATAAGGGACCGACCATTCTTCTTCCCCTTAGGACCCCTCTGTGTACTCCGTATCTCGTCTCACTACGCTCGTCCGGCACAAATTGTTGCTTACCAGTTATCGGGCCCTGATCAGCAAGGATCGTCGCCGGGATCTAATCTCAAACGCCTCGCCTTTGGCTGCGCCATCGTACGCCTCGACGACTGTGGCTCTGTCTGTGGCACATGGTGGCATCGCCCTGCGTGTGCATAAACGCCTGCATAAAGGCTGCATAAACGGCTGCATAAACGATTGCACAGTGCGCTTCCATCACTCATCTGTGGCTCTGTATACAACTCAGCCCTTCACCGATACGTCCGTTCTTATTCCAACGTTGCTGTATTTATTATTACCTACATTCCCCCGTAAAACCCGTCGATAGTCCGTCTTGGCTGGGCCATCTGCTTCTGCCATTTGTCCGTATGTTGCTGTGTCTCTACTCCGGAGCTCCACTCGCCGAACGCCGTCATCCCCCGGTCAATTTCTGGTCGCCATCCTTTCCTCATATATAACTCCCGGTCAACCGCATCCACCAACACGAGATCCCTCAAAACCCTCGCGCCCCCCCGCAGGATCCTGTCTTGAAACGTTTACAAAACACCGAGCCCGAATTGACTGTCCTGCGGTGCAGTAGGGTGTGTTGCAACTCTTCTCGGGGCCCCTATACGACTCTTTACGACTCTACCTACGACCTACGATCATCCTAGAAATACTCGTCGATCTCCCGTCCTCCCCTCTAACGTCATATCCCTACTTTTTCGCATACTCTCTCTTCATTGATACTCGATACTCTCCCAGTCCATTCTTCCCGCGTCGGCGCGCTTTCAATTCGCCTTGATATTGTGCCAGGTCTTCGCCATGAAGGTCCTCGGTTCTGTTCTGGCCTCTGTCGCCGCCCTTTCTGTCGCTGATGGTGAGCCGCTCTCCGTCCAGAAGCCCCCTCACGAATGCTAACGTCCCCTCAGCCTACTCTGTCGTCGTTCCTCGAGATGCTTCCCCCAAGATGCAGCTGGTGGACTCTCTCGCTGTTGCCGGAGCAGCCGTCGAGCGCGCACTGCCAAATTCTCCCTCAGGGGGGTATGCGCCAATGGAGGTTTCTTGCCCCGCGGACCGACCTACCATCAGAGCAGCCAGTAGCTTGTCCCCCAATGAGACGGCATGGCTCCCGATTCGAAGGAATAATACCATCGCTCCCATGAGAGAGTTTCTCTCAAGGATGAACATCTCAGGCTTCGACGCTACTTCATATATCAATGGCATCCAGAACAATGCCAGCGCGTTGCCAAATATCGGTATTGCAGCTTCAGGGGGTGGGTACAGAGCCTTGATGAACGGTGCTGGTTTCCTCGCGGCTGCAGACAACCGCACAATCAACTCAACTGGAGCAGGCGGGATCGGTGGTCTCCTGCAATCGGCTACCTACGTTGCGGGTCTATCCGGAGGTGGATGGCTGATGGGTTCAATCTACAGCAACAACTTCACTTCCGTCCAAGATCTCCGTGATGGTAGCAAGGGTTCCTCGGTATGGCAGTTCGGCAAATCAATCTTCGAAGGGCCAGATTCTGATGGCATCCAACTCGTCAGCACGACCGACTACTGGACGACCATCCTGCACGAGGTCAACCAGAAGAGAGACGCGGGGTTCAACGCCTCCATCACTGACTATTGGGGACGCGCGCTCTCTTTCCAACTCGTCAACGCTACCGATGGAGGACCAGCCTACACATTCTCCTCCATCGCTCTCCAGCCAAACTTCGTCTCCGGCGAAATCCCCATGCCATTCCTGGTTTCCGATGGCCGAGCTCCCGGAACCCAAATCGTTTCCCTCAACTCCACCGTCTTTGAATTCAACCCCTTCGAACTCGGCTCCTGGGATCCGACAACCTACGCCTTCGCCCCGCTCCGCTACGTCGGCTCCAACTTTTCCGCTGGTGTCGTCCCTGAGGATGGAAATTGCGTCGAGGGCTTTGACCAGATCGGATACGTCATGGGCACTTCTTCGACGCTCTTCAACCAATTCCTCCTTCAGATCAATGGCACCTCTATCCCAGGCTTCATCGAGGACGCCCTGACCGCCATCCTGACCGACATTGGTGAAGACCAGAACGACGTCGCGCAATGGCAGCCCAACCCCTTCTACAACTACAACAATGACACCAACCGCAACTCAATCTCGCAGCAACTGACTCTCACCGATGGTGGCGAGGACGGACAAAACATCCCCCTGTACCCGCTCATCCAGCCTCAGCGTAAAGTCGATGTGATCTTCGCCGTCGATTCGTCCGCCGACATCAACAACTGGCCGAATGGTACCTCGCTCGTCGCAACCTACGAACGCTCTTTGAACAACACTATCGAGAACGGCACCGCCTTCCCCTCCGTTCCCGACCAGAACACCTTCGTCAACCTCGGCCTCAACACCCGCCCAACCTTCTTCGGCTGCGACGCGAGTAACATCACTGGCACCGCCCCGCTCATCGTGTACATCCCCAACGCACCCTACAACACTCAATCGAACGTCTCGACCTTCACCATGTCCTACAGCGACGACCAGCGCAACAGCATCATCGAGAACGGTTACAATGTCGGAACCATGGGCAACGGCACCTTGGACTCCGAATGGCCAGCCTGCGTCGCCTGCGCCGTGCTCTCACGTTCCTTCACCCGCACCGGCACCGCCGTCCCGAGCGCCTGCAATGACTGCTTCAACCGCTACTGCTGGAACGGCACCACCAACAGCACGACCCCGAACACCTACTACCCCGACTACAGACTGACGAACTCGACCGCGGACGCGTCAGGGAAGAAGAAGAACGCCGCTACGTCGACGGCGACCGCAGGCTTGGGCTTTAGCCTCTTCGCCGCGGTCTCTGTTGCCGCCCTCCTTATTTAAGCGAGATAACCGCAGGGCGTGTAGAAGATGCCAGAAAAATTCTGGTTTGTACACAGATTGTACACAGATTGTATATAATAAGTATAAAAATACTTCCTATTCAAAATGGATGTGGGGTACCTATTTAAAAATGTACATTTCTTCCTTTCTTCTTCTTCAGCAATGTTTTTTACATTCTTTTTCTTTTAACAGGGAAAACTAAGGCAAGGAAGGAAAGAGGAAGGGAAAGGAAGGCAAGCAAGCATGTATGGATTTCCGGTCAATTTGTAGGCCTGGTGTAGATTTAGTTAGTTAGCTATCTAGGTACCTTATAGAACTAGAAAGCTAGGAGAAATATAAGAAGATGATGATGACGAGGATTGATGATTAACTTGTAGATGATTTGATTTGGGTATTGCGTACCAACTGCTATGCTATGCTATGTTATGCTATTCATACCTGAGAATCTGAGGTTGAGTTTCGGGAAAAAGGGGGGAGGGTGTGGGGTAGTAAGTATTAAGCGAAACTTGAACTCGGCAGGAACGTAGGTAGGTAGGTATCTATCTCGTGGATCTAATAATGTCTGTTCTTTTTTTATTTATTTATTTTTTTTGTATATATACAAAAGATACAAGATGTCTCATCCATGCGAACCTCAATTTTCCCTTTTTTCTTTTTTCAAGGTTCTTTTTGGCCCCCCTTTTTTGGGGGTGGGGGTGGTATGTACATAGAGGATGAGGATGAGGAATGAGGAAGTTGAGTACAAATATATCCAGAACGCCATTCCATGTCATGCCAATGCCGGGGTATCCTGAATCCGGGATGAAGAAAAAGAACAACAATAAAAAAAAACGCAAGTAAGGGAAAAAAAAGAAAAATGAAAGGGGAGAGAGAGAGGCCCCTCATGATGATGATGATGATGCAGACATCCTACATCGACCCCCACACAACCTACTCATGGCCCTCTCATTCACGGGTGCTCTTCCCCAATCAAAAGCCATCCCGACACACACGACGGTAAACGCAACAAACAGCAGACCGGCCACGAACCTCGCGATCTGCTCCTCGACGCTGGGCTCCTCCTCCATGCGGCGGACGAGTTCTTGGAGACGCGTGCGTTGCCGCGGACATGGATGTTGCAGATACAGTTCTTCGTATGAGGGGGGCTGGGAGGAGGGGGTGAGCGGGGAGAGCGTGATGATACCAAGACCAGGGCGTGCGGAAGAGGGGGGCGAGTCGCGGTAGGGCTGGTAGGGGGAGGGGCTGGGGGATGAGGGGTGCGATGTGGGAGAGAGGAATGTGTTGGATGAGGGCGAGTAGAGATGCGTGGGCCGTTGGCGTTGGAGGGTTCGGATGTATTCGTACATGGTCTGGGGAGGATCATCAAGCGGCGTCGCTTTCGCGCTCTCCTCCTCGTCTCTGTCTCTATCGTGACGGACTGGGGAGCCTGAATTCATGTCTTTCCCTGCGGGCCGCCGACGTGCGGATTCGGGCGTGAGGAGGGAATCGTCGGTGTAGACGCTCAAGGGCGACGAGGGGGTATCGAGGTATGGGGTGATGGGGATCTGGAGACGGATACGGGGGAGTGGAGGGAGGGCTTCATGGAGCCTGACTGAGGGCACTGAGGGCTGTGGATGAGTGTTTGGGTTCTGATTCTCGGAGGCCATCTTCGCAGCCTTGTGTATCGTTCTCAGCCTTGTTCGGCTGAATTGGTTATGTAGATCTGTAGCGTGAATATTTCAAAGTCTGGGGATGGGGCCGCAAAATAAACCCGCGATTCTTTCCTCTTCACCACAGAACCAATCTGCCGAGTCAAGAATGAATGGTCTGCAATCTGCACCCAAAGTTGGAGAAAAAGAGCTGGACATCAGTATTTAGCAGCCTTGAAGCTATCCGTGGGAAGCTCCTAGTAGGCGGGCTGAGCCACATCTTGACAGAGCCACGTCTCAGCCTTGAATTGGATTCCGCCGTTTCGTTGCGGCTCCTGCAGGAACTCTTTCGGTTATTTTCATCTGGCAGCGCTGGTCAATGTGATAGCCGTGGTCTCGCTTTCGAGCTCTCGAGGAATCCTGAATCCTATGCATTCTGATGCTTGTATCAATCCACAACCACACCGAGGTCCGAGAGTAGCCAGGCTTCCTTTGGACGGCGGGGTCCAACCCGTACTATGTATCTCTGAAACTGACCATGTGATCCACAGTTCAGCCTCCCGCGGAATCCAAGCCCAAGATAAGAAGTACAGGATGCTGATATGATGATAGAGATGCAAGAAGACTGCGATAGGAGAGGATGCCAGCGACTCGGTTGTCGAGGATTCTGCCGCTCCAGACCGTCTGCGGGGTCCTAAACGGGACAAGGTTTCCCGCAAGGACTTACTGCTTTCGCCTTACTCCGTCGTGAGTCCGGACTACAGCACTCGCGCAGCATTGGCGATAAGAGCTTCATCAGAATATCCCATCCATATCGACAATACCTTGCCTATCAACCCCACACCCTCACGTCGCCGAAGGATATTCCGTCCATACAATATTTTACCTATCAACCCCACACCTTCAGGTCGCCGAAGAACGCGATATGATGCCTGCAATTATCTATCCCACCCTTACTGTACGATACCCCGCCCTGTCTTCTGCTCTGCTGTATATACCTAGGTAATCTGTTGTATATAATGCAATCCACCTCCTTTGATCCAGCTCCCTTTTCTCCCCATTCCACCCCGGAAAAGCCTCGTGCACCTGATTAAAACACTCATAATGTCAGTAGCAACAGTGACGACAGCCTCCGGCGCAACATGGCAAGAGGTTGCCGCGGACAGACAAGCCCACCGCGCTGCAACCCTCGCTGCCATTAAGCCAGCCCTCCCAGACCTGACCTCCATCCCTCTCAACACAATCCCTCTTGCAAAGGAGTTTCTCACAGAAGCCGAAATCAAGATCACCGAAAGCACGGTCGAGGAGCTAGTTCCCCAGCTTGCTATAGGGAAACTTAGCGCCGTGGAAGTCGCCAATGCTTTCTTACGCCGCGCTGGATTGGCCCAGAAAGCGGTACGTCTCTTCCCCCTCCCGGCCTTTTGCTATCCTGGCTAAGTGAATGGGTGACCAGACAAACTGTGTCACTGAGCTGCTCCCTGAACGAGCGCTCGAGCGGGCTGCTTATCTCGATGCCTATCTCAAGGAACATGGCAAGCCGGTCGGGCCATTGCACGGGATTCCTATAAGTGTGAAGGAGCATCTCGCAATGAAAGGCCTTGATCATAATGGAGGGTTTGTGGCGTGGGTGGGAAAGGTTCCCAAGGAAGATGCACTTATCTTGCAGATTCTGTGGGCGGCGGGAGCGGTGTTCTACGTTAGGAGTCCGCAGCCGCAGACGCTGATGCATCTGGAGACTAGTGGGAACCTCTACGGGTATGCTCTTTTCTATTGAGGAGGCATTGAAAGAGGTATACTGATCGTGAGGGTGCCCAGGGTTACGACGAATCCATACAATACCACTCTGACCAGTGGAGGCTCGTCTGGTGGTGAAGGTGCACTGTTGGGTTTCCGAGGAAGTATTTTGGGTATTGGTACTGACATCGGTGGTTCGATCCGATCACCCGCCGCAAACAATGGTATGGCCTCTATCCCCCCAAAATAGGAAAGAGTTTTGCTAAGTGACCAAGGTGTTTATGGTGTGAAGCCAACAGTTGGGCGTCTCCCGATTTCCGGGTGGTTGTCTGCAATGGCCGGGTCTGAACATATATTAGGCACAATTGGTCCTCTGTGCACCAGCTTGGAAGGCTGTAAACTCTTCATCAAGTCCATCATTGCTGGACAACCTTGGTTGAGGGAACCTTCACTGCTTCCACTTCCCTGGAAAGAGGAAGACGCCTACAAAGGAAGAAAGCTGAAGGTTGCAGTTCTTTGGGATGACGGGGTGGTGAAGCCTCATCCTCCCGTTACTCGCGCAATGAAGAAAGTAGTTGAAGAGCTGAAGGCGAAAGGCCATGAGGTTGTGGACTGGACTCCATACAAGCACGACGAGGCCTGGGCGATCATCGTAAGCCCCGTTCCTAACCTCTCCGATTCCCAAGCTGACTCCGCTAGGCAAACCTCTATTTCTGCGATGGCGCTGCCGAGGACTTGGCCATCATGAAGGAATCCGGCGAGCCTCTACGTCCCCTCTCAGAGCATATCCTGAAGAACAAGCATGTTCAAAATCATACTATGGCCTCGTTGTGGAAGGCTACCCAAAAACGCGACGCTTACCGTACAGCGTACGCCAACCTCTGGAACTCGACGGCTACCTCCCGGGGACCAAATGGTGAGCTCCAAGGGATGGTGGATGCCATTCTGTGCCCAGTAGGCCCTGGGTCAGCCCCTAAACTAGACACCAGTAAATGGTGGGGCTACACTTCTCAATGGAATCTCCTGGATTACCCCGCTGTCGTCTTCCCCGTGGATAAGGTGGACCCGGCGAAGGATTCCGCGAAGGTGGAATACACGCCCCGGAACGAGGATGACAAGTTCAACTGGGATCTTTGGGAGAAATATGGGGCCGAGGGGTACAAGGACGCGCCTGTGAGCTTGCAACTTGTCGGACGGAGGTGAGTTTTCTCTTCCTGATTTGCGAATGAATGGGAGACGACATAGATACTGACAATCATATGTAGATATGAAGACGAGAAGCTGATCCAGACTCTGGAGATTGTGAAGGAGGAGACTGGCTTGCCATACGTTAAATATGTGTAAAGCGAATCTCCATACTGTAGGATACTGAACAGTGAACACCCAATGTAAATTCAAGATCCCAATGTCCCTGTCCTTAGTTAAATTGCAAGTGCCCAGTGCAAGTGCTTTCAAATACATGCATCGCCACCGATCTCAGTATCACAGCTTTCATTTCCATCTCCTTTTACCTAAATCGTCCCTATCAGACCCCGCATCCATACCTTAGCCAGTAACTGCTGACAGATCTACTACTGCGGCCACAGGTACCACAGTGCCTACCCTACGAGCGCCGTGCTTGATCTCGTAAATAGTTGTTAACCTTGTGTGGTGGAGTTGCCACACAAGGTGCCTTGCCTACATCACGGGTCCTTTCGTCTTTCCAGTCAAAATGAAAATCTAGCTACAAAATAAGTCTAATCCGCCCTGGCCCAAAGATATTCACTTTTTCCGCATGAGCATCGTCCAAGCAAATACCCTGTCGCGTCAACCACACTGCGGAAAGACATCCAGTGCTAGCAACACATACAAGTTCGCACACAGCAAAGTCGCCAACAGCAAGAGACAACCAATAGTCTTCATCAGATCACAATTTCAAACCAAACACCTACAACGGCAACCCAGCTAAGCTGACGCCCACCATGAAGAATCGGGGTAATATGCTCCTCGCCATCGAAGTTACTTTGGGGGTACTTATAGTGCTGTTCGCTATATGCGTCTGCATAGAGTTCTGCTGCCCATCGGGCGACGAGCAGGTCGATGAAGAGAACCCACGGGGTCTATATCAGTCTCGAGAAGCTAGGGAATCCGAGAGGAGAGGTTTCGGGTTTGAGGACCTCGTCTACTGGTCGGTAATCTGGCCGGTAATATTAGGAGACTCATGAGGTACTGCAGGCAAAGTATGAAGCTGGGAAATGTATCATTAGTGGAAAGGCTTGAGATGCTCTTGCTCAGTTGGTGCAAATTCAGGGTTGGTAAACCGCGAAAGCAAAATTCGGAAGGGGCTCGAGGAGACAGTATACTGCAGTGATGTGGAAGGAACCCTGGGACATCTGTGTATAAGAGAACTTCCTCTTCCGTGTCTCTTCTTCTTCCTTTTCAATCATCAAGATTCAAATATACATTGACTCAATATCAATAAAAATGTCATTCGTTAATACACAGTCATTCTTACCACCGTAAGTACTCAGATCTCTTTGAATATTCAACAAAGCTGACGTATGAATAGTCAACACTCCTACAATTCCCATAATAGTCTCGACCTCGATAAGATCTGTGTATGGGAGAACTTCCTCTTCGTGTCTCTTCTTCCTTTTCAATCATCAAATATACCAAAAAGCTGCCTGGCAGAGTAATATCATTAAGAATGACATTCGTTAGCTCGGCTTCATTCTTACCTCCGTAAGTACTCAGATCTCTTTTAATAATTAACAAAACTGACGTATAAATAGTCAACACCCCTTCCACGATCTCCACAATAGTCTCAATCTCGACGACATAAATCCGGCATCGCTACACATCAAACATACCTAAAACCTGCCGGGCAGGTAATATCATTAAACGTGTCGCTCGTTAGCTCGGAATCATTCTTACCTCCGTAAGTACTCAGATCTCTTTGAATATTCAACAAAGCTGACGTATGAATAGAGACCATCCTTATCACCGCCTCAACACCGACGACTTCGTCGTCGTCGCCCTCGACGACGACAATCCTCGCCCGTCCGAGCCGTCTCTCATCCCACTCGAGCTGGAGGCAGGCCCTGGAGACCGAGTTCCCACCTCCAAGTACTATCTTTTTCACGAGATATAAACACAGCAGATACTGACAGTTTATAGATTCAAAGCGGTCGTTTCCTTCTTCCGCCGATGCGGCCGCGCAAGGGAGGGTGGGACTCGGGATTCGGGGCCTGCCAGACAGCGGTGGGATGAGAGGTATGATATAATTAGCCCACGACTCGTTATTTTGAAGAGTTCTGACTTGGTACAAGATGGAAGATAGCCAAGGACGTCGCCGAGTTCGTGACGAATTGTGTCGATCGTGGTTGGGGTGTTCACAGCGATCAAAATAGGGAGGGATTTAGGGGCTTTAGCAGTGCCTATAGGTACCTTAAGTACTGTCTATAGCGTACACTCTCACCATTACTGTCGCTGTCGCTGTCACTGTCGCTGTCACTGTCACTGTCATTGTCACTGTCACTGTTGTTGTCACTGTCACTGTCGTTGTCACTGCCACTGTCGTTGTCACTGTCGCTATTACTATTACTATTACTGTCGCTATTGTTCTTCTTGTCGTTAACTGACCTCGGGACAGCAACTTCGAGTCCCTGTCGGAAATGATCCTGCCCGGAAAGCCCTAATCTCCATAGACCTGCGTGAAGTACGCCTCTGCCCAATCTTCTGCCGTCCATGTTTCTTTCCCTGGAAGCGTCTTAATGTACTTAGTCGATTTGCAAATGATCGTCAAAAGCTTGTCATGGTAGTTGGCTGGTACTTTTGCTTAGAGATATCGAGCCAGCTGTGCTCTGATCTGCGGGGATCGATCTAAGAGCTGCTCAAACTTGAGAGTGATGTCCGTATTACACAGAAATTCTCCTACATGTGTAGCCGCAATAAATGCTGAGCGGACATCCTTGAACTTGACATCGGGCACCAGTTGTCCTTCATATCGATCTTCTTTACTTGGAGTAAATGACTCTAGATACGGTATTGTAATTCCAGATTTATCAGACCACAGGTAGGTACGCAGGGTATGTTAAACTTTCGGTCGTTATATATGCGACAACAGCGATCAAATTGGCGATTGATTGCTTTCATTCTTAGGTAGCGAAAATTTAAGTCCTTCAGCGTATGACTACCTTCTTATATACACTCCTGGTTTACCTTGGTGACATATTCACTATTTCCGAACCCTTCTCTTTCTTTTTCCAACTACCCAAGGTCAGTATATAAAAAGCGGGATGGAAAAAGACAGGGGGAAAAATAACAACAATAATTGGTATTTATTAGTTTAACTCTCGTTGACCAATTCGTAAAATAAAAGCCGTGAGCAGGCAAAAGTAGCTTGAATAGGCGCCAGAAGCAAAAAGAATGAATGGAGTTTTAAAAAAAATAAAATAAACATACAACAGTAGGTATTCGCTGGTGGTCACCCACCCAACTACTAATCTACCGATCTGAGGCTTGTGTATGGCAGAGCGGACGGGATGCCCAATTCTCCTCAGTCTGTGGTCGTATGTGAAAGGAAATGAGTTATTTGAAAATATACTGCTTGTAGGTGGTTAGGTGTAGCTGGTTCGATCCAGGGAGTGATAATGATAAACCTCCAACTTCTCTCTCTTGTTGTATCTCCTTTTGTTCTTTTCTAACAAGAGAAAGAGAAGACTTCAAGCGAAAATGATCGGAGAACAGGGATCACAACTCGTCGTAGAATCATTGGGCAGAACGATCACTATAAGGTAGAATATAGAAGATGCAGGATATGTTGGTCTCATAGCGAACAGTACTGTAGGACAACATCAGATCCCGATCAAGAGCGTCAACCATCCCGCTCACCAGGATATAACTGACAGAAGACACAGGCCTCGTGGAAGAAGAGAGACATGGAAAAGGGCGAAATCACGATCCAAGGCTTTGTGCTAGGCTTTGCTTGGGTTCAAGACCTTTCTCGGGTTTGCCACCAGATTGTCGCCCTCTTCACACGCTTTTCTCACGCTTTAGATCCTTACGCCCTTATTGATCTTACGCTGTAGAAGTCCCGAGGCTTAACTCGTAGTCTCGCACAACTGTCGATATACCCATCGCGTCGCCAACGGGCTTCCCCCCCGCAATCCCCGCGACTACGACGATGAAGCTGGGCCGCGCTGCCGGATATTGTCATGCATGAACGGCTGCCGGAAGCCTTCCCCGACTCGACACACGAGCCCGTCGCTGTGGCTCTGCGAATAGCCAAGTACGGTTCGGCCCTTCGATGGTTCGGGATGGAACGTTGTCGGGGTCGCATGCCGATCCAACGCGGGAGATAGATAGGAGGCGTGGAAATCCACAACTCATCTCTGATCCCTTGCCGGATTGTTTGCTGTCGGGATCGCGCCCCGGATCTCGCCCTGTATCGTGCTGGTGCATGTCATTGCGCATATGAGGAGGGCTGAATGATACTTCCGGCGTTGCGTGCATGGAGATGATTGGCGCGGGGCTGGCAATGCCCTCCAACCGCCCTCGTCCTAATCGCCCTTTTCTTTACCACCCCGACCCGGTTCCTCACCCCGACGATACCCCTCCAAAGCCTTTCTTATCCTCTTATCCATTAGATATTGCCCTTAGATGTCGTGCGACATGAGATGGCATTCGACTTTCCATCTAAAGTGGCCTATGGGATTGCTTCCGGTAAATGACAAAGTCGCGTTGCCAGACTTGATCGCAACTTCACCGCCCTTCGATATAATCGTGAGTGAGTAGAGGGCGACATGAGTGTGGGAGCTGAGAGCCCTTGATCGCCCTATTGATACTGTACCACGATGGAAGATGAGTTTATAAGAGGGCAACAAGTGTTGGATCCCCCTTGCCCTCCTTTGCTTATTCGGATGAGACGCCGCTCTGCGTTCTTGTAAGAACCGCAAAGGGTTTCGTATATAGTCTTCACTATTCATCTCTTCAAAGTCCTGGACTCCTAGGCACAGTCTCTCAAATCATTGAAGAACTTGCGTTATCTGCAGCCTTCAAGCAAGCGCCATCTATCTCTGGCAGATAGAAGACTATTGCAACTGTGTCAGACAAGCCAACAACAGTCTACATAGTGCAAGACTGCTCTACTTTCTTCAACTTTAAGAAAGCTCACAACCTTTTCCCCGTCATTACCTTGACTTAATCGTTGACAATGGTCAAGAGCTCCACCAAAGCTAAACTTCCTACCCCCTACTCGAAGGCAAAAGACACATCAAAACGCAGCCACTCTAGTCAAGACGACGCTAGTTCCTCATCATCCCAACAAGCACACCATGGATCGGCCCAAGGTTCGGAGTCCCACCACTCATCTTCATCACACGTCTTCAGTTCCCGCTCCTCGCACTCGCGTGAGGAGGCAGTTACTCGCTTCATGAAAGAGGAGAGGGATTACAAGTCTCATGCCGTGAAGGAGTATGATGCATATCAGGCCGCGGCGAAGTTGAGACATAAAGAGGCGCTGAAGGAGGTTGTGCAGAGAGCTTGCTGAGGTGAGGAGGTTGTGTGTGCGAGGGAAAGAATAGAAGGGGTAATTGAAGGGAAGAAGAGGGAGGAAAGGAGGGATGATGTGTGAGGGTAGGAAAGATGAGAATGACAAGAGACATCTAACAGAGGTCAACATAGATAGGAAGAGAAGTTGGGAGATGGTTGTATATTCAGACCTGGGGCTTTCTTCTTTCCGATTGTGGTTGTAGGATGCGATATTTGAGTTAGTTCTGCGATGATGTAACTGCTCTGATGTATTTAGGGCTTGGTGTCTTTCGTCTGGCTTTGTTCTGTGGCGCTCAGCATTGTGTGTGTGTACTTTGGATCGTGTTAGGATTGGCAAGGATATACCATCTCGCGACTTTCGAGAAATTCTATATATTGCCAACTAGGGCTATTGATTGATGCAATCCCGTGTGAAGTAGAGATATGTAGATATGTACAATATAGTAACACCGCGAAAATGCTGACAGACCTGACTCCCACCATATGCTGTACATCAACTTGATATCGTACAAAATATTACATACCCCGCCGCACATATCGTGCTACTGATAGTCGCTAGTTCGGTCCTGTTGTTGGTAGTGGCAGCAGAACCGGTCTCAGACCAAGTAACGGTCGTCGAACCGGTTGCTGTAGTGGCCGAAATTGACAGGTTGCTGGAACCAGCTGTCACGCTATCATTCATCCCCTGTCAATATCCGAGAGACATCACGAATGACATTCTCAATATCGGACAATAATTCCGGATATGGCCATTTTTGCAGGATCTGAAAGCGAAGCTCCAAGAACTCCACGAAAGATAATATCTCTTTCAGTTCCGTTCGAGTTTCGACCGAGGCAATGCAGCCTTCCTTGATATGCTCCAATTTTTCCATCAATGAATCCATCTGCTCTAGGACCTGTTTAGTTCTCTTTACTTCAGCCGGATACTCTGTTCTCCAATCTAGGTCCTCTGCAGTGATTTCTGCGCCCTGCGGTCTCAAATCCTTCACCTTCGAGTCGAGCTGGTTCAGAACTCTTGATATCTCTTCAGCGTGACAGGGCCGATCTGGATTTTCGTTGTCCTTCGAGACAGGATATAAGAGGTTGTCCGACGCTTTCATCCATTGGACGCCTTTCAAAGTCTCAAGAAGCCTATTAACACCAAGGTTAAAGATCTTGTCACGAGCCTCATTTTCCTCATTCACTTCCTTCTCCGACCTTATTTTAATGTGATAGTCGAACAGTTGTCGGCTCGTCAATCGGCTCGGGGAATTTACCAGAAGGTCGTTACCCAATTTGTCTTTTGGGAATGCAATGACATCCCGAACACTCTCTCGGCGAGACATGACCGCAATAAGGCGATCAAATCCTATCGCGAGGCCGGCATGAGGAGGGCAGCCTGCCCGAAGAGCTTCGAAGAGGTGAGAAAAGGAATCCATGCGTTTAGGTTCCATCTAGAACTCATAAGTAGCACATCATACACGTGAAGCAGTGAACATACCTTCAAGATATCTCTCATAATAAATTGCTGCATCTCAGCACTGTGGATACGCCGACTTCCTCCACCAAGCTCTACTCCGTTTAGAACAAGATCATAATGATCTGCTATCGCACTCAACGGATCGGTCAACAGCAGATCGACATCAGCGGCAGACTTAGGCGCTGTGAATGGGTGATGTGTTGCTGAAAACCCAGAATGTCCTTCTTGGCCTGGTCCATCGCCGTCGTTGAGGGTAAACATGGGGAAGTCCGTGACCCAGAGAAACTGGTCACGCAGATCGCCCGTAACTTGACCTTCGGAACGTGCAGCATTGAAAAAAGCGAGACGAAGCCTTCCTAACATGGTAGAGCCTCCGGTGTGAGGCACATTCTCACGAGCTTGAATAAATAGCACATCGCCTTCCTCAAACTGGGAATCAGTTGCTTCTGGTGAAGCTGCTGCATCAGCATACAAAGCTTGCAGTTGTTCGGCTGCTTCGAAACCGAATGCATGTAATCCTTCGAGGGGTTTTCTAGGATCGAATATGAATACCCCTGGCGCACCGTCTGGGTTATTTCTAAATTCCGCCGCCTCTGCAGAATCCATGAAACCAGTAACGAATTTCTTGGAGATTTTAGAGCCAGAGTCTAATCTGACTTTCCATGCCTCCACAATAGGATTCTCTATGGAAGTGAGCATACCGCGAAGGCTTGCAGGAAGAATATGATCGATTCGATGGATCTGAGTCTGTAAGTTTGGCTCCTAATAACGAAGCAAAAGACTGGGCTTACCAAGCCTGGGATACGCAGATCAGGTTTGTCAGAACCGTACTTTGACATAGCTTCATGGTATCCCATCCGTCTGAAAGTAGGGATATTACTCAACCCCATAAATTCTTGCCAGAGAGCCTTCATGAATTTCTCGACCCGCTGCATAACATCTTCTCCATCCGCCCACGCCATCTCGAGATCGATCTATTGCCCAGTTAGAGCTCGAAACTTCCCAGTTTTATTAGACCTACTTGGGTAAATTCCGGCTGTCGATCCGCTCGGTGGTCTTCATCTCTAAAGCATCTAGCAAATTGTACGTATTTGTGGATTCCACTAGCCATCAGAATCTGCTTGTATTGCTGCGGACTTTGAGGTAAGCTGTATGCATAACCTCTTCTTCTCGTAGGAACAATAAACTCTCTTGCTCCTTCGGGTGTCGATTTGAACAGAATTGGGGTCTCAATTTCTGTGAAATCTGCCAACTCTCGTCTAGCAAAAGCAGCTACTTTTGACCTAAATTGCAGCCTTTCCTTGAGCGTGGGGTCAAAACGAATCTGCAGATGCCTATGCTTGGCAGTGTTGGTGTTGACGTGAATGTTTTTGGGGAAAGCATTGATACATGTGACATTCTGCAGACGTATCTCGACTTGAGTTGTGAAGGCCATGCCTTCTTCCGCCTTTTCGGATGATATCTTCGGATTTTTGGCGTCATGTTTCAAATGCAAAATCCCAGTTACACTGACTGCGCTCTCTTGTGGAATGGTTCGTAAAGCTCTATTGGCTTCTTCATTGTCTTCAGACCGTGCAAGTAATTGGATCTTTTCACCATCGGGCCCAAACAAGGTAGAAAAACATATATTAGAACCAAAATTCTTCCTCTTCCCGAGAAACCCAACGGCTGTGACTTCCTTGCCGATTAGATTGAGAGGGACCTGTTTGCCGGGTTCGAAGTTGGGTCTTGGGATATTGACTACATTTCATGGTCAGCATTGAACGGAAGGATGAAAAATATACATACATGAGCGTTTGTATTCTCCCCAGAAGCCAGGTCTCCCCTCCTCTGCTGCCGCTTCCTCCACGGCCCTGTTTCGCCCTCCTTCATGGAAGCATCTGCGAGGGGCCTGGGAAGTCTGGTAATAACCCGGACCAGCCCATGATGGTTTTCGTAGATACCTAAGACTCTGAATCCTCAAGGCGTGCCGCGCAGAGCTTGGAATAATGAGCAACATCGCTCATCGAATCAATTGTCGCTCATCGACTCAATGATTTCGAACCGTTCGACTCTCAAGATCTCCAAGAATTGTTTGGAGCTGTCCACTTTAGGTTAGCGTATCGGTATTTTCCGAATCCCGAACAAATATATTTGGCCGCGAAATGGATTTTTCTACTTTTCCTCTCCATCCTTCCAAGTTTTAAAAAATGTAAGCCATAACATCACCATTCCACCCTTTTTGGATACTGTGTGCTAACATATGATTCTTTCTTGCAGATGATGAAAAGCCAGCGTGTGAAATATGACTGCGATTCCTGCTTTTCGAACTTTCGGACTCTCCCTTCACCGGGCTTCAGTGGTCTGACTGTAAGAAAAGATGTGGAAGAGTGAAATAAGCGTTCGGCACACCGACCTTGTTACTTAACGGACGCGATGAAGGCATCTCTGAACCTTAAAGCTTGGAAGTGCTATACTGAGGGGGGAATGCTATGGTCTCGTTGCTCATTGCTTCAGATCTAGAGCACATTGAAACCCCAGATACCCATACGGATGACATCCATACGGTATTGTTATGCATTGGAAAAGTCCCTCTTTTCGTGTTGATTAATGCGATGTCAGAGGATATTATGCCGGGAATTATACTTCCCGGGGGTAGGTATTGTCCAAGGCTATTGCGCTCTCCACGCAGGAAGAATAACATTGTTTTATTATCGGTTCAATTATGAACACTCTCATCCTACGTGCAATTACCGATCTGTATGAAATCGATCTTTGAAATCGGATCAGTGACCTGCTGTATATCTCTTCAGCGGACCAACGCCCAAAATTCCTCCACCTGTGCAGCAGAATCAATCTAGGAGAGGCACGAGGCTGGAGTGATAACCTGGCCTATCTGTATTACATACAGCGGGTTCAAGGATTGATTGATACCTTATGGGTATGGCAATGATCCTCTCTTCCGCCTCGCCCCGCGCCGGATTCAAAGACCTTTAGAGCCCTTCCGTTCGCCAACTCGAATGAATTTGAGCATAGAGTTGACACGTATAAGCCACGTATAAACAAGAAGCCCAACCAGCCTGCCCTCTGCAAGTCTTGTGATGTTGTATATTGCCCCGTGAAGCGGAACCTGAATGTTGGCGTGCCGTGTCAGCTGCCGGGGTCTTCGTTGTCCATGAAGCGAATCGTCATTTGCTCCGTGGATTCCTGAGCTTGACTGGCGACGACGAGGCAAACTCGGAGCAACCATCGCGCCCAACCTGCGGACTGCAGACCTCGTCTCGAACCACTGCTCTCGGCGAATGGCTTAGAGACAATCTGTACCTACAGGTTGCAGGTATTGACCAAGTTCCCCCTGTTCCCCGGAAGCCGGCTGAGAGAAACCCAACATCAACTCTTCAGCCACCTGCTGCCCGCAATTGCACTGCGTCGCGATGGCAAGTTCCTTCGAAAAGTCCGTGAAAGGCGCAACGAAGATTAAGGTAAGTAGGAGTTTCGGGAACCTTCAACTGAAGCGCCCGCGCCGCTGTTGGATGGACACTCTACTAACCTCCGCCATTACCAGGCCGCACCTCCAAAATCGAAGTACGCCCGCCGCCGCGCCTCAAGATATTTCGGATGTCAAGCTGACTGATCCCCTCTCCTAGATACATCGAGCATATCCTCATAGCGACACATACTGGAGAAGCAGGGGTTGGCGAGATCTTCCGGGCGTTGCAGAACAGACTGAGGGATTCAACATGGACGGTGGTGTTCAAGAGTTTAATTACAGTCCATCTGATGATCAGAGAAGGGTCGCCAGATGTGACGTTGGCATACCTTGCGAGACATCGCAATATGCTTGCAATAAGCAGCTTCTCTGACGGTAAGTCAACCCAGAACGAGCAGGCAAATTTCCTCTGCGGATGGTTCAGCCGTGGCCGGCAATTTCATTGAGCCCTCGTGCTGACAGAGTATAACAAAGTGCAAACTCAGGGTCGTAATATTCGTCACTATACCAATTACTTGAGCGAGAGAGCGCGAGCGTACCGGGACACAAAATGCGATTACGTTCGTGGAGGAGACAGGCGGCTTGAGAAGATGACAGTAGACAAGGGATTGCTTCGCGAGACTGAAATCGTTCAACATCAGATTACTGCTCTCCTGAAATGCGATGTGAGTTCAAGGGATCATCGAAGAGAGCTCTTTGGCTGAGATGCGCAGGTCCTCGATAACGAGCCCGAGAACGAGATCACGATCACCGTTTTCCGAATGCTTGTACTGGATCTTTTGGCGATGTTCCATGTTATGAACCAGGCCATGATCAACATCCTAGGTAGGGGTCTTCCAATACTAAATTAAGGTTTGTCCTAATCTTTGCAGGCCATTTCTTCGAAATGTCAAGACCAGATGCAGAACGCGCGATGGAGATCTATAAGAACTTTACAAGACAAACGGATTTCGTTGTAGGATATCTCAGTACTGCTCGACAATATGAACACCAGACTAGGGTTGAGGTGCCCAAGTTGAAGCATGCACCGGTTAATCTCGGAAAGCAGCTGGAGGACTATTTGATGGATCCAGATTTTGAGATTAACAGGAGACAGTATTTGGCGGAACAGGAGTCGAAGAAAGGCAAGGGGACAAATGGTGCAAGTAAACCATTTCTAACTTCGAAGGCCAACTCGAAGAGCGAGGCCGAGGCGAAAGCCGCGGCTGGACGGGCATTCCCAGAACCGCAACAACCAGCTAAACCATCACAGCCAGCGAAGGGACCAGCTCCAGATTTGATTGATTTTTTCGATTCTATCGAGCAGAATCAACAACCTATGGCAACACAACCAGGATTGCAACAGCAGGGACCCCCTCAGTTCAACAATGGTGCTCCTTTTCAAGCACAACCACCGTTTCAACAGAACGGGTTCGCCACCCAGCAATTACCCTATCAAAGTCCAAATCCGTTCCAACAACAACAGCAACAACAACAACCACTTAATACTGGTTACAATGTACCCCAGCAACCACAGCAACTCCAGCCTGACTTTACAGGCGCTGGTTTTGGTGGCTACACTCCCCAACCATCCTTCCAACCAGGAGCCCTTTCGTCGATTCCGCAAGACTCGGCTGCGTCTTTCCAACAGCAAGCCCCACAACAGCTCGGAAACATGCAAACAGGTGCTCCTCAGACCACCAACCCCTTCCGTCAATCAATGATGATGAACCAGACAGGCATGGTTGGAGGATCCTCATTTACGCCTCCTATAAATTCTCCTGTACCATCACAATCAACAAATCCTTTTGCGAAATCGATACCTTCGCAACCTGCTCAGGCTTTTACGCCACCTTCCGAGCAATTTCAACAACAGCAATACCCGCAATCAGCACCTCTGCCACAAGTAGGCTTTCAGCAACAGCAACAACAACCTGCACCTCTGCGACCAATGGCGACTGGAACGAACCCGTTTGCTAAAAATCTTTCTATGAATCGTCCTCAGACAAGTGGTGGTATAATGCCTCAGCCTACAGGAAGTACGAATCCGTTCCGACAAAGTCAGTTTGTGAATACTGCAACAGGACAGGGCTGGCAAAACAATCAGCAACCTATAGGTGGTGGTCTAGATAACCTGGAAACTGTCCCAGTATTTCCGAGGCCTGCACAGCAGCAGCCATGGCAGCAATAATGCGGAAGATGTATTGGGTAGTTTGCGCTTTTCTTAGGGATCATGACTCAGCAAGGCGTTTGGAGATGTTTGGTTGCCATACTCAGAGAGGGGATGCGAACAACATTAAAATGGCTGATGTGGTATTATAAGGCCCTTGTAGAGAATGGGTAGCTAGCCGTCTAATAATAACCAGCTTCGAGAACCATTCAATGATCCGATTTTGTGACGCCTATGGCCATGCATATTTCCCCAACTCCTTTAACTTCCAACCCCGCTATGCAATTAAAAGTACAGGGGCCCCAAGTTCCATTAAAACCGTCTTTCAGAAAACGTCGTCCGACTCCATCTTATACTGCGGCTTTGGTTTGCTTTGAGGCTCCTCGCCTGAAGCAATTGCTCCCACAGCAGGGGTTGTTCCCACAGCAGGGGGTGCCGGCTGACCTCGATCAGCAACCTCATCCTCGATGAAAACTCCCAAGCCAGAGAAGGCTTCAAACATGGTTCGTGCGTAGTACTCCTGAAGACTGTACCCTCCAGCCATATGTCGCATATCTCTCTTTGCGTTTCCCAGCCATTCACTATCATAGCTTTCCTGTAGCACGTATCTCGACGGTGTAAGATCCACGCCTCCAAATGGATCGTAAGGCTTTTCCACAACCGGTGCTTCTTTCTTCTTAAGCCCTCTGATGGTAAGCCCAGAATCCATCGCGCTCTTATTAGTCTCCATCTGGGTATCGGCCAGATTCCTCCTTGCACTCGATTTCTTCAAAATGACCTTCTGAGCCTGCATAGCAATCGCGTTCGCATCGCCATCCTCTGTTGCCAGCCGATCCAGAACTTCCTTCCGGTTCTTCAGCAAATCAGCCTTCTCCTCCTCCTCCTCCTTCAGTGCTGCTAGTCGCCTCTGCCTAGCAGCTTCTCTTTCTGCTTTCTCTCTCCTCTTCTCCAATTCTCCCTCTTCCAAGCCCAACCTCGTATTCATCTCGATCTCCCCGCTATTCGCCTCCTTGTACGCCTTTAATTTCTCCTCCGCTTGTGCTCTCGTCTTGGCATCTCCCTCCACGATATCAAAGACCAAGCCTTCGACCTCCTCCAAATAATTATTCCAGTCCAGCAATGTCTCGAACTCGTCCTGTCTCCTGTTGAACACCGCTCCGACCCGTTTCCTCACATCCACTTCGCGCTCAATCTTTAGATCCGCAAAGAACGCTTTATGAAAACCCCTTTTGCGCAGGGTTTTCCCACATCGCGGTACAGGGCAGGATGCTGGTCCGGATGTAAAGATGCGATCTACGCACGTCGAACACATTTTGTGGTAGCATTCGGGGTTGATGAGGAATTGGAGGGAGGGATTGAGGTATCGGTTCGATTTGCAGACTGGGCAGATGTCGTCGGAGGGATTATCCCCCAGCCTGGAAATCGCGTTGCGCGACATCTTGCTGGCTCTGCGGAGGTGGTGGCGTCGAGCAGGTGCGGTGAGGTTGAAGACGAGGCTGTTGCTTTGGGGAAACGGCGCTAAAACTTTAGGCGCGGATTTCAAAGCCTCGCCGTTCTTCGAGAACATCCCACCGTGAGATAGGCAACTTCTTAAGTACCAAAGGAAAAGGGAATTGCAAAAAAAGCTTTAACAACTTTATTAAGATGGCAGACACAGATAAAGGTAAGAAACTTCAACCCATTTATCATGTGCTTTTGGCGCAAATCATATTTTCTGTTTTCGAACTTGCTTCGAACCTCCAGCCTGCAACAATACCCCTCCAACTCTTATGCGCCTCGAAGTTTCGAAGAGCTCTCATGGTTGATACATCTCTACAGCCTCACTAACAATATATCATAGAAGTCGTAGTGTCCAACACGGAGCCCACTCCCGAGGAAGAAGCTGCAGCCCGCGCAAAAGAAGCAGAAGAGCAAGCGGCGCTTCCATATAAATGGACGCAGACAATCGGAGATTTAGACATCACAGTCGAAGTCCCCGGCAATCTCAAGGGAAAGGATCTAAACGTTGAGATTAAGAAGAAGAAGCTTCTGGTTGGGGTGAAGGGACAGGAACCTATCATAAATGTTTGTTCTTTTCCGTTGTTACCCTCTCCCCCCCCCCCGCCCCCTCCCCTTCTTTCTCTCCTCCCCCCCTTCACCGCTTCACAAATTATTTTGTTATTGTGGAACTTGGACTCTGATATCTTGCGCGCAATAGGGCGATCTACCCCACGAAATCAAAGTCGACGAGTCAACCTGGACGCTGGCCACCTCTCCTTCCGGTACCAAGGTCCTTGAAATACATCTGGATAAGGTAAATAAGATGGAATGGTGGGCCCACGTCGTCACTTCCGCGCCCAAGATAGATGTCACGAAGATCCAGCCGGAAAGTAGTAAACTGAGTGACTTGGATGGGGAAACGAGGGGTATGGTCGAGAAGATGATGTATGATCAGCGACAGAAGGAGATGGGGAAGCCGACAAGTGACGAGCAAAAGAAGGAGGACATGCTGAAGAAGTTTATGCAACAGGTTTGTATCCCCAAAACAGATCCTTTTGCCCTTTTCTCTTGAACTGTACCTCCCGAGTCGAGGAGAGTGTCCCATCACTCCTCCTTTCCTTGAACGTAGAGATCTGGCTGCTGACTTTTATGAATAAAAAGCACCCGGAAATGGATTTCTCAAAGGCGAAGATTAATTAGGTCGTGTGGAGGTGATTGGAAAAGTATCATTAGGGGGTGAAGGGATTTAGCATGGTATGGTGTTATGAGTTACGAGATCAAGTCGGGCATTAAGCATTTGCATATACCGCCCAAAAAGTCAACATTCCCAGCTAAACGGCCCGTGGTCTGTCCGATTCCCCTGAATTGCTCCCACATCATGAGTGTACGAGTGAAGCAAACAGATGAGACGGCTACAGAACTCCAATCATTGACTAGTTGTGATATTCGACCTGAGGATTGCTCAACGCCAAAAGTCCACCTAGAACTGCAAAGGCTTCAGTGATTGAAAGAGGGCAAGACCTAGGTATCACAATCACCCATCCTGCAAACCTTGAGTGAACAGTTTGAATATTGGATACAGTCGTCTCGATATGGTATTGTACATGCCCTCATTTCAAACACTACTCCGTACCATTTTTTAGACCCAATGCAATAGTTTTCCACCATCGACTGTCATTTTGAGCTGCAGGCTCTCCCGCTGTTTACCGCTTCCCAGCCAGTCGGCGGCTCTGAACCTCAGACAAGGCTTTACTGCCACTCAAGAACGCAACCAATCCTACAAGTCCAGCAATAGGTAGAGTCTGGAACAAATTCCAGCTAGAGTAGTACATGAAGAAAATGCCCTCCATTGACAGAATTGAGCCGAAGAATAGACCGTGCGCGATAGGCGCTGAAGATGTAGCTTCCGCAAGGTGGGAGAGGTTGGCTCCGAGGTATGCCCACTATACATCATTAGTAAATCGTGCATACCCTCATCGACGAGAAATAAACGTACCGCTCCTAGCAAAACAGGCACAGTAGCCACCACCGCCAGCGTGAAAAATATGCTAATAATCTTCGGGCCACTCTTCGGGTCCTCTTTAAAAATATGATGGATCTCCGCTAACTTCCCATATCGAAGCGGCTTCTCGTATTTCGGCAAGCCAAAATTGGGGTCGGGCTTAACCTCGAGGTCAAAGACATGACTACTCAATGGTTTAGAGGAGCCGAATGATGCGAGGAGAAGGGTTGCGCGGAGGGGTTGAGATGTAGTAAGGAGTTGAATGGGAAGGTCTTTTTGCGTCTTCAAAGCGGTCAGCTACACCGGGTACGAAAAGGAGATCAACACAGGAGAACCTACGAAGTCCACTTTGCCCTTCCCAGTATCCTTGACTGAGAATGGAAGGGTGGCCTCGAGCCCAGTGTCCTGATCTGTGAGCAGTAGGAAAGCTTGGTGTGGCCGTTTCGCTGTGCCGTCTTCTTTAGCTGTGAGAATTATCTTGAGTGTATCTGTTGAGCCCAATGCAACGGGCTTCGCTAGGGGAGCCTTGTTCGAGAGTCTGCCAATTGGTATCAGTCCATATCCATTGCTGAAAGAGGTGGTGGTTCTTTGACTCGGTGGAGGCGTACTTGTCCTTAAATGTACCCCCAGCTTTCGAATTGACAGAAATGGTAGCATCCTCAAAACTCCATGACGAAGCTGCCTCTGCTACACCAGCCCCCAGAAGCAGTATTGAAGGAATTAACGAGCGGAGGAATCGCATTTTTGGATTTGGTTGTATGATATCGTGGAGCTTGGGAACTTCCCGCCGCGCGTGCTCGAGCTACAACCTTTCGTGAAAGGTGTCTCCAACCACGCGCATCACGTGCTGATTACAAAAGCCGTCCACTTATCTTCACCTATCTCAGGTACCTGAACCTCCATTCTTCTATATTTCTACAATTCTGATTCTCCAGAGAAGATGCCCCCCTCTATGGCTATCGTAGGGTGCTTGTCCTCTTTACCTGAGTAAAAACAACGTCATTTTGGAAATTTTTCGCTATCGGCATGGATGGGATGAGATGTTCATGCGAAGGTCTAACCGGTGCCAAGGACTTCGAGAACTCAGCTTTCTGGTTAAATTCAATCAAGTGATAAAGAAAGAGTGCGAAGCGAAGCTGTTGAGAATCCTTAAGAAATACGAGTAAATAGATGATGCTCGCCTCACAGATCTGGCAGGCTACTAGGACGAGGATTGGGTGACTTTGACCAAGATATGTGAAGCAGTTTCCATGATGTGGTAGGGCGCTCGAAAATACTCTATCAAGGTCAAATACCCTGACATCTCCATCATCTCACAACCACTTGTTCTGGATTCTCCGGATTTGCTTCAGATGTCAATAGTCTCATTCCTCTACATTATAATCAACGAAGTCGATCGATGTCAATGCGTGCAGCCTAAAGTCTTTGGGTCTAGTCTCCAGATAGATCTACAATGTCATAGTCTAACATCTGCCTCCTTGCAAATCTCTACGATGACAGGAAGTTTGTTCGTTTCCATCAGCTAAATCAGTTGATTTAGTAGGCTTCAAAGTAGGGTGTTGGGTGTGAGGTACATATGGCTTCAACTCAAGACACATGCATAAAACACGAATATATGGATCCAGTTCTTGTTGCAAGTGCTTGAATGCAATGAATGGAAGTATCGTCTATACGGACCAGCATCAGAAAACATCTTCAACGAGTTTTCAAGCATGGCTTTGAGGAATTTTCCTGTTGACTGCAGTAGTTTGGTAGGGCTGAGAAACGCTAGGAGATCGACTGCAATGTGGTGATTGGGAGTACTCCATAATTATATGTGGCAATGACAAGACTGATACTTCCGGTATCCATGATATACTTCCAAATAGAGATCGGTTCGTCGATCAGGAATCTGATCGTCCTCTTAGCTAGCAATCAGCGCCTTGGGTCCTGTGGAATGACTATCGTTTGACGATGATCCCGTTGTTAGCGGGCCCGCGCTGTCAGCCTCAACTGATCACGGCGCTGTGAAATGAAGGAAGGAGTTGCGAAAGGTCATATATAGGGGGGGTGGTTCTAGGTTTTACTTTGACGTAACCGAGCCCGAGCATAGCTTCGAGGCTAAGCTTTCCTTATCTTATCTGGATGGATGCATCTTCCAGGGTTTACAGTCCTCACTCCGTATACCTAGGTACCTAGGTAAGGTACATTACGATACCATACACATAAGTATATGTACCTACATACCTTGCCTTATGTAACCCGCAAAGCTGAAGCTCCTTACGTCCAATAATCACCAAGATCAATGAATCTCAGGTGGCCATTCGTCTGTGGCGAAACACCTGATAATACTCTCTGTCGGCCAGCCCCGCGGTTATCCGTCCTGTACGCAGCGGAGCTCGACGAACAGATCCACCTCCCCACCATAGCTATCGTGAACATGCAATCTCTCATAGGCTACAAAATAAATATTGCTCAAGTTTCAATCTGCCGCCTCCGCCCTAACTAGTATGTCCGCGGCCCAAAATGCTGACGGCAGAACCCATTTTTCGGAGTTCCTCACCCCATTTCGGTGACCGCCGCCCGCAATACTAAGTATAAATGACTGTCTAGCCCCCTCGGGTTTCGTTGCCATTCAAACCACTAGACACGAATATTGTCTCTGCACTTCACTTCTCTTTAGACGCAATGGCTGTCAAAACGCTCGAGGTCAAACCCCTTCCTGTTCCTGCCAACTCAGCCGTCGACTTTGGTGTCCAAATCGACGATGTCGATGTCGAGAACCTCAGTGACGCAGACTTCGCCGCTATTCGAGAAGCACTCTACAACCACCACGTTGTAGTCCTCAAGAACCAAAGCGGTCTCTCCCCAAAAGCTCAATTTGAACTTACACGCCGTTTTGACCCTGCCTCCGAGAACTATGGCCATGGCAAGACACTTGATGCCAAGCGCTCTGTCCTGCACCCCGACCTCAAGACGATCCCACATCAGCCACAGGTCCAGGTTATTGGGAATGGGTTTTATGAGGAGTACGAAGGACTGAAGAATATCACGCTTAAGCACCCACACCACAAGACGTTCCATAAGGACGCTATCTCAGAGGAGGACGATCTAAAATATACACGTTTCTACCGCTGGCACATAGACGCTGCGCTGTATGCGCTCAACCCACCAAAGGTCACCTCCCTCCTGGCCGTTAACGTGCCCGCTGGCAGACGCCAAACCGTTCGCTACGATGATGGAACTGGCGATGAATTGGATGTCCCTCTTGGGACCACCGCTTTTGTTTCCGGACAAAGAATGTACAACCTTTTGAGTGAGGAGGATAAGGAATTCGTCCGCACCGCAAAGGTCGAATATGCCCCCCACCCATACATCTGGATGTCGCCTGCCCACTCCCGTTCTGATGGATTGGGCATGATATCTGAAGGTCTCGAGCTCCCTAATTCGGAGCTTCCCCCAGTCAACGAGGCCGATATCAAGATCCTTCCTATGGTCTGGAAGAACCCTGTCACTGGAAATCTTTCCTTGCAGATTCACCCCAGCGCTATCAAGGCCATCCATCTCCCCGACGGAAAGGTGATGACAGATTTGAAGGAGGTTAGGGATTTGGTCCACAGATTGCAGCGCCCCGGTATTGCGCCAAAGTACGTGTACGCGCACGACTGGGCCGAGGGAGACTGTGTTCTCTTCAACAACCAAGGTGTAATTCACAGTGTGGTTGGGGCCTTCACACCCGAGGAGAAGAGGCTCTTTAGGCAATGCAACTTGGCTAGCGGCGAGGGGGTTATGGGTCCCGATGGCAAGCTCTACTAGGCAACGGGGCTGGAAAGGGTCAAAAAGGAGGGTTTTCACTGATGGTTGATATATATCGTTCACATTTGTTGGGAGCATTTACGAACTCGGCGTTGGACGCATCTAACTAAGCCTCATCTGCAGAGGAACTCGGCGTTTGAACGTAACTAAGCGTATACCCCTTTTTTGCTCGTTACGAGTTGCTTAAAAATATACTTTACTGCTGCACACAATATCCCTTTGACGTTTGAGTGACTGGTCGGTTGCATCTGTGCCTCGAAACTCGCTTTTTGACTAACCCGGATATTTCCTTGTGTTTTCTGATACTTCCTTTAAGGCCCGAGCGTTTCAAATTTTTGGCCCATTTTGAATAACCAGGAAAGCAGTCATCTTCCAACTTTCACCTGTCACCAACGATCCGGAACCTCCGGGTCCATGATTTTGGGCAAGCAGTAGTTCCATGTGAAATGTCTCGTCCCAAGCTGACCTCCTCCTGCAACAAGTAAGGCCCTTTTAGTCATCTTCCACGAGATACAGGATGATACGTGAACGGTATGTGGCATGCACGATGTGGTGTGGCACGGAAATAATCTCATATCGTACATATCGGATTTCACATGTCGTTCGTCCCTGGGTTGGGCATCACATTTCCGTCTCTTCAGCCTCGTGATGCACACACATCATGCACCTGCGAGGACAAGCCACAAGGCCAGGGGGATCACTCGACCCATGGTAGAAGCCAGGTGGTTCCGCAGAGGAAGAGAGCGCTGCAGGGTTCGTATTATATCGCCGTGCAAGGCACCAAGACCCCACTCAGCTGACGACGAGAAAGGAACTGGTGCCATCAGCTGGACAAGAGGAGAAAGACAAAGACAAGATAACACAAGGCAAGGTGGAAAAAGACATCCGAGGGATCGACTACAAGTCGGCGTCAGACTTCAGTCCCGTTGGCCGTTGCGATCCCCAGGAAAGCGTCGGCAAATATAAGCCAATCACAGCAATATCCCCAATACCCCAACAACTTCGGACCCAAACACTTTGGCCGCCCGCGCTCTCCACAACCAAAGTCACGCACGCAGAGACATCATCGCGTCGCTTTGCACCGACGTTTCCAGGCACTACTCACTACTCCCCACCGCCATTTCCACACATCTACTTCATCCCCCCGTCTCTTCTCACTTCATATCATGATTTGAATCGCATGGTCCGGCGTCCCCAGCGATTCTTTCTACCTGTGTATTATATCTATCTGTGATCCGAGCGGCAATCGAGCGTCTAACGGCGACTTTCATGGCGCTCAGACTCGAGGATCATGGTGGTACCGGAATACCTTACGCAAACTCCCTTGTTGTGTAATGAGGACAGCAAGGCACAACCGATCGATTGGATCGCCGGGTCTAGTGACAGAGGTCGTTTTCAGTGGCCCCCCTCGCAGCCAAAGACATCGCGATGGGGATTATTGGGACCCGCGGCGAGGATAGCGAAGGGCGTCAACGAGACCATCCAGCTGCTCCGCGATGGCCTGACGGAAGAGGAGCGGGCAGCGAAGGTCAAGAAGGAGGAACGGAGACAGATTCTTGTACTACGGATGAAGAATGCCGAGACCATGGAACAGTGGCGGCTCGCCGCCAAGGAGCTCGATATTCTCGAAGGCAACGAAGAATGGAAACTCGACAACTCCTCTTCCGATTTCGACGCCCCGCTCATCCAGCAGTATTTGAAGCAGCTGGATGACGCGAGGACGAACCGCGATATCAAGAAGATGCTGAATCTAGTGCGGTCGGCGTTGTCGAGGGAAGTGGGGAACATATCCAATGTCAAGCTCTACAAGCACTCACATATTGGCACGAAGTATCTGATTGAGCGCTACATCGATTCTACGTTGGAGACCATTAGGGCGCTGGTCGAGATGAGCAAGCATAGCTTGCCAGATGGTCTGCAACCAAAGGATATACTGGAGCAGGTTGTCTGTGCCCGCCAGGCCTTCGGCAGGAGTGCACTGCTATTGAGCGGTGGCGCAACGTTTGGGATGAACCACGTTGGAGTGCTGAAAGCCTTGTACGAGGAGAAGTTACTTCCGCGGATCATTTCCGGTGCTTCTGCCGGAAGTATTGTCTGCGCGGTTCTGTGTACCCGAACGGACGAGGAAATCCCCACGCTACTGAGAGAATTCCCGTATGGCGATCTCGCAGTTTTTGAGGAGGAGGGTAAAGAGGACAGTATCATTGATCGAATACGACGACTTTTGACTCATGGTGCCTGGATTGATATTAAACATTTGGTGAGAGTCATGCGATCATTGCTAGGAGATATGACCTTCCAAGAAGCCTACAATCGCACCCGTCGAATCCTCAATATCTGCGTCTCTTCTGCCTCCGTTTACGAACTTCCTCGGCTCCTCAACTACGTCACCTCCCCGAACGTTATGATCTGGTCCGCTGTAGCGGCCTCATGTTCCGTTCCGTTTCTCTTTTCTGCAGCTCAGCTACTCGTCAAAAACCCCATAACCGGAGAGAAAGAGTTGTGGAATCCGACACCTCAGCGATGGATTGATGGCAGCGTTGACAATGACCTTCCTATGACACGATTAGCGGAGATGTTCAATGTAAATCACTTCATCGTTTCGCAGGTCAATCCTCATGTGGTCCCCTTTTTGGCCAAAGACGATGTGGCTATTACGGAGGAGGCCAAAAAGGGTTCGGATTCTGGTCCAGGATGGGTCTATACTCTTACGCATCTTGCAAAGGACGAAGCAATGCACCGTATGCACATGCTTGCTGAGCTGGGAATCTTTCCCAACCTTGTCACCAAAGCTAGATCTGTCTTGAGCCAGAAATACTCGGGAGATATAACTATATTACCAGATATCGATTACAAAGATTTTCCGCGAATGTTGAAGAACCCAACACCGGAATTCATGATCCAGGCATGTCTTGGTGGTCAAAGAGCAACTTGGCCGAAAGTGAGCAGGATAAGGAATCACTGCGCCGTAGAATTGGAATTAGACTCTGCAGTACAGGTACTTCGAACTCGGGTGGTATTCAGTCCCAGTCAAGTCGATCTACGACGCATGTCGACTGTGGGTTACAGCGTCCCAAACAGGGGTGGCAAAAAACGACGAGACAGCGACAATAGCATCCGAAGGTTAAGCAGCAACGACGAAAACGATGGGACCGTCCACGCCGGGCGAAGTGGTATTTCCAGACCACCACTCCGAACAGCAAGTACGTACTGGATCGTAAGAAGTCATCCCACGTCACCACATGTCACTCCGCGCCCAGTCTCACCGTATACGCCCTTCCAATATCCCAAACCTCGAACTCGACGTCTCAGCCTTCAGATCCCGGACGTCTCTTCGGCAGGCGAGACGACCTTTTCACCACCAGGCTCAGATGCAGATGTTGATACGCACACCGATGACAGCAGTCCCGAGCCTGACATGGGTGGTGGTGGGGTCGTATCAGGACTGGGATTGTATTCTCCCAATGTAATGGACAATAGTCAAGACGTGTTGGATTTCTTCTCGAGCAGTCAGCCTGTGACGCCTGGCACAGACCACGTCCTTGCCACATCGCCCGCATCATCGAGGCAAAATCTTCATCAACCGGTGGTGGTGAAGGATTCAGGACGGACATGCGGGAATAGCTCTACGGAGCCAAATAGCCCGGAGATCATGTATAAGAAGAAGTTGCTCTATCAACCAGGATCTGAGGAGTCAAAACTGCCACAGTGAAGGCACGGCTACTCAACTCTACATCGCTAGACACCTTATCTCTATTCCTTTGTAATGCATTGTGGATTGCATGGGCCAAGGTCAAGAAGAGAGGATCGGTGCACAGACTCGGCGTTCGGACTTTACAAAGTGAATGAGCACAGCATGGCATTTGGGACTTGGCATTTTGGTCTGGGGATAAGAGCCGAAAAGGAGGATTGCGATAACAACGCATGTATACATACACAAATTTTGCGCACCAGCGCTGTAGATAGATGTTTTTAATCCACATATCCAATATTGATTCTTTCAACTTCTCATACGGTCATACCTGATATCCTAATCTTGGCACTACCCCCCCCCCC